GTTGGCACGGAATGGCCGGATGATCTAGCCGTTTCGCAAGTTGTGCAACAAAAAAAGCTGCTTCCGAGGCAACAAAGTAAAACAACAAATAAACCAGATGAAATAAAAGACAAGACTCGGTTTGACTGACTAATGTTTCTGACTACCGGCCAACAAATCAAAAATATGCCCTCCGTTGCACCCCCATTACGACTGCGACCCGAGAACCCGGACCAAGTGAAGCAACTGGGCTGGGGGGGGGGGAAAAAAAACACCGCAACGCCCCCCCCCGCCCGTACGTACACACACACACACTACTGATTGAACCCTGATACAAAAGTTCACACGCATAATCTGATGTAGGTGTAGTGAAGAGAAGCTGGAAAAGGGCTATGCGTATTGCTGGCGTAAAGGGGGGGGGGTGGGCACGCGGCAAAGTGGGGTATAGAAAGGCGGGGTATATCCATCAAGCAGTGATCAACAAACAAGCACAAGTGAGGCGAAATACAATAAAAAAAAGGGCCCCAGACAAAAACACCATAGGAGCTGGGAGCTGAGAGCTGAAGGGGGAATCAAAGACGCTGAAAAAAAAACAGGGCGAAACACAGTGCGCCGAACATGGGCACAAAATGCAAATCATGGCGAATGTTGAATATGCTGCGCGCGTGTTTTTTTGGGGGGTGGGGATGCTTGGATACGAGTGCGAGTAGGTGTAAGGTGTAGGTGCCACTTACGGACCGACCGAGAGGAACAAGAGGCGTGAGTGTGTGGCTGTGTAGATTGGGAGATTAGATTGTGGTAGTACTTACGTGGTAGTAATGTCACGATGTGACGTTGGAATCAAATAGGATAGCCCATGAATGCTACGCTGCATCTAGGCCTGCATGGATATGCGAGAAGAGAGTTAAAAAAAAGCAGAGAGAGAGAGAGAGAGCCATGCATATGGTATTAGTCGGTGTAAGGGGTGTGGGTATTTTTTTTTAGCGGCATTCGTTTGTTCGTTTGTTCATGCGAGATGGAAGATCTCTCTCCACTCCCCTCGTGTGCGTATGTGCGAGTAAGACGGTGGTAATTTGAAAAGCTTAAAGGTGACGATGGTGGTGTTTTGTTGTTACATTGCCGAGAGGAAAGCAAGATGATCGTTATTTGCGTGTGCGTGTTTCAGCGTCGTGGCTGTGCGTGTGTTGGCTTTGTGCATCTTGTATGTGCAGAGTGGAAAATAACGTTTTTTTTTGAGGCTGAGAGTATGCGTGTGTGTGATTGGAGTGGATGGAACTTGACTCGGGGAAGAGAATGATTTGGAATAAGGCAGGAGAATGAGGCAGAGAAGTATAATCTGGATGCTGTGGTGGCATGAGTAGACATGGAGAATTAACGTATATGCACGAAAATCAAAACTTGAGATTTGCAAATGCGACAAATGTACCTGCATACCCATGAAAATTTCAATAAACACAGCAATTTCTTCACATAGAGTATCTCCACTTGGATTTAACAAAAAAAGCATGTGTGCATCTCAAGTTGATGTTTCAGATGTGGGAGGGAATACATGCAGCGAGGTACACAAGAGTTTCTAGATTTTTCCTAGAAAAAGACTCAATGAACCTGCGACGACGAAAAAGTAACGAATGAAAGAAATAAACAAGCAGTCATGGAACTATTCTTCAACTGAACACTGCGACGTGTTTTCCTGCGCTCTCTTCTCTCCCCTTCTTCCCCTTCTCCATCACCAATTTCCCAGTCCACCAATCCCCCCGCACAACACCCTCCTCTGCAGCACCCCCACCCGCTATCCATGTACATGTCTGTTCGCCGCAGCATCTAGACCATCGATATCGACGTCGACATACTATAGACCGACATTGCCACCGACCAGCCCAGCCAATCCAACCCGTGCACGACCCCCAGTACACGCAACACAGCCACAACCACGCGCACAGCCACAACCACACGCACAGCCACCTTCACCGCAACAGCACCACCGGCCGCGCGCCCTCCCCCTCAAAAAAAATCAAAAAAAGGGACCAGCATGACGTCACCCCCTCGCGTTCGCGTTTCCCGCCTCACCAATCTCAAAGCGGCAATTCCAACGACGATGCGAGCATGGGGGGGGGGATGCGAGGGGTGTGTGAATGAACGGTGCAAACCCTGACCCTGACCCTGACCACCTGGCTTGTCACCCCTACACCTCCCAGACAAGCACAAGCGAAAGTCTGACTTTGAGCGTGAGCGGGAAGGGGGGAGGGGGGGAAAGTGTAAGGGAACGAGACCCTCTCTCTCCCAAAAAAAAAGGTACCGGGGGCTATTAATCCATGAGGTGGAAAATTATGCTCTCGGACTCTCTAAATCTAACTCTAACTCTCACGCCATACATGCGTCTTACATACACTGTATTTGTGTGTGTGTGTGTGTGTGTGTGTGTATATGTGTGTGTGTGTGTTATACAGAGGTTCTTGGTTCGTGTTCCCCCCCCCCTGTGCAGTAGCAGCAGCGGGAGTATAAGCACGGAGTTGGCGACAGACAGAGAACAAGAGCCACAGGACACAAGTAAGTAAGTAAGCCAGGCCGCACTGCCGCCACCACCACCACCACCACCACCATCACCACCGCCATCATGTAAGCGAAACTCAAATATCGGTGTCACCGACACCCGCACGGCGCATACAGTAGACAGATGCAATAAGTCCCAGGTACGGAGAAATTTAAGCAAGGTAAGCTACCGTACTTACGTGGTGCCAAGTTAGTTAGTTAGTTAGTTTGCTGTGCTGTGCTGTTGGTTGCTTGCCAAGTATGGGTATATGTGTGTGCTAGTTGGTATGTGTGGAATTCCCGCGCCACCCCACGGCTCGGGTGAGCATCAGAAACGAAATAGAAGAGCAACGGAAAGAAAGCTAAAATAAGATTTTTTTTTCTTCTTTTCTTTCCCTGAGTCGCTGTCATGGACGTATGGACTAATCGCGTAAGTGGCACCGCTGCCTGTAGGGTTGGTGTTGTTGTTGTTGTTGTTGTTGTACATGTCATGTAATAGTAATGTACATGGGAGAAGAAGAAGAAGAAGAAGAAAATATCGGTGCTTGTTGGTTCAAGGGGAATGGCGCCGAGAAAGAGAGAGAAAGGGAGAGAGAGAGAGAGAGAGAGAGAGAGAGAGATGGAAAGGTATACGCAAGAGCATGTTCAGATTCAAGTGCGGCTCTTTTTTTTTCTTACCCCTCCCATGTTTCCATTAACTTAACCTAGCTCAACTCAACACCTAGTACTACCATTACATTCACGCACTCACTCACTCACTCACAAACATTAGTTAAAAAAAACAAAGACTAAACTGCAAGGATATATACAAAGCGAAAAGAGAAAAAAAAACTCTCCGACTTTCATGACTCTGTCTGTAAGTCTTGCATGACTCTCACTCTTGAGTCTGCAGTCTGTCCTTTCACACACACACACACACACACACCACGCGGGGATTTTTCGCCTACCCCCATGTTCCATGCCTCGCTATCCCCCCCCCCAATCCCGCATCCCACATCTCCCGTCTACTCTACCAATACCATGCTTATCCCCCTCCCATCCATCCCATCCCAATCCATCCACCTCATCCTCCCGCCCCTCCATCCCCTCCGAAAAAAAAACTTAAACTAAAAAATCTGCCATCTCGATGTCAGACACGCGCGTGGGATGCCTGAACCAACTCCCCTTGTCCCCTCCCTTGTCCCCTCCCTTGTCCCTTGTCCCTTGTCCTGCCCTGCTCTCTCACTCTCTTACCTCTTACATCCCTTACCTCTCTTACCTCTTACATCCCTTACCTCTCTTACCTCTTACATCCCTTACCTCTCTTACCTCTTACATCCCTTACCAGCCCCCCCCTCCACCCCTGTCTCTCCCCCACTAGCACTAGCACTAGCACTAGTGCTAGCCCCCCAACCCAACCCAACCCAACCCATGTCCCCAGCACGACAATAAAACCCCACTGTGGGTATTTCCCGGCGCCATGCTATTTGCAGCACCTGAGGCCCATGGTGGATTAATTTTTTTTTGCGTGTGCGGGCGTTAACTGTACATGTAACTGTACATGTACTGTACATGTATACGTGCGCGCAGGCGGGCGTACGGGCGTACTTGGTATTTTTTTTTCTTTCCTCTTTTTGTGTGATATGTGATATGTGTGATATGGGATATGTGAGTACTTAAATTCATAGGTCTTTTTTTTCTTTTTCCCCCATTTTATTTTTCTCTTTACGAGTTTTTTTTCTAATATTCTTTTCACTAATTCTTTTGTAGGGGGGGGGGTTGAGAAATTTTGAAGTAATTAGTTTAGTTTAGTTTAGTTAGATGGTTTGGTTGGGTTGGTGGCGGTCATGGTTGGGTTTGGGTTTGGGTTTGTGAGTTCCGGGGGGGGGGGGGGGGGAAAGGGAGGAGGGAGGAAGAGCTATACTGTTTTCGTGTTGTTCCTCTTTCCAGATTGGGATGTTAGCGTGTGTAGGTGTGTATGTGTGTGTGTGTGTGTGTGTGTGTGATCGTTGTGTGCGCCATGGAAACGTAGTTTGTAGTTTGTATTTAGCTTGGGTAAGCGCATGTGGATTGGGTTTGGAGCTATGTTCTTGTGGCTGATTTTTTTTTGTTCTTGATGTACACCTAGTCTATGTGTTGTTGTTGTAGTAGTAGTAGTGTATAGTATGGACGCATGCATCACGTGTACAACACACAGTCCAGCGCGTATATGCGCAAGAAATATAAAAAAAAACCGCAAACTACTAACCAACCAGTCTTAGTGGTTGTTACGTAGGCACTTTTGCTCAGTGTGGCTGGTTCGCCCGTCTAGTTCGTTGAAAAGGGCTGGAATCGGGCAAAATTCGCCGCAACAAACCATTCCTCGCCATCACCATCATCATCATCATCACAATTACTCAATCACTATCCCGTCACCATACAATACATACACATCATAAGCGAAAAAGAGAGAGAGAGAGGCGCCCATGTCTCATGTATAGCATGGATATAGTCTTATTAATAGGGTCGTCTGTGTTTTATTTTATTTTATTTTTCTCTGCCTTTCCCTGCGTATAAAAACTACTGCGACAGGGTAATATGTGCAAAACTAAGGGTTTTGTGCCCTATGCATTCCTTTCCCGAGTGTTTGGTTCAGCAAAACGATGGACTGGGCGACATGGTCATGGGGGGTGTGTGTGCGTGCGTGTGTTCTGGCCGTCATGCGTCATGGGCGGAAACAAAGACAAAGAGAGAGAGACAAACCCACACAAGCACATCACTCGCCCCATCACCATTGCCACCAAGTGTCATGTTACCCTGTAATTATTGCCTTCTTAGCTGTTACATAAAGATGCGGTCTGCGTTCCGTTGCTTTGGACCCCGTCGTTGCAGACCGTTGCAGCGGCTAAAAAGGAACCACACAAATTCCATTTTAATCAATTTGTGTTGCAAACTCTGCGCGTTTCTACCATGGACACGAGAGAGAATGTGTGTGCAGGACCCTCAGCTTGAAACCGCAAGGCTGTTACGCAAGTAACCCTTTGGACCTCGGCATCCCAGCATGCCGTCGGCGGTTGCCAGACTGCTGGGAAAAAGGAGTTTTCGCGCCGTTTATGGTAATACGTACGACACCAGACTAGGGTGTTGGTCATGTTGCAGGCCTAATACCGGACTCAGGTCATGAGAGGCGAGAAAACAGAGACTGACGAGGCCGGCGGAGACAACTCCGCCCCAACTGACTCTGTGTCGTCTTGCACGCGGCATGTGCCCATGTCCTCGGTGCATCGTTCGGCACAAAGGAGGAAAAAAACCCCCCTAATCGGCAAATAGTGCTGCGCTGCGTCCAATGGTGCCTATTACCCAATACTTGGCCGAAGCGTCTGGCCCCCCCGGAAATGTCACGCTCACAGCTTAACGCGCTTCATGTAGTCGTGACGTCTGATGGCCATTGGTCCCCAAGGGGCGAGGGGGCGGAATAAAGTCCCAACGGCCAGTGTAGAGCCAGGCTGAACAATTGGCAGGGAAGCCAAACAAGCACAAGCATAGCTGTCCCGCTCCGCAATATTTAGTCGCCAATCGGTTTAGCGTGATACAACGGCTTTTCCATGACCCTGCCTCGTGGGACAAGGTCGACAGGCCAGGCGGCACAAGCGGGCTCGTCTGGAAGCCTGAACGCTGGGCCCTGTCCCTTCTGCGCCTTGAAACCCCCCCGCCTATTCGTTCGCATCTAATTTGGCCTTTGCATGATGACGCCGCCCCTGGTCGTCAATCTGACAGCCGTGGGTCGTGATGGATGATGAAAGGATGGAGATTTAGATTGTAGTTCCGACGGCATCGGCCCGCACGCACGCACGACTGATTGGGGTATGCGGTGCGAAAAGCACTTTCTGCCCTTTGCCCGCTTCAAGCGCTGCCGTGCGAGGAGAGACATAACGCTTCTTGTGTACGGAAATTTATGTAGTGTGAGAGAAGGAGAAGGAGAAGAAGAAGAAGGAGAAGAAGAAGAAGAAGAAGAAGAAGAAGAAGAAGAAGAAGAAGAAGAAGAAAAAAAAGGCTTCGAGCGCCGTGTCTGCTGAATGGCCCTTTCATGAGCAAATTAGGCACCAAGGCTGGGGGGGGGGGGGAAGGGTTGACGGCTGCAAGCTAGGAGCCGCATCCTGCATCTGGCCGACGACGATGCAGCAGAATCGATTTTCGCTTACCCCCGTCGCTGCACTACGAGCCACGCCGTGTTCGCCTTTAGAAAGCCCGTGGAAGCATCCTACAGGGTGCGGCGCTTGCGTGCGGCCTTTGGACCCGAGGGCGAGGTATTGGGTTCGTGTTCAGCTGCTTACTACCTTCCGAAGAGTAACACGAGGGGCCAAACGAGGGGGGCAAGGCCCATGGTTGGGCGAGAACAATTGCCCCTCGCGCACGCCGCGGTTTGGCCGCTGCTAATGTATGTGCGGTCGAGGGCGTGCAGCAGCAGCCCATGCCTCTCGATGAGATAGGACAGACTGCTGTCTCGAGCGGTGCGCACCTTGGGGCGAGGCCCATGGGAGCTGCAAGGATCGAGTGGGATGCAGGTGTAGCGAAACAACGTGCCCTCCCATGTTGCACAGGCGGCGACACATGCGCTGCCGTCGTCATGGCCTTGAAACGTCATTGGATTTCCAACTGCTCGTCCCGGCGCTGAGTACTTCCGTACGCTCTGGCGATGCCGCGATATTCCTGTCTTGATGTCATTAGCCTTGTTGCGTCAGTCGACATGCCGCTCCACGCTCAACAATGAATGCCGTGTATCATCGACTCAATATATCCCATCCCCATCGACTTGCTGTCCAACGCCTCAATGGCTGGCTGCATGCACAATGCATTTCGTGCCCTTACCGTGGCCGTGGGTCTTTGTGTTCAACGCTACGCAGAACCTCAACGGGCTTTCGGAACAGACATGGCGTGTCGCAGGTAGTGTGACGTCGGCGAGTAAGCATGCTTTGCACGTCATAAGAGGCAGAGACTACAGCATTGCTGAAAACGAATGCGAGGAAAGGCTGCTGTTGATCGGCGTAATAGACCTGGAGACGAGTGAGTGTGGACACAATTCCAATTGCTGGCGCATTACCTCGCTGAAGGATGGAGAAAGTGCTGCTTTGGGCCAGCGACGGCCGCGTCAGCACTGGCATGCGGCCGATAATGTACAAGACATTTGTGCAAGACCGGATCGACACAGGGAACCCGCCAGTGACACGTGGGAGTGTGGAGCTGGAGAGACCTGCGGGTGAGCTGAGACATGATGTTTGCTGCGAGAGCACCGTGCTACCAGGGTTACGCATGGGCAGCGTTTCGGCAGCACTCGACGACCTGGACTGTGAGGGGACATGTGTTTGGATCTTGCGATGATCCGGTCAGCAGTGGGGGTACGGTTTGGTGTTTTGGGGAACTAGAACGCAATCGCTCGCGTGGCCGCCGTGTGGAGACGGAATGCGGCTCACATGGCCGACAATGGGACACAGCTCACAACGATACTGGGGTTAGTGTATGGGGGGGGGGTTTCTCAATATTAACGAGCGTGCGGATTGACCGGACGTGTTCAAGTGTCCCACGGTGATTGCCCGGCAGCATTTGATACGTGGACGAGTCAGTCATAGGCGAGCAGAATGGCGGAAGTTTAAAACAAGTTTGTGCTGTGCCCCCGGAGGGCATTTGATGCAGCAGGTTGATTGGAGGCCTGCTGGATTTGGGTAACGCAAGATAAGCTTGAAGTAGTAGTTGTCGGCTAACTAGCAACGGTATGCCACAAGAGACCGGTGGGTGTAGAGGTGAAGGTGTGTGTGTGTGCCGGTGGTTCCCATTTGGTGTCAGGCAAACTACACGACGGCCATGAAATGTGCGTTAACGCATAGTTGTGCATAATGCCGCGGATGAAAAGTGTTGAATGGCTTCTTCGCGGTGCAAAAGCAGGCCGAATGTGGGCGCCCTCAGTACTCTCGTGACGCGCAGGTTGAGCCAATGTCGCCTAGCCCTACCTTTCCTTTCTCCAAACGGTTAAGGCGGAATAATATTCCCTGTTGGCTGAGGCTTTTGAACTTGTGCATGTTCCGACCTGTTCGGTGTGGCGAGTCATCCTGCGTCCATCTTAGTGGGCCATTTGGTGTGATAGTCGTGCCAAGTGTCAGCTGCAAATAGCAAGTAGCGCGCCTCGTGCTGGACATGACAGAACAACAGAAGAACAAGTAGACACACAAAAAAGGAGTATTGAATTTGTGAGGTAATCTTGTACGTCGGCGTTTCAGTGTAGGGCCGCAATGGCTCAGGCTCGACTGACGAAAAAGCAAGAGCAATGCCCCCGTTTGGCAGAGTGCGCTGAGTCGTGGATCTCCATCCGGGTGTAGTCAACCGGCCGATCATTTATTGTTGCAGATCATGGGCGCATACAGAGGTGCTGGATTGCAAGAGCGACAGTCAGCAGTCGCTGCGACACTGTGTCAGGCTTGCTGTGTCGAGCGAGTCGAAGGGTGCAGCTAGCATAGCATAGCATAGCATAGCATAGCATAGCATAGCATAGCATAGCATAGCATGTGATGGCGAGAGATGCGGCCGCTGCGAGCACTGGCATGTACGAGACGGATGCGGTCAAGCTCGACAAGACACACTTCCGAGGACACCCTCGTGCGGTGCGGTTGTGTACACGACACTCAGTGTTGCATCATGCAGGCGGGCGCGCAAGTCGAAGCTGACTCGAACAAAAAGCAGTATTCCTTGAATTCGATAGCAACGAGCACGGTGAATTCGGCGAGGCCCACCCAGGTCCAGCTGATTGACCATCGATGTCGTGCTTGGCGGGCTGGCACGGGATAAACGTCACCAATGTATCGACGCCAGGGCAAGCGTCCATGCCCGAAAGCAAAAGTATGACGCCCGAGTAGGATGACCCTGTGCCATGTCAAATGCACCGAGGGTGTGTGGCATGAGGATCAGGGCTAGCCAACTTCTGGGGGTTAGCGTGAAATGGGCGTCGGCATGAGCCGAAAAACGACGTGCATATACGTACAGAGGGGCGGCTCGGGCTGGGAAGGGGTCGCAGTCGACCTAGGTGTAGGCTTGGGACGTCGATCTTGCACGCAATTTCCTGGCCACATCAACAGTGTGCTGGTGTTGGGTTTTGCTTCTGCACGCCTTTGCACACGCAGAGAAAGGGGTTTGGGGTGGGGCGCGTCGATCCGATTTGGCGGGCGCGCTGAGATCTGAGCTAAACGGCTTTCCCTCGCTGGTGCTACATGGTGCTCTGGACCACTAGAAAAAGATGCGGCGAAGCTGCAGGCTAGCGCACTAGAATAGAGTCAATGACGAGTCAGCAGAGATGTGTCTTGGTGCGGCAGCATCTCGCACCGTCTGCCTTGATTGTGGCAGGCAGAGGGTGCGAGCAGGGCGGGGTAGCAGAGTGGATCCGCGACTCCATCACACGAGGATGCCGTGCAGTGCAGTGCTGGGCCTGAGGTTGCGACGTCACCTGGAAGCGTAGCAGTGGCATAGTGAGGCTGTTGGGGGGCCACTGGGCGACCTAGCTCATGAGTTTGACCGCTGGTGTGCCGCTGTCAAAAACCGTGGGCTGCAAAGCTGGATTAGTCAACGTTGGCTTTAACGGTAGGCTGCATCGAGAAGGAGTGCGCGCCACTGGCAGCGAGAGGCCAGGGCCGCCAGGGGGGAGGGTAGTAGTCGTGGTGGTGGCCGTGGCCATGGCCGCGGTGGCAGCGGTGGCAGCGGTGGTGGAAGTGGTAGTGGTGGTGGTGGTGGTGGTGGTGGTGGTGGAGGTACACTTGATAGTGGAGGTGTAGTGGGCGTGGAAGAAGCAAAATACTAGTGGCTGCAGTGGAGCAGGTGTGGGTTTCAGGATGCCGAGACGAGCGAGGGCGGCTCGCCATTGGCCCGGCGTGGATAATTCGTCAATCTGATCTTGCGGATCCTGCGGGGATACCCCTGCGGCGCAGTGGGGCGGGCTCGAAGGGGCAACCCACGTAGCAGACGCACCTACAGCGGTTACCCCTTCTTCGCCGGTAGCTTAGAGGCGGGAACATTTGCTTGTGCTTGTGCGTGCTGCGAGTGCGAGTGCGAGTGCGTGGACACGCGCTCGTCGTGCTTGCAGCGCTGCGCCATTGGCCGCCGCCCGCCTGGGGGGGTGTGCAATCACCATCGTGTAGCTCATGTCTGCACGTCGGCGACGTCGACAAGGTGCACCGCGTCGAGCGTGGCCATGGGCGATGGGGGGTGGGAACTTGGTCGACATTACCCGCCGCCATGGTGATCTGCACACGCGAAGACAAGATGCAGCAGCAGACGCTCCACGATGAAGCTGTCGGGGGCATCTGCAGGGGACGCGCCTCAAACTTTGCGACTTGGTGTCTCGTATCCTCTCCCCCTTCCACCCGCGCAAATCCTCTGGTCGCGCAGCCGGGATGAGAGCGCCTTCCTTGCTAGGCGCGTTCACGGCAATGGTCGGTGTTGCGCGCGAGTCGTGCCAAGTCTGCCAGGTGGGTGCGGGGACTTTGCGGGCGGTGGCCCAAGGCGTCGCCATCGTCATCGGCGGCTAGTATTTGATATTGGGTAAACATGGCACACGTGTGTAGCAGCTGGCAGTGCATCCAACGCCGTGCGTCGGTGTGACGTGAAACCCGTCGCGCCATCCGCCGCCCATGGCCGTGACGCCTGGAGACGGCAGCACCGCAGCAGCAGCAGCAGCAGCAGCGGCGGCGGCGCCGACACGCCTGGAGCCACAACAGTCTCTGTTGGAACCACCGTTGGAACCAGGAGGCGGGAGCCGGCACAGCAAGCATCGGTGTCGGGAGCAGGGCTAGTGCAAAGGGAGCTTTAGGTGCGGCTGATGCACGAGCAGGCCGAAGAACGTCGGGCGACAGCAGAGGGCGAGCAGCCTTCTGAGACGGCGCGGAAGGCCCCGCGCACTGCTCCGGCGAACAGACGTGTACTGATAGCGCAGTGTGCACCCAGACCCAGTGTCTATCCACAGCATGGCTTTGGGGCGCCCATTGGGGGCAAGGGTTGGCGATGTGGGCTATCCAGGGACCAGCCCCGTCGCTGCCAATAGTCGCCCGCGTAGCGCTGCGAGGCGGCCTGGGGAAAGCGAACGCGATGCCATGCCATGCCGTGCTCTGCTCTGCTCTGCTCTGCTCTGCTCTGCTCTGCTCTGCGCAGCTTGGCAGAGGGTTGGGCCATGGGCGGCGACCCCAGGCCAAACGGGGGTGGTGAATCAGCGGCAGAGGCGCCATGATTGGCGTGCGCGGGCTGCACGCGACCGAGGGCCAGCTCAACAGTCCAGACCGACAGGGCAGGCCGACATGGCGCGGCGCGAGACGGGCGTGCCAGACGAGACGAGACGACGCGAGACGGGCGCGACGGGCTGGCGGAGTCGAGAGAGGCAGATGGACCAGAGGCAGAGTGGACGGCGAGGTTGCTGCTTTGGATGGCGGATGCAGCAGCAGCAGCGGCTGAGGCTCAGCGACACAATAGCCACGGCTGTCCGCTGGGCCGGAAGCTGTGCGTCCCGGCCACTGTAGCCTGCTGCCTGGGTCGCGCCTTGCCGCCCTGGGCCTAGCGCGCACAACCCCGGATCTGATGCGTCAGCCACATGCTGCGCCGCATGTCCTCTGCTCTCCACCACCCACTGCCACGCCCACACCCACGCCCACTGCCCACAGCCCGCACACACCTGCTGTGCGCGACAGGGGCCCGCGGGACCGGCGGGACTTCGGGCAACCCGAGAGCCATCGCCCTATACACGTCCAGCAGGTGCAGCATCACTGACCCAACCCGCCTGTCCGCCTGCCACGCGCTGTCGCTGGACCTGTCGACGACACGGAGACGCGCCCGTCGCCTAGCCCGCTTGCTCGCTGGCGCCGGCGGCGACGACGACGACGACGACGGCGACGGCGACTGCAACCGTGACGGCGAGACGACAATAGCAGCACGACGACGGGCACGAGGCATCTCAGCCGGTATCAGATTGAGTAGTCGCAAAGTGTCTCCACCGATGGCGTAATAGGCCCACGCCTAGCGGGGGGAGGGGAGGGGCGACGAGGGGGGCATGAATGGAGAAAGTTGGGCGAGGGAGCGTCCCAAAGGGCCAGCCAGACAGCCAGACAGCCAGACACAGACAGGCAGGCAGGCTCAAAGAGGGACCTGGAGCCTCGCACTCGCACTCCCCTCCACTGCTGCTCCCGCCTGCGGCATCCATGGGCGCAGAGCCGTCAGCTGCACGCGCATGGCCATGATAGCGTCACACCACCCACGATACCCGCAGCGAGGGCGCCCGATGGGACCCAGGCACTGGCACGTCGGCGACGATGCCGCGGAGTCGAGGGCGACGACGTCTTTTGGCAATCAACGGTGTTTTCTTTGCTTCCCAAAACGTCGTCGACTGCCCCCTTGTGCCATCCGAGCATGCCGAAACGGGCTCACAGACAGACGCCGCCAGTGCGCTAAACAGCAATTCCAAATGTCGCCGCCGCTGCTCACTGGCCGGGCGCCTCCCACATGAGCGGGCTCGCTACTTTTCGCTACTGGCCCGCTGGCAGATCACCCTCCAGTCCACCAACGGCCGCCCGCACCAGCGTCCTGCCGTGGCGGCCACGCGCCGTCGCCCTCGTCCTTTTTGGCTGCTGGCTGCTGGCCGCCCTCGCCCTCGCCTGCGCGGTGCTGCGCTGCGCTGCGCTGCGTCTCGCTCTTGTCTGGCCGTGTTTGGTTCTGCCGTCGTTTCGCCTACAGCCCGCCGGGCCCGTTGCAGCCATGCTGCCGCCGGCCGTACTGCCCTCGCCGCGGTATCGGCCCACGACCAACTCGCCCGCTTCAAGCCAGACGGCCTCTGCGCTAGACTCGGGAGAACGACAGGACAGGCCTGAAAAAGGAGTCGTGCGCAGTCGTCGTGGTGGTCGTGCCAAGCCCACCTCGCCGACCTCGTGCCCTCCCCTGCGAGGGCCGTGACGATCGCACTACCCACGCCCGGAGCGCAGCCCAGCTCCAACACCCGTTTGATCGACGGTCGAGTGCTGACTGCAACGTGCATCGTGCGCCCGCTCGAGAACCACGCTGGCCCTCAGGAACTGCACGTAGTAGTGGTTCGCACCACCAGCTGCTTGCCAATGGCGCCCGCGGCACATGGCCGTCGCCGTCGCTGCCACTGCCACTGTTATACTGCCACTGGGAGCAACACCGCTCGCCTCCAAGCCATGCCCATGGACGGCCCTGATGCCAGGGCCACGGGGGCCCTTTCTTCTCTCGACGTCGTCCAAGGCCTTTCTCTGGACGGCCCAGGGTCCCGCAATCAACAGGCTGTCTGCACACCCACCCACCCACCCAGCCATCCATCCATCCCATCCATCCCCCATGGCGACGTCGACACCTCGAGGAGCAGAGGGCAACAGGCAGCCCGCACCAGGACACCCTGGGAGCTGCTGAGGCTGGCTGAGGCGGCGGCTGCTCAACCCTACGGACATGGACATGTTTGGTTTTACAGTGCGCAGGGGACAAAAGTCAAGTATCGCGCCCGGTGGGGGTATCTTTGACTGTCTCCATGGTGTCTACAAAAGCCCGCCGGCCAAGCTGCTAGGTGCGCACCGCCATGAATCGGCAGCAAAACGGCTAGGGTCCCCAGCAAGTGCACCATCCTGCGCGAGCGGTGGGCCGCTGGCGGGGACGAGCGCGCTGGCGGCGGCCAGGGAGCGTCACAGGGGGGGGGAGGGGATTCACCGTGGTCCTCCCACCATGGTAATGCGAGCTGGGCGTCCCGCTTGCTTTTTCTGCCCTCCCAAAGATGGCGCCCGGCGAGCGCCATACGCCATGCCACGATGTGATACAGGGTATTTGTCGAATCCGACGATCTGGCTCGCGACCAGGTCCATCGCTGCTTGTGCGCGTCGTCGACAGCCATCACGCTAGCCCTTTGCTGCTCAGGGCCCAGTTAGTAGCTCTGAGCGCCCCATGACGCCCCAGCGCTCAGTGTCCACCATCTCACCATTGCCTTAGCCGCATCGTCTGAAAAGCAGAATCCTCGCTCACGTCTGTCCGTCCCGAGCAAGTCAATAACTCCTCGACCGCCTTGGCGTCCAAGTGCCTGACTACTCTCGTCCCTACGCCCGCCTTGATATATACCGGTGCTCGCCTCTACCACGTTTGCCGTTGGCCCGTCTAACAACGTCGACTACCACTTGACATTGACTCGACCAAACAAAACATCCGATTCAACAGTCTGCTGAGCTGTGCCTTTGAATCTCTCTCTCTCTCTCTCTCTCACCCTCACTCACACAAACACACGGTATGTCGCCTCCTCCTGCCCTGGACCCTTCCCATGCTCATGCTGCCCTGGCCACATCCCGCCGCCTACCCCTCTGCACCATCACCCTCCCACCGGGTTTCCAACCCAGCCGTTGTTGGACGTGCCCTGTCTCTCCAGCACCCTCACATCCGCTGGCCGACCCATAAACTAATTCCATGCCTGTGTGTGTAGTGCTCCAATCAATTTCCATTCCAAGTCAACAGTCTGGAATTTTGGACCTGGGCCTAACCTGAACGAGCCCGCATTACCTCCGCATCCATTTCCTCGCTACGCCCGCAACAGCGTAGCTCACTCTTTTTCCTCTACTTTCTTTACCACGTCACACATCTCTTTCCTGCAAGACTTCCCAATGGTTGCCCACAGACGCGGCCCTTGGTCGCAGCACGAGGACCAGTGGCTTGTCAACCTCGTAGCACGCAATGGACCCCACAACTGGGTACGCATTTCACAAGAGATCGGCTCCCGGTCGCCAAAGCAGTGCAGAGAACGCTACCACCAGAATCTCAAGCCATCACTGAACCACGACCCCATCACTGGCGAAGAGGGCGAACTGATTGAGAAGATGGTCGCTGAGATGGGCAAGAGATGGGCAGAGATTGCACGGCGGTTGAAAGGCCGCAGCGACAACGCCGTCAAGAACTGGTGGAACGGTGGTCAGAACCGACGAAAGCGCAGCCCTGAGCGTCCAGACCAAAGGCCCCGCGAGCACATGCACCATGCTCAGCCTGGCTTCCACTACCCACTCCCTCACAGCCTTGCTCACCACGAAGAGCACCACCGCATCGCCTCACACCACGACCAGCAACGACATGACCGACAGTCGGTCCACTCGCCACATGCGCTCAAACTTCCCCAGCCCCAACGGTTTGAGCCATACCCAGCCCCGCGGCCTCAGCCTCTTGACATTCCCACCTACGGATCTCACACAGGCGTACGAGCACGAGGCTTCGAAACACCCATGCCTTCACCTTCCGGCTACTCGATCGTATCAGCCGATGGAGCTCCATCCCTCATCACCGACACGGGCTCAGAGTCCAGGTCCCCGCGGGGCGCAGCGTCCCCTCCAGACATGACGCTTGCGCCATTGGTGGGCAGCCGGGACGAGCGTAAGAACTCGAGCACTCGCTACCTGCCTACTACCGGATTTGCACCAGAAGACGACTCGGCCAACGACCCCTACAGGCGGCGTGGCTCGCTGCAACTGCCTCCCCTACACCGCAACGACGCATCCACTTCCAAGGCCCCAACTGCCTTCAGGGAGCCAAACTACGAGCGACCCCAGCCACCCCAGCTACTGACGCAACCAACACCCCAGCTCACACATCATCACTCGATGCCCCAGTCTGCACCGACCAGTGTCCCTCAACGGCCGCTTCCTCCCTTCCACTCGCTCGCCGAACCCAAGCTGCCTCTGCCTCACTCGAGCAGCGCCAACAGCAGCCCAGCATCAAGGCAGTTGCCATCACCCTACGTTCTGCCGTCATTACCAGCAGAGGCAAGAAGTGCACCCGTGTCGCCCAAGGACAGGATGTCCCTGCGAAACATCATGTAGATGTAATTCCTGTTTCACACTGTCTACCATACCCTTTCTTGTCTATACCACATGTGCTTTACATCACATATTTCTATTAATGGCCGATTTTTTCTGCAGCCATCGGCATCGCTTGTACCGTCTTCTCAAGGTTCACATTTGGTCATGTTTTTTTTATCTCTCTCTCTCTCTCTCTCTCTCTCTCTCTCTCTCGTAATCTGTATGAAACCAACGGGGATCATTGTACACGACAGACAGGATACCCCATGTAGCGTCTGTAAACAAAAGAGGAATCATAGTGGGAAAGGTGCATCATGCGGTTTCTATTTTGGCCTGCTGCGGCGGCTCCTTTGCACCCTGTGCGTTAAAGTTTGAAACACTACATCGCACTCTATCAATAGTGGGTCATCTGTACATTGCGACAAGTTGTCGCTAGCGATAATACCCTAGAGTGCAACAGCACTTGCATCCGCTCTTGGGCGATGTGGAACAAATATGATTAGCATTCAAACCGAGTCGAACTTTGCCTGCGCTGCCCTCGCCCTCGCCCTCGCCCGCCTCCTTGCCCACGCAGTTGACTGACGTGCCACGGCGCGTTCCAGACGTCCAACGACTCAGCAACAGACCACAGAAGGCCACCCCTCCCTCATGACCCACGGTCGGCAAACACTAAACTCACTGCCCCCCCCCCCTTCAGCCCCTACCAGCTGGCCTTGAGTGGCCCCAATGACACTGCGTGTCTGATCGAGGTACCCACCCACTACAACGACAGATACTCAGTCAAACGGCCGAAGCCTCCACCGCCGTACCTCTCGACCCCACCCACACCTCAGCCAAAAGTCTGGACTCGATCTCACCTCATGTACCGATCAGCCTACGCAGTCGTATCCGTTTCAACAGCTGCAAAGTCGCCTATCTGCCCTTGCTATTGGATCGAGATATACGCGGCTAGGGTGAAAAGACTGCCTCTCTCCATTTGGTCATTGGTCACGCCTTTTACTGATCACTGCAGCCAACGTGGGACTGGGGGGGGGGCAACACACAAATCCATCACTTGGATGCCTGCAGCCTCAACTCCCTCGACACCACAAATCCCCCCCCCCATGTCGGCCGAGTCTGACATGTCATATCCACGTTCAACGTTCGGATATCGATGCACGCAAGGTTGTGTCTTGTATTGTGCTGTACAGTGTACGTCAGTTCTTTGTATAGGCCGCCGGGGAATAACCACATGCCCACACACGCACACACACACACACACACACACACACACACACACGCACACACATGCATACCCATGCTTGCTTGCCTCGTCCTATACCACGGCATCATGATCCACATGGATTCGTGAAGGATTATTCACACACACACACACACACTCGACCCCCCATGTTCAGCTGCACAGTCACGCGCACTGGGATTCCCCTCGTTGCAACCGCCAATCTTGATTCAGGGCGTCGGCTTTTCCCCCCCGTGGCGGCACGCCCGGTCCTCAGCTTTTCGCCATCAACGTCCCCCAGGTGGACTGTGTGGTCAGCTTCAAACGATCCGCCGAACGTGTTCCTGTTGGGGAGGGGCATTTGCAATTTGCAAGCCGTTGCTGGGAACGTCAAGGCCAATGGCGCTTCAGACCGAATCCACTCCAGGACAGGTTCGGCGACTAGAAACACTGCACCATAGCCACCCTCACTAAGCAGGTAAAGGGAGGCCGTGGAGGCACGATCATGCGCCTACCTACGATCTTACCAAGTTCGGCTACTAGGCTTCTGATCGACGGGCTAGCGCGCCACGGCTCAAGCGATTTCCCATTAGCGTATATCTTTCACAAGTAACAAACTTGCTGCAAGCGTTGCAAAGGCGTCGACGTTCTGCACATAGGGGACGTCTGGCTGCTTGGTCGTCCAACGTGGCCATGCTTTCTACCAATCGATAGGCCAATCTTCCCGAGTTCTCGTCCCGGGCCTGCGCCGTCAGATGGAAGTCTCCGCTGCTTTTCTCCCCCCCCCCTCCCGTCCACTTTCCATGGTCGGTCGGCCGACCACATTTCTTTCCACGGCTAATGCATGCGCCGTTGAAGGGCCGTCCATTCAAGACCGCCGTGCCTCTGAGAAATCATTTCACTTTCCGACCTGTCGGGTCCGCAGTCCAGCGGCACCGCGTCCGGTCCCCATCTTCATCACACAACGGCCTTACGCGCCCGGCACGGTGGCATTGTGGGACACGAGATTCGTATTCGCCCAGGGCTGAGATCAAGTATGCATACTGCAATCGGCCTGTAAACGGCCAGTGTTGCAGACGCAGTGATGCCGTCGCACGTCAGTCCCGCCCGCACCATCTCTTTCATTTCTTCTTCTGATCAGACGCCATGTTTATTTTTTCCCTTTGTTCCGGTACCATGTCACATCACTCGAGCTGCCCCTGTCAACGTGTCAAGGCTGAGCTCATGGCGTCTTTTGCAGCGTTGCAGTGTCCCCGTCGAGCGCTGATCGTGGCCGGACGCTCTCCGCACGCTTTCCGTTGGGCTTGTGACGCCGCCGTGTACCGAAGAAAATAATATGCTCGAGTCTGGTGTGTACAATATGGACAGGGTGATGCCTCTGAGGCATGGCTGGGATGGCTTGGCCAGCCAACCTTGGACCAAAGGCCACGCATAAAGACACCACCATCATGACCTAGCCACATGGATGGGGGGATATGCAACACTGTCAAACGGGTGTCAGACGAAGCCACTGGGGCCCAGATTCCAAGGCAACACGGTACGGTTGCGGCTGCCCTGGCGATACACACACAGTGGCGGCGGATGGCTCGATGGCTGGCTCTCTGGACGCTTGTGCTTGTGCAGTTTAGCTGTGGATCACCGACTTGTCTGTGCCCATGCGGTGAAGACGTTGCACGTCAAAACGACGTGTGCGGAGCCAATGCTCCCCCCCGGAACAGCGCGGAGTGCGTGATGGCACGCCTGGTACCGAGTTGGCACTGCCCGTGAACAGACACAGTGGAAAGCAACCCCACGGCCCCCCTCAGTGAGCTGTCAGGGCAACATTTTGTAGCCCACTCTCGCTTGTGGTAGACGCTTGCGCAGGAGGTTGAGTCCTGGACCAGAGGGCGCGCCCTCGCTGCCCCTTGGAAAAGGAAAGGTAATAATGTGCCTACATAACAACAAGTCTAGCGAGCGTGTGACTAACTCTGTATGTGTCTGTAGCAGAAAAGTACAACCTATGGCGTGTTAGGCCTCGACTCGACGTCCATCTGCGCGTCTAGCGGCTCGGAGAATCTCCTTGCCAACAGTGATCCAATTTCAACCCATTTCCCCCACCCTCTCTTTCTCCATCGGCCCGCCTTCCCCCCCCCCCAAATCGCGAGACACTGGTGAAATTGGCTGCCTGCCCTTCGTCATCGCCTGCCGCGTCCAATGTTCCCCCCCCCCCCTCTCTGTCTTTTTTTCTCGTTCCTGCATGATCAGCAGCTATGGTCTGCTGGGAGAGCGACGCTGCATGCATAGGGCATAACTCCCAAGGCCTTTAGGGCCTTGTTTCTTTTCTTCCGCATACGCACAACTTGACTGAAAAACAAGAAAGAGAGAGACCGTGAAAGACAGACAGACAGACAGTGAGCTAATGATCCTTGTCCCCACCTTTACCTCGGTCTCTTTCTTACGTACATGCTCTCCCCATCCCATCTCTCTCTTATCTCTTTTTTTTCGCCACAAAGTTGGAGGACACAGTTGTCCGCGCTATTTATTTTTTTCATTAACAAGTGTAAGTGATATTCGGTCGCACACAGCCCCCCCCCTCCGGCGATACGACATCACGTGACCCCGCTTATGAGTTTCTCCACCAATACGCATCCGGATAAAAAGAGAAGAGGCTGTTTATCCCAACCCCCCCCCCCCCACCCTCGTCCCTCACATATCACCAAGAAAACCCCGGTTATCTCCCACCATCATTGCCATCATTTATAAATTGCCATTGCCAAGCTGCTGACACGCGGACGCGTGCTGCGTGCATTGCATTGCGTCTTGATTGCACCCGCGTTTGCGAAAGCGATGCCATCATATGCATAATGCCATGTGATATACACGTATAATGTATCCTCGTATATGTGTATAGGTATATATATATATCTATATATACACCCACATATACATGTATGTCGTCTACCAGCAATTGCTCGTATTGGATACTCGCCAAGTAGCACGCAGGGCGGAGGCGGAGGCGGAGGCGGGAAAGCATTGACAGGCCGATTTAGTCTTACAAAAGCTTACCACCCGTGTGTTATGATATAGCCAGGTAAGCGCGATATCGAAACCGTACTGCCGGCATCTTTCTTTTTTTTTCGCTACCTACGCTGTGTAAGCGAGTGAGACTCCTTCAACGTCACTTGCTTCGGCACGACTACCATCACCACAACGGGCTGACGTCTGCAAACAAAAGACACGTGTGTGTGTTGGCAAAATTTTTTTTGGGCTTTCAAGGGATTGCAATAAACCTCTGAAAGCAAAAAAAAGGGGGGGGGGCGGAGATGCAAAAAGACTGAAACGTGAAAACACGGGAGCTGCCGAGTGGCCGAAATCAAACTGCTGGCGCTGGCTGGCTGGGGTATGCACGTCTGGGTCTTGAAGGCGCGCGCAAACGCCATTGCCGGTCCCAGCCGGGTGGATCCTAACGACATCATCCCATCCATCAGCATCATCATCATCATCATTATCTCCATCCACCAACACCAACATCTGCGCGTCTGCTTCGGGACGGTCCTACAGCTTGCATCGTTTATCAGCTTCTAAAAATATCGCGCGGCGTGTCGGGGCTGCTCTGGCTTCTCTGCCCTTCTGTTGCATGAAGCCCCCCCCCCGTACGACGTTGCCCAGATTGATGAGTGCATCTGCTGCTGCTGGGCATGTCGGGTAACGGGCAGTATGTGCCCGACCAAGCTGCTGCGAATACGCGCTGGATACAGCCGTGGAGTGAGGCGTCCAGGGTAAGTTGGCCGCTGTCTGTGCTGTTGTGCTGCTGTGCGTGGTATCTGGGCCGGTTTATGGGCTCATTCTTTGTCTCTGTCTCCCTCTCACACTCAATTCCAGCGGTCGTATTACATTGACTCTTACGGCCCATGCGGGGGCCCCCCATGTATCCAAACGTGCTGAACACGTTGCGCCCATGCCATGCACCAGAGAACAAGGGAAGAAATGCCGAGTGGGGCTGACGCCGACAATATAGGCACAACGGGACGTTGCACTGCGTGTGCCTGTCAATTTCCAGACGGCCCCAGGCGTGCAGCTGACGCGGGCTTGCTTCGCCGCAAACCAGTACGAGCACAATGCTTTCCAGAAATGCTTCTCCAATCTGCTGGCCGTGGGGTTTCGCAGGTTCGTCGCTGATGTCTATTGGGATCCGCTACGCCAAGAATGGAGTCTGTGTCCTGTTGAGATGCCGAGGTCGGATGGGGATCCTTCGGATGGAGGAGAGGTGCAGGTGTCGACGGGGCAGACGGTAGTGCCGTCGAGTGATACTAGCAAGGCAGTCATACCTGTGTCAACAGTGCCTGTTCCGCCTGGAGGAAAGAAGCGTCAAGAGACTTCGACTTCGGATTTGCCTTTGGCGCCTCAGTCGTCTGTCCCGCCAACTTCATCTTCGTCGTCAGTATCTTCGTCGGTATCTGCGTCAGCTAGTCCATCTCCAACTATCATCACGTTTCCGAATCCGAATGGAGCTCCCATGCTGCAGATTGGCAACTACAATTGCACGTCCCAGACGACATTCGATCTCCTCACGGGTATACTGAATAATTTCCTCGAGTCGACTTCTACGACTACGGGTGCCTCCTTGATCCTGTTTTCGTTCAACCTCCATGCTGCGGCTTCGCTCACAAATCCAAACGGCCCAGCGCCGTCTCTTTCCCCGAATCAATTACCTGGATCAGGACAGCTCCTTAGCGATTTGCTGCGAGGTAATCTTTCAGACGACATTTATAGGCCTACTCGTCTCGCGGACCAGCGTGCTGACCTCAATGATTCTTGGTACAATGTCGCCTGGAACAGTCGCCCGTTGCAAGGATACTATGTAAAATCCGAGAATGCTCAGGGCCAGCTGTCTACCACGAGTGGGTGGCCGACAGAGGCTTTTATGGAGTTCAAAGAGCTGTTTCGTCTGATTGCTAGCTTTGGCAGTGTGGATCCGCAGATGAAGAGTTACAATATTGCGGGCGACTCGGGATACGTGTTCCCTCCGGGCACGATAGCTAGGGAAATAGAAACATCAGTGGGTTCAGATGGCCAAGTCACATCCGGCTGTTTGTTCAGCGCGTCTGAGGATGCCATTACCTCTGCCACAAACTCGTCCTGGGCCGTCTCCACCGCACCACCACTGGACATTAGCGCACAGCCTGACCTGTTCTCGCCAATCCCCTCAATCGGCAACATGACTGCATGCGGCACAACACCCTTGCTCAACCAGACACTCGCCGGCAGCACCGCAGACAAGAACCCCCTACCGTACGCCGCCTACGTCCATTCCACACTATGGACCTTTGCCCCAGGCGAGCCTCTCAACGCCACGCAAGGAGACAAGGACGATAGCATCAACCGTTGCGTCGTCATGATGAAGTCGCCCTACCCCAGCCGCTGGCGCGTAGCCGACTGCCGCGACTCGCACCGCGTCGCCTGCCACGACCCAGAGAACCCCTATAAGTGGCGCATCTCAGATAAACCCGCCACCTACAACGACGCAGAATCCCAATGCACAGCCCCTTATCGCTTCAGCGTCCCGCATACCGCCCTGGAAAACTCGCATCTCTACGCGGAATTCTTGGCTTCTTCTTCTCCTTCTTCTCCTTCTTCCTCCTCGGACTCGTCCTCGAACAACAACAACAACAACAACGATGTCCTCTACCTCAACCTCAACAGCATCAACACGCCAGACTGCTGGGTCGTCGGCCGCAACGAAACGTGTCCCTATCTCCCCACTGCAGAAACCGATCGCACCAAAATCGTCGTCGTGCCCACCGTCGCGGCTGTCATCATCTTTTTGCTCGCTGTCATGACGTTTTTCCTCAAGTGTGCGGCGAATCGGAGGGAGAATAAGAGGGGTAGGAAGAGGAGGTTGGTGGATGGTTGGGAGTATGAGGGTGTGCCTAGTTAGTTGGATGGTTGGGGGGTTGGCGGTTTCTTGATAGAGCGTATTGATGTTGTTGTAAAGCTTCATGTTGAGAGTAATGTTTTTGAGAGAGAGAGAGAGAGAGAGAGAGTGTGTGTGTGTGTGTGTTTTTCTCTTCTTGGTGGGAAGGCGTGCGTGGGTTAGGGGCGTTGGGTAGATGGGTTTTTTTTCGCATATAGGGATTTTATAGAAAAGTTTTAAGGTATGAAGGAGAGTAGGGTGTAGGGAGTAGGAGGAGATATATATAGACGTGACTTTCTTATATATTGTGTTTTTATATGCGCTATGTAGTATCCATATAGTATTTAGTAGCCGTAATGCATAAAATAGTTTAGGTTTTTCATTTGGAGGGTCTGTGTATTTCTCTCAAACTCTTCTCTATACTGTCCTCCTCTTTCTTCCCCCTAACTATTCCATAAACAAACATTCAAATATCCACATATCTATGAATACTACGCTACATCTTTCCTCCCTGTTATATCAACAAAAAACCTGGAATGTTGAGGAACTTGACATGAAAAAAAAATCCAAGAAGAAGAGTGGGCGAGAAGAGGGGGCTGGAAGCTATGTAGAAAGTAGGGTTTGAGGGGTTGTACAAATGGTATCACAGCAAGTCCAATGCGAGGAACGAGAAGACGGGGGAAGATGTATGTAGATTATGACAAGTAAAGAAAAAAAAAGAGGGAGAAGGTGAAGGAGAAGGAGAAAGATGTAGCGCTAGGAAAGGCAGTCTAAGAAACTTGTTCAACATAAGTGGTGCAAAAAGGCTAACCTTCTGCACCGTGCAGAAGGTAGAGTAGATATATCCCGACAACATGTTATATGTTACTTCTACTATATACACACTTTATATACCTAGATTCACATATCAATCCCCAAGATATCCACTTCTAGCTGTGCAATTAGCAAGAACTTTTTTTCTGTATATATATATATATATATATGACTCTCGATTATGTGAACCAGGCACGTGATAGGAGCCTGTTCCACTTTTGTCGATGGGTTATTAGAAGAAGAAGAAGAAGAAGAAGAAGTGGTACACAATTCCTTCTTGGTGTGAAAAGATAAAAAGATAAAAAAAAACTATAGCGACCGCTCGACCGCCGCTAGCAATCATGTATCTACCTGCGTATTTCAGAGTTGGTAGGCGTGTGGCTGAGAACTTAGAGGGACGCGAAATGACATTACTGGATCTTGGGTATTTAGTTAGTGGGGGAGGAGTCGATAGATTGATACGTGTGGTGATGGATTCAATTTAGAGAGAATAGATCGGATGGCTTCTGCTGTTCAAAGAAGTCCTATCTATCGAAAGATATACATCTGCCAAGCTTAAGATATCGGGTAGCTGATGGCTATGTTTCTGGCCCACTAGGACGTCTGATCAAGTACTTCTAATACGCACTTGATTAGGTGCTGCTGGTTACTTGATTCATACCACGATAGTTAGGCTTACATTTGGCGCATCTAGTGATGTGTAGTGCGTATTAGGTGTTGTTATTCGTTAGCATCAGACACTGCCTACTTTTAGGGCATTGGCGATAAACCTGCACACTGGTAGGATATGTATGTTGATGGAATAGTAGTTAGATTCACTAGCGGTTTTTCTTGTCAAGACTCGTACTATTTGCTACACCTAGATCTCAGGTAGCCCATGTCGTACTTTTATGTCTTAACAGTCTCACGGCTATTTTCTACATGCGGTATCTATTTCGCTTTTGTTGCAGTGGACGTAGCATCCAGCGGAAAAGGTTAGAGAATAAGGCCTTTTTTTTCCTCTTGCACAGTTGATATCTCAGGTGGAAAGTCGCCTTGTGCATAATACTGCACTGCTAGTCAAAGGTGTTTGTATCTAGCAAGGACCATATTTACTTCCCTCATATGGTTTCTATATGCCTATTCTGATCGCAGAAGAAGTAGAGTATGCTGAAAAAGGTATTTAGCCTTCTTTACTCTTTTTAGATATTAAAAGCTAGATTATTGCTAATGCTTATGGTATAATAGCTACGTTGATGTCGTGCCATGTAGCTTTGGTAGTTAAATAACGCATAGGCTAACTCCTCACTAATACGAGCTTGACCGTATCGTTCTAGATATTAGGACCGCTAGTTTTGCGCTTATCTCCTTGGTCAAGCTTACACTTAGAACGATTGTATGGAAACTATTACTTGGCACCAGCAAGCAACACTTGGATTCGGATTAACACCTCTAGAAGGCGTTCTGGTGCGATATCTAATTGCTGACATACATATAAGCCGCAAAGTCGCTAATCCTACTCGGTCTTGGTTGCGCTTGGCGGTCGCAATTATTTTCCGGTGGTAGAGTGCAGCCTAAGGCATACAGTCAAGGATGTGTCGGTCTGATGCTGGTGTTGCAGCGCTGAATGTCTAATTAGCTATTTTCTGGACCTGGTCTTCGTGTAACGACATCAAGTAAAAATAACGGCTTCTGAACCAGGGTGAGTGTAGCAGAAGGGTCAAGACCAATGAGAGGGCCGATTTGGAGCTGTATCTGACGCAGTGAGCTTATTTTAGGGCTGTTGATCTTATCCGCCTCATCTCCGAACACGGCGTTACCCAAAAATACCTGGTGGTTCACAATTTGTTTTCTAGGGTTCCTCTTCAAGGCCGGGATAAGAGTAGTTGTTAAACCTAAGCATTAGCATGCTCACCCACATATACATGAAACCTCAGTTGAGAATTTGGGTGTAGTGAGCATGCCCCGGTTTTCGATTTTGGCGTCTTTTTATGCGCAAAGAGAAGATGCTATTACATGGCAGATTGCTAAGTACATTGACAAATCTGACGAGCTCCTACCACTGAATAGGTACAACAATGGCTACTTAAACGGATTAAAGTACGCACATTCTTTGCTCGGCACTTTACTAGCGGCGCCTTGGAGTCCCCGAATGCTGAGTGATGCTTGTTTTTTTGCACGAAATAATCCCGCTGTCGGACTAGAACTTCACCGCCGACAAAACATGAGGGTGATGGAAGAGGTACAATGACTTGTGAGTGCTATTGAGAGACGTATGAAACAAGAGAGCGGCGGGGGTTTCTATGCGTGAGCTAGAAATGCCATAGAGTGCCTAGAAAGAAAATGGCGCAGTTTAGAACGCCAACAATTAGGAAGCGTATCCGGAATGTCCACTATTACCCACAATGCTCCATGATGGCCTGGTCATAATGTCAGCATGTAGCAACGCCGAACGCCTGGCATTTTGCCGCTGATATTCATGGCTTGGAACTGCAAACTCGGTCGTTTATCGATATTCTCAATAGCAACGCTGCAACATGTATAAAGTTAGTTCCACCACCATTATGTTCAATTTCTTGTATCCATTGGGTCGCTGCTCTTTCTAGTTCGCTGTAAACCGGCACGATGCAGTTTCTACTCAACCTTGCTTGCCTCGCGCTGGTTGCCGCCACACATGCTCCCAGTCCATCGCCGGTTTCCTACGACCGCTACCAAGTCCGCCGCTTCGATGCCAGAAGTGAAGATCTCCAAGATGCCAAACGCGCAATGTCCAGTATTCCGCACCGATCCCTGAACGAGGGCGACGGGTTCTGGGACGTGCTCGTTGCACCCCGACACGTGGATGCCGTCGAGGCCCTTGCGATGAAACCGAGAACTCTGCATGAGAACCTGGCCGAGTCCATTGCTCGCGAGTCTCCGGTCAAAGGGATATCGAAGAGACAGGTGAAGTCGTCAGATGACACCTGATTCGACAGCTACCATTCATACGACGATGTACGTAGTGATATACCAATTCCGAGTGGAGCACCAGGCTGACATCAGTGAAGCACGTAAAATGGTGGAAGGACTTACAGGTTGCATTCGCGGGTAATTGTAGCTTGACTGTTGCGGGAAAATCATACGAGAACCGTGACTTGTTTGGTATGCATATTTGGGGGGAAGGTGGCCCTGGTCGTCCCGCAATCATCTATCACGCGGATGTGCACGCTCGTGAATGGATCACAACTCCGGTAAGTAGTCCCATTACATATGTTTCTCGTCACTAAATTGTGCTAGGTCGTCGAGTATATCGCGAAGCAGCTACTTACCAGCTTCGTAGCTAAGTCTAATACAACCTTGTACCTCCTTAATAACTTCGACTTCTACATTTTTCCATTTGCGAATCCGGACGGTAAACAATGACTTGGTGCAGTACATATTACGAGCGATCTGCTGACACATTGCAGGCTTCGTTTACTCGCAAACCAAGGATCGTCTCTGGCGCAAGAACCGTCAGCCACCACCAAAGAATGCGAACCAGGACTGCATAGGCCGCGATGTGGGTGAAACCCTATCTTCAATCGATTGGAACCAAGCTGACTTTGATCTTCTGTACTTAGATCAACCGTAACTGGTTGACAAATTGGAATATTACCGGTGGGGCGTCTACAAACCCTTGTGATGAGGACTACAAGGGAAAAGAGGCCAACGACGCACCTGAAACGCGGGCTCTGTCCGACTTCATTACCAAAATCCGCGACACGCAAAAGATTAGAGCGTTTATCGACTGGCACAGCTACGCTCAGCTTATCCTGTATCCATATGGAAACGACACTGGCCTGTACGCGCCAGAATTATCCATATGGACTCAGACGGCGAATCAGATGAGCAACAACATCCGCAAGGCATCAGCCAACGGTACCACCTTCACTTTCGGCCCAAGTGCGATGCTCTTATACAAAACAACAGGCACTTCTATGGATCATGTCTATAAAGTTGGCGGCGCCAAGTACTCAATGACGATTGAGTTGCCAGACCTTGGCGACCACGGCTTCGTATTGCCCCCAGAAAGGATCAGGCCTATTGTTAAGGAACAGTGGGCCGGTCAGCTGGCTTTTTTGGATGCTTTCCAGTATGGAGGACTTGGTTCATGAGCTTGGGCATGGCACAGCACAGAGCTAGGCACAGGAAGGTGCTCTGCGTTCGCGTTAGTATATGTACTTTCTAATGATTGCATCCAACTATTCTCAGCGGCGTATTCTAAGACTCCTTTCTGGTTGTTTCGAAACCCATGTGCCTACAACACTCAGCATTCATCTCCACCCTGTGCATGCTACTGGAAACCGGCTTCACTAAGAATCACTATCTGAATCCAACTAGCAATGTCATTTCGAGGATTCCCATCGGCCAAGGCCAATGCGCCATCCCCACTCACTCTCAGTCTCCTCATCACCAATCCCCGCCTACTTTACTCACCATCATCTTCGCTACTTAAAGCAGTATTTAGAAACTCCAGACCCGAATTGTCCAATATGCGATACCGCCGTGAACCAAACCTTGAGATTTCTCCCCAGCAAGAGCCAGCAGAAACAGCCGACGAGATGGGCGGACCATATCGTACACCTTCACCTGCGAGGGAGTCCTACATCAGTTCGAGTAAGTGAGCTATAAATAGATTCAAGAAAGATTTATCATGTCTGACGATGCCATAGGCAATGTAAACTCGCCTGAACGCTCACCTCTATTTGGGAGTGACTCGGAAGAGTTCTTCGACTATACCCAAGACACCGACTATTCTGTTTCGACAATGGAGGACAGTCGTGCGTATAGGAGGCACATGGCAAGCCTTTCGCGTTTCCGGCACATCTTCGATGCAAACAGCAGCCAGCCGCAAAACGCCTCCAGCCAGCCGATTGAGAAAGACTCGACTACTCATGGAGACATCAAGGCAGAAACGACGCCCGAGATTGAGCAGCCAAAGACTCCTACTAAGAAGCGCGTGCCGCTGCACTGGCATGGAATGCTCTCGCCGCAAACCCCCGGGTTCGGCATGCATGCATCAAAGTCTCAGTCTCCCTGTTTGAGCGACGGGACGGGCGATACCACCGCAACTGAGACTTCAAACAGCCTAGTATTGCGCGACAAGCAGCCTCAAGATGTCTTCACGAGCGCAAACGAATGTCCAGACGAAGGTGGAGAGCATGCCGTGGAGGACAAGATGCATCCTGCCGTGGAAGAGGCACAGCCAGCATCTCCAGGTCTGAGTAGCGCAATGATAGAGCCACAGGCAGATGTGCCGAAGGAAGAGCCCGTAGCTGATGTGGAAATGGCTGGAAACGATGTCGAGCGCGATGCGATACTTGCACGCCAGCTCGAAGAGAGCCCAAGTCCAACGCAGACACGTCGCAGTGCCAGACTGCGTCGACAGGCAAAGCCAGAATGTAAGCCTCCCTCCACCTTCGCAACACCCCATGGATGAGTATTGATCATATTCTTGCCCAGACAACCTCAAGCAGCTGGCCGATACTGCACGCCCTGTCCGCAAGCCTAACACCAGCGAAGATGCTTCCACTCAGCCAGAACTCAGCATCGTCCCGTGCAAATCCGAGCCAGTACCATTCGAAGGCCTTCCCGCAGTGCACTCTCTATCGTGGCAACTGCAGTATCCGCCCGGCGGAAGCACACACCCCTCGTATCCCTACCCAGTGCTCGACCCGCGCCTGATCTTCCATCCGCCCTTTGTCCCGATCGTCGACGGATTACCGGACATCGCTCGCGTCCCGAAGCTCGTACTGCCCATGCACTGGAGGCACGTCTCGTGGGCTGGCCTGCTTCCCGTGGTATTTGATCCATACCAGCAGGCATTCAAACTAACGCCCGTGGGCCCATTGCCACTGACATGCGAAGAGCTGCGCCAGGGCGGCCTCCACGAGTACGTGCCGGGCGGCAAGCTGCATCCTGAGTACGGTCTGCTTCCCGACATGCTGAAGCTGAGCGACGGATCAGACGCCGAAGTGTTTGATTTCGACGGCGTAGACTGGACACTGCCGTGGGAGGGCCAGATGGACTTCCACGCCCCATGTGCATTGAGGACGCTGTCTAACACGAGAGTCGACAGTGCCGTCAGCCCCACTGCTTCCGCCATGCCGCCGTCCATCGATGCCGCTATGCTCCCCTGGCGCGAAGCCCGCGACTGTCCAAACACAATCATCGACCTGGCGGACGCATGGCGCTGGCTGGCGGCCAAAGAAACAAACCCCACCGCCGACTTCGTCCCTACGCCCGGAAAAAGGTGGCATGGCCGCGGCGCCTACCGCTCCTCACGGAAGTTCAAATCGCCCATCCCAGAGCTGATGATGTTTGCGCTGGATGCCGCCACAGCGGAGTCGCTGTCGCCGGCAGACGCCGTGCTGCAGAACCAAGACACGCCTATTCGAGGCAAGGCGGTCAACGACTTCTGTCCCTTCAAGAGCGTCGCCACGCCCGCAAGCGTCGACATCACGCTGCTGGGCGACACGGAATTCACCGTCGTCGAGCTGCTGAGCTACTTCCCGCTGCACTACTACTGGGGCCACGCCGCGGAGCGCCTGGCGACTGCGGGCTTCTCGCCCCGCACCATCCTCGACATGATCTGTCTGACGCGCGCGCTGGACGCTGAGGCGGCGCCGCGGCTCTCGACTATCGCGGGTGTGGTGAGAGATGCGCGCAAGAGGGGTCTAGTCAAGGAGGATATTGAGATGCAGGATGAACAAGGCAAAGAAACATCGTCGACGCCCGCTGCAACACCAGAAGTGCCGAAACCCCGTTTGGTGGATCTGGCGCCGGGCTATACGGCGGAGGGCTGGTCTTACGACAGCTGCGACAAGATTGACTATCCGCTGCTTGCTCTGGCGCATGGCGTGCAGGCGCTCCCGGCAGGTGTTGACGCTGGCCCACTGACTGCGCTTATTCTTTGGTGTAGGCAGAACGGCCGCTATCAGGTTCTGCTCAGTGAGGTCCCCGGGCTGCTGCGAGAAGCGCAGATTGAGCCGTTGATTGAGCCGGGCGAGGGCGGGTGTCCGGACAAGGAGGTCTTGGGTCGGTATGCAGAGGCGTTGAAGACGGACCGATTGAGGGTTGCGAGGTTGGCGGGGGCTAGGAAGAGAGCCATGGAGGCCCTGGATGAGGGAAAGACCAAGAGGAAGAAGGTGGAGTAGGGTGGTGATGAAGGACGGGCTTTGGCATGGGATGGAGGGATGGCGTGATGAGCTAGAGAAGCGATTGGGCATCGCGAAAAGCTGCTTACTGATGTATCCCGTACTCAGAGTGGCAGCTTGCGCCGGTCTTTGTACAAGAGCTTTTCTGGTGTTTGTGTGTGTGGCGATGATCATGCTTGGGTATCGGGCTCATGGCAAAAAGAGGAACTAGGCAGGCATTCAATAGTAGTAGCAGTAGTAGCATTCAATTGATGCTCAAGTTGAAACATAAAACATGGAAATATCCCTTTTCTCCTCACCATTTTCATCCACCTCGTCGTGATATCATGCTCTCAAAAGGAATGGAACTGCCCATCAAAAACACCGACTTTGTGCTTTATCCAATTCAAAATCTTCGTCTTTTTACGGAGATACCCGTCTGACACTTGTAGCACGGTTGCTTGCGTATTACATCATCGGAATACCGGACAGAGGGCCAATTCCACACTACTAACAGTCAGCATAGCCCCACCATTACGGCTTCTTGAAGAGCACACTTACCGCTGCCGGCGGTGAAGGACATCCGCCCTTGGAGCTCATGTAGCAGCCCATCTGCGCTGCGTATTTCATCAGGCACTTCTCGTTGGCGTTGAGCAGGTTGTTAGGGATGACGGGCATGTTGCATTTGCATGCCTGTTTCAAAATGGGCGTTGGCTCCTTGTGGTGGTGGTGCTTGTGGGTGCGGTTGGGCTTTTGGCTGCCCTTTGCGCTAGTAAGGACGCCGCTCTGGGGCTGGGCCCATGGGTAGGGTGTTGCGAGGGCAGCCGTGGTGAAGAGCAGTGCTGTAACGAGAGATGGGAAATGCATCTTGGGTAGTGACTGTGGACTTGGTGGATTGCGAGGCAGTGTAAGAAAAGAGTCGTGCCAGACGGCCAAGACCACGAATATGTATGTAGTGTTTGGCAGGTTGTCAAGGAGAAAAACTGTGGTGCGACGGCTAGGCGGAAGATGGGTTACTTCTACCAGATATTCGGCGTCCTACTTGCGTGGCAATATACACTATTGACGAGGCTGCATCTCCATATGCATTGCAGGCGTCCAATGGCATAGGGCCGGTTAAAGTTGTCGTCCTAAAATAGAGACGCGTGTCTCTCAGACTGCGCCGATAGGCGAACTGGGCCTTCAGCCGCAAGATCTCAAGAGCCTGAAAAGGGAAATCAGCCCCAGGTGCGTGTTTGGTGTTCTAGGAAAGCGACTCTGATGTATTGGCAGTATTCCTTGGCTTACTGCCAAGTTGATGAGTATTTTGTTGCCACTGCAAAGATAAAGATGCGCGCATGCTTGGGATGCTGCGAGAATAGCAGGTCAATTGTCGTAAAGTTTGCCATGATCTGCTGTGCTTCCCTTGGATATGATGTGCAACACTTTTGCCGGATCATGTCGACGCCACCCATGACCTTGTCATGTTTGAAATTGGCCTATTTGCGTGCCTTGTCGCGATGGCAAAAGCAATTCCTCTAGCCTCTCTTGGCCGTCGCCGTCATGTTTGTCGATTTTCAATATATCTAGCAACATGTGTTGACTGGCAGGCATCCTCCTGAGGGTTTTTTGGGGGCCGATGGCTGTTGCCAGGGAAGAAAGGGCTGGACAGCTCGATGGATTCCACTGTCAGGCTATGATGGTCGATGGCACTAGAAAATCTTCGCCTTGCTGCCGAATCGTCTTCCTCGTCAGCTTACGGTGCATACAGATCATGTGTGAGCTTTTCCTCGTTTGTGTAGCGTAGGGCCGTCTCCACCATTGGACTACACTGAACACGGGAAAGCCGCCGTAAGGCCGCCGTCTGGACTCGCGGGGATGGACAGGGAGCTGTTCTGGGAGGTCTCGAAGCCACCCACATGTCGCGCGGACTGGGGAAGGATGGCAAAAAGGTGATTAGTGTCGTGATGTTGGCAGAAGGGTGTGGCTCAGCCTGACGCGTGGCGAGCTAGCGCCAAGACTTTTAGTCAGTAGCGCACTTGCCGTACGCTTCGCCCCGAGATTCCGTTTTCTGGTGGTCGGCACCTTCCCCATCCACCAACAATGCCACCGCTGTACGCTATTTGGCCTCACGCTTTGTATCTTGATCTGCTCACACTTGTAAATCACAATCATCAGCCGCTTTTTAATACTCAGTTTTCTTGTCTCGACTGGCAATCCGCCTAAATCCAGGATTCAAAGCGACTCAAAGTTCTATTGGATACCCTTCAGCCCTACTCGGCATTTACCCAGTCATATTTGTACCACCTCGAGGTCCTTCAGGCTAGACGACTACCACTTCCACGCCGATTTCAACGTCTTACTGAATGGACTGTCGAATGCGAAGAACCAGTCTGTTGGTCAACTCCTCAACATGGTGTGTTGTTTTCGGCATGTTGAATGTGTTGTGCGCCAAGGACAATTGAGACACTCCCGACTCTACCGACGGCAATGACATTCAAAATAAACATGTACTCCATTGCTATATCAGTTGCTATATCAGTTGCTAGCGATGTTTATTTCCAGGTGGCATCAACAGTAGCCACGCTCGAGCATCCCGTTGGAACAGTGTACGCGCGGTTAGCACCAGACTCATACGTAACCGCACCATTGCTGTCTACCTTGATGAACTTATAATCAAAGCTAGTGCCAGCCGGAAGGTCAATCTTCGTCGTCCACAGCGGGTTTGAAGCGGTGTATTGGCTCGCAGAGAGTGCAGGCGCAGACGCCGTGTTCCAGTTGCCGAGCTGCGAGATGGATCCAGCAATCTTGACTGTCTGACCAACCGACGTTGTGGTCTTGGAATTGAAAGTCACCGATACAGTTGATACAGGCGTTGCGCAGCCGCCAGGCGCCGGTGTCGAAGTCGGCTTCGTCGAAGAGGCGGGGGCCTTGCTTGAAGTGGTTGGAGTCGAGCCGCCTGATCCGCTGCCAGTGATCTTGATATCAGCGCAGGTGAGGTATATCTGCGGCGTCTGGAAAGAGTTCCACTTGAACGAAAGCAGCGTGTGGTTGCTTATGTAGTTGGGGATCTTGATCTTCGAGCTGACTGTGTATCCGCCAGCGATGCTGGTATAGCACGAGTTGAGGGCTGCATTATCGACGCCCCTACATCTTGTGCCAGAGTTGAAGCCACCACCTCGTTGTTGTCAGACGATGTCCTCATTTTGAAGGTTGAGAAGCACTTACATGTGAACCAGTCGTTCCTCCAGCACGCCTGGCCTTGCTGGCAGTCTGCATTAAAGCCGCACGTCTGACCAGGCACGTCTGTGCATTTCAACTCTCCAGCTTGGAAGCATTTCTCAGCCGCTTGCTTCTCTGCTTCGGTAGGAAGATATCCGGGAGTCAAAAACTTGTCGACAAGAGCTTGATCTTGGCATATCCGGTAGCTGAACATGCCGCCGTGGTCGCCGTTGGCATCGAGGCACCACTGCACATCAACTACATCGCCACCCTTGTAGGTAATGACGGGCTGCGATCCCCAGCGAGGGCCGGGTTGGTTGTAGTCGACGGACACGCGAGCGTTGTATCCGCAAGGACCCGAACGGACCACTGTCGCGGCATCGAGGTCAGGCCATGCCGTTACCGGCTCAAGAATAGTACACTCCGGGCACGTGTCTGCTCCAGCCTGGAAGATATTTGTCAGTTCTCTCTGGTCGCCATCTTCAATTTCTTGGCGGAAAGGACAAACTTACTTGAGCATTTAAGCCTGTTCGGCTCATAGGGGAGGAGAGATAGCCATGCGCGTCAGTGCCCACTGCAAGAGCAAAGAGCGTTGCAATCTTGGACCACATAGTCAAAGGATATGCTTTGCTGAAAGATTGATCAGAGAAGAATAAGTTTAACAAATCAAGTCTTGGACGATGCGATTACACAACAAACCCCATGAGTTTACTCCCCTCTGGCTATATACAAACTCATCTTTACGACTTCACGATCCACTCCTTGATACTGCCTTGTTGGACATGGCGATGTTTCCTTCTCTTTTGGTCCTCCTGACACACCCCGCATGGATGCAGGCAGGCTACAAGTTTTCATTGGATTGAAGTCGGCACACAAGTCACGACGCTTGGATGTATAGATGAAGTTTGCCGGAGCAGAAATGATGGTGCATTTTCCATGGCTTCTACGAGCTTCGCGAGCTGCATAAACGGCATTAGCGCAGCCGGCTCCGCATTCCTGTACCGCGACGCAGATTCGTGGAATTTCCATGTACAAGGTGTGTCGACACGCTTGTGGCTCCAACTACCGGAGCGCGCCCTTCTCCAGCGCCAGCCGACGATGCAATAACGTAGCGCGCTTCGGCCGCTTGCTCTATTCATCGTAGTCGCGGCAAGCAGCAGGGCGGCGATTGGATCGCAGTCGGAAGTGCAGACGAGGTCGTCAGCGCTTAAATTTCAGGACGGTGATGGGAGACTGGTCATGAGAACGCAACAACGTCGCCCGGCCCGCACCGTAAATTGGAAATGCCCGTCGCGAAGTCGTGGATTGCGGGGACGCCACCTTGTGCATGACGCTGCCAACGCCATTTCGCGTGCCAGGTCAGCTCGCTTGAGTCGCCACCCTCATTCAAACCTGCGACGCTGCTCATTTCTCCTGGGAGCCCCACAACCTCTAGTCTGCCCCCAGCCTAGTACGCGACGGGAGCCCTCTGCGCGACAGGCCACTACCACTGGACAACGGGTACAAGCCGATCATTTCGCGTCTTAACTTCCTGATCGGGCGTATGGACCGCCTCTTATAGCCCACGACTTTGCTCCAAATGTCCACGAGGTACAACTAGGGCCTCCCGCTCGGTCCGAGAGATCGTCATGCGTAAGTGACTGTACGGCCACATGTTTGCCAGTGGATTTATGACGGTCCGGACCAACATTCTCGTCCCTTACGTACCTTCTAACTATCCCGGTTCTCTTAGCATCGTGGGCCATCTCAAAGAGGCATCCAAGCTACCGAAAAGGCTTTGCCAGGGTCGCTTGAGCTTGGCCTGAGGTTGTGGGGTCACATCCACACTGCGGGTAGCCGTGTAGCACAACATCTTCGCAACACGTCTATAAATCCAGCGCTCAACCTCGTCTTTTCCAGGGCAGTTCTCCACAGAGATCTTCAAGCATCAGCCTTGGGGAACACTCCTCTCGCCAAGATGTTGTTGCTTCAACTCATCACCGCGCTTTTCGTCTACATCACCACCATCGTCTCAGCTGCTGACACCAGCGCTTGGAAGTCACGCAGCATTTACTTTGTCTTGACGGATCGCATTGCTCGCAGCAGTACTGACACGGGCGGCTCGCAATGCAGCAACCTTGGGGCCTACTGTGGCGGAACATTCAAGGGCCTTGAGTCAAAGCTCGACTACATCAAGGGACTGGGCTTTGATGCCATCTGGATCACCCCTGTCGTTTCCAGTATGTATATCCTACTTGGCACAGACATTCGATCCCATACTAACGTGCCTTGTAGACAAGGCTAATGGATACCATGGCTACTGGGCTGAGGACTTGTACGCCATCAACTCAAACTACGGCACTGCTGATGACCTGAAGAGTCTGGTCAACACTGCTCACTCCAAGGTATGTCCGCTTACAACCTGCCCACCTTGCATTTCCTTATTCGTCACAGGGAATCTACATGATGGTCGACGTTGTGGCGAACCATATGGGACCGGGCGCAATTACGAACAACCGCCCCGAGCCGTTGAACCAGGCCTCGTCATACCACGCAGACTGTGCCATCAACTACAGCAATCAGACCAGTATCGAGGTATGCGAGATTGCCGATCTCCCCGACCTCTTCACAACCAAGAGTGAGATCCGTACCTTGCTCAACACCTGGGTCTCCTGGCTCGTAAAAGGGTACAAGTTTGACGGAGTCCGCATCGACACGGTCAAGCACGTCGAGAAGGACTTTTGGCCGGGATTCTCCTCTGCAACCGGTGTTTATAACATTGGCGAGGTATTCGACGGAAACCCATCTTACCTTGCCGAATACGCCAAGCTCATGCCAGGTCTCCTCAACTATGCGGTTTACTACCCAATGAACAACTTCTACCAGCAAAAAGGCTCGTCTCAAGCGCTCGTTGACATGATGAACACCGTCAGCAACTCGTTCCCTGACCCCACAGCATTGGGCACCTTCCTGGACAACCACGACAACAAGCGCTGGCTGAACGTGAAGAACGACAGGACTCTGCTCAAGAACGCCCTGGCCTATGTCATCCTCGCGCGTGGAATCCCAATCCTGTACTACGGAACCGAGCAGGGCTATGCTGGTGGCGACGACCCAGCTAACCGCGAGGATCTCTGGCGCAGCAACTTCAACACCAACAGTGATCTCTACCAAGCCATCCAGAAGTTGACTAATGCAAGGAAGGCCGCTGGTGGACTTGCCGGCAACGACCACGTCCACCTGTACGTCGCCGACACTGCCTACGCCTGGAGCCGAGCTGGCGGCAACCTTGTTGTCCTCACCACAAACTCTGGTGGTAGCTCCAGCCCGCAGCACTGCTTCAACACGCAACGGGCCAACGGCCGCTGGACCAATGTCTACGGCAACGGCGCCACCGTAACGGCCGACGGCAACGGCAACATTTGCGTCACCGCCACCAACGGCGACCCCGTTGTCCTCGTCGCAGGCGCCAACACCGGCACACCGACTACCCTCTCGCAAAGCGCCGGCCCGGCACCCACCGGCTGCTCTTCCACCGTCTCCGTCTCCTTCACCCAGCGCGTCGTCACCGTCCCCGGCGACACCATCCGCATCACGGGTAACACCGCCCAGCTCGGCAACTGGACCCCCACCCAGGGCCTGGCCCTCTCCGCCGCCAGCTACACCTCCAGCAACCCCATCTGGACCATCACCGTGCCCCTTGCAGCAGGCTCCTCTATCCAATACAAATTCGTCAAGATCAGCAGCGGAGGCACAGTTACCTGGGAGAGCGACCCTAATAGGTCGTACACGGCGCCTACGTGCCAGGCTAGCGACAGCCTGACGAGCTCGTGGCGGTGATGGGTGTGTGGAACCTGAGATTGTGATTACTCCTTTTTTTGGGGGGGGGCTTTCTTGTCTCGTGAGAGTGGAGGGTAGTAGTTGAACCCTCGCTTGCTCGCTCGCTCGCTTCGCTAGCAAATTTATGTCAAGCCTTGTGTACAATTTTACATACTCTCGGGGGGGTTTTTTTTAACTTCTTCCCTGTGGTAAAAGATATGTAGTGACACGATCAAAAAAAATTTCGGACGTTGACATTGTGCCTGAGCTGTGTGGGATGAGCTTCTGGTACATATCGAGTATCTTTGAAGCTATATTTTCGCTGCTTTTACCTACTTTTTGCGTTCTAATGCTTCGTGAAATTCCCAATGCTGAGGCGCTGTTTTGCTGGGAATCGCACGTCTGCAAGATGGCACGTGACCGTTTTCCACTGAGTATTTTCCTGACGTCTAGTACAACGACTTGGTAAGCTAGTTTTTCCATCAACTAAGCTTGTACCTGCTATACTTTCTCACTCCAACTATTGCGTAAACTGCGCCCGGTAACTCCATCATAACGGTTCTACAGCGCATCCCTCTCCCTTTCCCTACCCCAGCAAAACCGCACTCTTCCCTACTTCCTCGTAACCTTCTTCCTCAAATCCGCACATCCCACGCGCTTCCACAATCCTGCTCCCAGACCCTCCACACAGCGCTCGCCCTCCTTTTAAACTCGTCGTCCCCCAATTCCCCCTTTACAAAATCCACCAGACTAAACCGTCTCGCCATATTCTCCCAGTACCCACCACCAGGAATACTCTGGTCCCCGCCGTAAGCCGCAAGCCAAGCCCCCGTCTTAGCGCCCTCATCCGTCTGTGTGGCAACGAGCTTCTCGGTGGCTTTGAGGACGGCGTAGATGGGATCCGTGAGCCATGTGCGCCAGGTCATGTTGACCTTGGAGAAGATGGCGCTTGCGGTGAAGCCCGGGGAGAAGGCATGGGCGGTGCGTTTGGAATCCGGTGATGATGCGGAGAAGTGGGTTTGGAGAAGAGCTGCTAGAAGGACTTGGTGCGCTTTTGTTTGTGAGTAGATGGGTACGGCGCTTTGGCGCAGGCCCAGCGCTTGCTTGGCTGTGTGTACGAGACGCGGTAATGCTGCGCTGCCTGGTGGAGGACTGCCTGGTTGCGGCGGCCGCGCGGAGAAAAGTAGGGAGTGTGCGGCGTAGTGGCCGCCGCTGCTGGTGAAGACGATGCGGGCGTTGGATGCGAGACTGTGCTCGAGGAGGTGCGTCATGAGGAAGCTGCCGAGGACGTTTGTTGCGTAGACGGTGTCGAGGCCTTTGTCGTTGAGGCGCCGGGTCCCTGTGGGGATGTCTGGAATGCCAGCGTTGTGCACGAGCATGTCGATAGTATTGCTGCTGCTGCTATCGCGAGCAAGCCATTTTTCGCAGAATGCGCGCACGCTGTTCATATCGCCCATGTCGACTTTCCAGCAGAACACCTGTCCGGTTTTTGTGGCCGTCTTGTCGCTATTCACGGGCTTGCCCGCATCGTTGCGCAGCTGAGACTCGATAAACGACACCGCTGCGTCTCCTCGTTCTTGATTCCGGCATGCCAGACACACGGTGGCGCCTTGCTTTGCCAGTCTGAGAGCAATGAACAGGCCGATTCCGCTGTTGGCGCCCGTGACAATGGCTGTCTGCCCGCTGAGGTCTCGCTGTGGTGGCTTCTGAGGCGGGTAGAGACGCGCGAACCAGATGTTGAAGAAGGTTCGCAACATGCCGTTGAAGAAAGAGAGGTACAATGCTACAGAAGCCATGGCAGCGCAGCTACAGGTTGCCTTTTTCGATTCCTTGCTCTTGCAGAATTGGACGTGGTGGATCTGGACTTGAATGGAGTGACTGAAAGGACGACTCCCAAGTGTGCTGAGACCACCGGTTTTGTAGCTATCGCTGCTAAGTGGGGTACGACGCTTGTGATGATCGATTCAATGGAGAAAAATGTGTAGCGAGTATGTCATCGTCTGTCGCAATACTACGCCTGGTGCTAGCCAGTCTGGGGTTGCAAACAATGCATGTAAGACGGGGGGAACGGATACAATAAAAAGGGCGGGGTTGTTGCACTCAAAAACGACTAGCGAATGCACTGGCGCACTAGTGACTAGGACGTAGAATTTGCAGGACAGACGGAACCACGAGCTGAAGATTTGAGTTAGGCTGAAGTAGTAGGCACAGCATGTGAAATGTGCTTCCCAGCAAGGCGTCATGGCGCTATTAGCCGGGCGAATACTTGAGTAGTGTAGCGAGCATGGTGGCTGCAGCTGGCTCATAAGGCGTGCAACATGACCAGCAAATCGTCGGAGATGGCATTATTAATAATTCATTGACCTGGTATCTTGATTCAACATCGTGAGCCTAGAGACCCCGCATGATATCATCGATGGTGACGGGTTTCCTGACAGCATTCGAGAAACCTTCATGGAACGATACCCATATCCTGCCCACGTCTCCCCGCATATCCCCGAAATCATGTTTCCTCTTGCCCTCCTTCCGGCTTGTGTCCGTCTCTTGAATAATTCGCCCAAAAAAGTCCCGCTTGACGGCCTTTTTGTTGACTGCTGCGATTTTGTCCTCTGTGGACATCTCCTCCTTCTTCGCAGCCTCGGTGTCGTCATCAAGCTCATCTTGACCGCCACGGCGCTTGCGATTGGCCTGCTCACGAAGAGCAGAGTCCTTTCGCCATTCTTGTTCGAGCACGCTGCGGACTGCATAGCGTACTTTGTCGTCTTTCTTGCCGGCTAGCGTCTCAAAGGTGGCTAGAGCATCAAGAGCGGGCTCCATTCGCCAAATGAAGCCCGCACTTCGATGTGTGACCTCCTCTGTTTCAATGCGTGACTTTTCAAAGCGTACACCTGTGGCGGCCATGGCCTCGACAGCCTTCTTCACTAGCTCTTTTTCTGATGCTTTGCGTACTGAGGCCGTGGCCACTGATTTTGATCCTGCGGGGCCAGTATTGACGAGCACAGGTTTCACGTCAGGCGACAACATGCGCAGGACATATGGTATCAGTTCCATTGCCATTTCTTCTGGGCTCCGGAACATACGAGTCAGTGGCAAGCTCAGAGTCGTCTGTAGCGCCATCAACTGGGCTTTGCTGGCCTTGGTCTGTTCAGCTGCTGCAAAACTGGCGCCAGGGCCTGAGAAGGGAGTTGGCTGCGCGTCGGGATCCGCAACAGGGTTGGCAGATGAGCGAATGGGCGAGGCAAACAGGCTATGGAACGCTAGGACGGAGTTGGAAAGGTAAGGTGCTAGCTCCCATTCTTGTGAGCCATGGACGGCAGAGCTGAGTGTATCGTGGAAATGCAACCATTCATAAGCTGCGTTGGGTTTGCTGAGGAAGGTGTCATCTTGGAAGGGCTTCTCGGGATACACAGTGAAGCAGTCTACTAAATGTTAGTGCTCTGTACGTATTCAGTATCTGTGAACTTACCAGTCACAATGCGGTCGCAGTCACCACTCGTGTCGACCATCTCCCTCAGCCGATCCATAGCACGTCGCTTCCCCGCCTCTGCAACACCAATAACGCCACTTTTTGCTCTTGCAGCTGCCGTGGCCGGGTCAGTCGTTTCAGCTTGCTTAGGGAAACCAGCACCTTCACGGAAGACACGGTCGACTACGTCTTTTGCACCGCCTCTACCCAAACTGCGAGTGGCCCCTCCACCATGTTTCAAGTCATTGACAAGATTGTCTTCTATCCACTTCCGTGACAGATGTGGCAGATCTTTCGACTTGTAGCCATGTGCAGCTCGCAGTCGCCCTGCGATCCACTCGCTGACCACCATAATACCACGAATGTCTCCCTCGCCTGTGCCACTTCCAGTTCCACCTTCTTTCTTTGTGCTCACACCCCATGTAGCTTCGCACAAGCGACGGACGCCGTCCGAGTCACATTGGATGCCTTCTTTCGTGAAGATATCCTGCATGCGCGAAACTACCATGTTGAGACCAGGTTTGCGGATGTGCACAATCTCCGCCATCGAAGACTGTCGCAACGGCCGTAGCGAAGGGTGATAGAGATCGTTGCAGATGAGTATGAGTGGGCGTAATAGACGGAATTTGTCCCCCTTCTTCTTAGTGCTGGTCGTTGACTGCTGCTGTCCAAGCGCCTTGGTATTCTTCTCGTCCAGGTTGATGAGGTCGATGAGCGCTTTTATAAAACCACCTTCACCGGAGCCGCCACTGCCCACTACACCGTCTACTTCGTCGACCACAACGCATACAGGCTTGCCAGCCTTACGGACTTTTCCATTTGCTGTGCTGGTGTTGATACCGCGCACATTCTCAGTTCCTACCATGTCGCGAATACGGCCTTTGACAACGTTTCCACTGCGCTCGTCGGAAGCGTTAATCTCTTGGACCTCATAGCCAGCTTGTCGCGCACAGACGTGAGCGAGGGTAGTCTTTCCCAGTCCAGGGGGTCCAGTCAAGAGCAAAACTTTGCGATGTCTTTGTTCATCCTCCTCAAATCCATTTTTGGCTTTTTTCGATTTTGCCTTTGTAGATCCGGGAAATACAATAGGATCCCATGCCTTTAGCCAGCGCAGCACCGATCGGTGTGTTCGTTCGTCTCCGACCAGATCTGTGAACTTCTTCGCTCTGTACTTCTCGGTCCACATGAGCGTACGATTGCTCTTTCCGCTTTTGCTGACCGGGTGTTCGACAGATTGCTGTGGTAATTCCAGGTTCTGCATTGAGTTGGTCAGCGCCTTCTCTTGATCAAGCGCTTTGGCCTCATCCATCAGCTGGTGAATGTTGAGTCCGTAGTAACTCGTCCTCGCCTTGCCTTGGACAGGTTCGGAGCGTGCGGCAATGACTTCTTCGTATGACTGGATTTCGCGTCTCGCCTTCTTCGGTATGTATATTGCTTTCCCAGCGGCATTGCGAGCCACGATGCCACGCATAGGGTGTGCTGAACCCGGTTCCAGTGACGCGTACGGCCGTTTAACGGGTGATTGCGACTGTGACTTGAAGCTGTAGTTGTCGAGCTCCTCGACTGGTATTGACTCTGGATCTGCTGGCTCATCTTGACTCGCAGGTGGTGTGCAATGGGTCAAGCCCTCTGGAACTGCGGGTAGGTCTCTAATACTGCTCACGGCCCTCCTCTTCATCGTGTGTTCCTTCAGTGCTGCAATATCCTCCTCATCGTCCGAGTCGTCCAGAAACCCACCAATCTTGCGGGTCGCATTGTTGTTTGGTACATCCTCCCGGGAATCTTCGAAGCGCTTTCTCTTCTTTGGTGACGGTGGCTGCGGCATTGACGAGCTAGGTGGATATGCAATGGGGGACGAGGTGGGCGGCATGTTGTAAAGTGGGGGTGACGAAGGCAAGGGTAGCTCTTCAGTCGCAGTTGAGCAGTCAGCAAAGCAGCGCTTGGCTAGCGAGTGCTTGCGTCGTTTTGCGGGTGTTTCTGGAGGGATTAGTCCTGGTCGCGGTACGTGTCGACACCAGCAGTACCAATCACGCCCTCGCCTTCACTTCGAAATACGTCTGCAGTTTTCCAAGCGCGGTGCTGTATGACGATTCCCGCGCTGTTCTTCTTGGCCGTGTCTTCGACGATGCACTGCTGCAATGCGTCAAGTTCGTCTGAATGGGAGGGAATAGCGTGTGCGTCGTGGATTAATTCGAGTTCGGAGTGGAGCAGGGCAGGGTCGAACGAGGAGGGTATGCCTGGTGAATAGCTACTCATCGGTCCGGGTGGGCGTCATTTTTGGGTGTTGGAGGGGGAGACCGAGATGGGCGCGAGCGCGTCGCGTGCAACGCGTTTTGCGGCTAACCGCTTTGGTTCTCGTCTCATGTCGGAACAGACGCTTTCACATATGCATAAGCGAGTACCAGGCATGTAATACCCGACGCAACCATGACACTTTACAATTCTTGGTATTACATGGGAAAGTTACTAACCAAGTGATCAGATATCATCCCAAGCGACATGCGTGCAAGGGCATGACGGATCATTGAATCCTATCTTCTATCCATAGGCCCGAATTCACATCCCGAAATTCCGTAGAGAACATCCTATCCAATCCAAACAAGCAATCTCGTTCCTCCCATACTCTCAGGCCAATAAACACTCCCATATTCCAAACCATGTAACCCCGAAGTTCGCCGAACCAGACATGACTTGGCATTCCCTGTGCCACTTACGCTACAAAGACGTGGGGCAAAAAAATACTTTCATCACCCCACTATTTGACTCAGTCTGCACTTTGGAGTAACAATCACTGTACACATCGTTGGTTAAGACGGCTTGGGGCTTTTTGCTCCAATTTTTTAATCCTACATAAGTTTGCTAATTTTCAGAAATTCCATAATCCTCAACCCAAAGCTGAATGGCGCAGCGGAAGCGCGCCGGGCTCATAACCCGGAGGACGCACGATCGAAACGTGCTTCAGCTATCTTTTTTTTGTCTTTGTTTTTGCATATGGCTTGATTCTTTTTCCAAAGAGTATCGACTTGTTGCTGCTATATCTGACATACATGTCTTTGCGTGATTTCCAGTAAGCCATCTTTTTTGATGTTTTCCTCTGCAATATCTGGGGATACACACTAGGGAACCTATTCGTAAAAGTTATTCCAGCCATCACGACGGTAGACATTTGCTGTGTTTTAATGAGCGATTGAATAATCTAAAGCAGGCATCACATTTCAAGTACGCATGCCAGCATCGCCACTTATTTACCGCATTTTTATGTATTTCTCACCACTGAAATTGTGGACATCAACTTAACCAATACCTTTGGTTCCCTTCCTCTTTTCGAAAGGGAGAAACTTGCAAGTGCTCCGGTACGCTACAATAACAAGCCTTGTGCAACAATGTATCCTCTATATTCAGAACATAGGTCGTGTCTATGCTATTAGATAGCTAGTGCTACGTATCCATGAAGCACGATTAACAACACAGCCTATCCCTGCTCCATCACGATCCAGCGACCAAACCAGCACTCCAGCCATGACAAGTTTTCTAGTGCACAGCCGTGGCCGTCGTCTTAGCAAGCTGCTTCTTGACCTGGGAGATCTGCTCGAGGTGGATCTGCTTCTGCTTGTCGTCGAGGCCGCCAGGCAGGATATCGGCGTCGCGATCGCCAAACAGCAAGTCGATTTCTTCAAGCGTGAGTTGTTTTGTTTCCTGGATTTGTATTAGCTTTAGATTGCACTCCACATCGTGCGCGTGAACTATTGCAATACGCCATACGTACCTTGAACACGAACCACACCGTCGGCAGCGTAATGCATAAGTTGAATGCGACGAAAATGAAGTAGAAACGATACGTGATATCACCAAGACCAATCGGTGAAACCTGGCTCCAAATAGTGCCTACGAGCCAATTTCCCACTGCGGTCGCAAAAGCAGAGCCGCGGCCACGAATGCTAAGGGGCATGATTTCCGAGGCGTAGACCCAGGATATGGGGCCGAAGGAGACGCTGAAGATGCACGAGACGAGGAACAGGAAGAAGACGCCCGCACCGGACAGTGCGTCTCGGCGTGACCCCGTGGCGCCTTCGACTTGCGAGCCGATGATGGCTTCGCAGATGAGTGCGACGGAAATGCCGATTGTACCGAAGAGAAGCGGTTTCTTGCGCCCGACGCGGTCCAGCACGAAGACGATGAAGAAGAGGTTGCAGATGGGGCCTACGAGGTTGTAGAAGGCGGTTACGAGCAGGTTCTTGTCGCCTGTGATGCCGAGGTTGTCGTATAGAATCGTAGAGTAGTATCCGATTACGTTGATACTTTTGAATATAAACGTCAGTATTGGAGGCGGGGAAAAACAGATTACAGTAAGTAGTATGTACTGGGGTGAACTTACCCAGTCATTTGCCCAAAGACTTGGATGAGCGTCGCGTGCATCAGCCGCGTGCGCCATGTAGGCACCTTGAACATGATCCTCCATCCCGGAGCGGAAATAGCACGCTCGGCCTCGCTCGTCAGCTTGATCTCGTTGAACTCGGCTTGCACCCAGTCGTCGTTGGTGCCGTCGAAATGCAGTTTTCGGAGCACGCGGAGGGCCTCGTCTGCGCGGTCGGTTTCGACGAGGTAGCGCGGGGACTCGGGGAAGAAGAGAATGCCTGTGATGAGCATGACGCAGGGAACGCATTGGAAGGCCAGCGGAAAACGCCACGAGAAGGAGTTTGTGGCGGGCACTTTGGAGGCCCCGTAGCCGACCCAGGTGGACACGATGAAGCCTACGCCAATCATTTGCTGCGTGATACCCGTGATGAGACCTGCTTGTGTTAGTCCTGAATCGGTTGATGCGAGTACGGCAGTACAAACCTCGTGTTTTGGGATGGGCGCATTCCGTCTGGTAGATGGGTACAGACATGGATAACAGACCTACTGCCCATCCTGCCATGATTCGTCCCACTAGAATCATGGCAAGATCCCTGGCCGCACATTGTAGTATCGCACCGACCAGGTTAATGGAAGCCGCAATCATGATGGTCTTCCTGCGCCCAAGGCTGTCCATGGTGAAGCCACCCCTGTTATGCGTCAGTATAACCAACTCTCCTGTTCAGGACTGTTTAGTCCTTACATCAAGGAGCCAAAGAAAGCTCCTCCAGAAAACGTCGCATTGATGGCTCCTATGATTGGGGATGTTTTGTCCGTGTCGAAGAAGGTGAGGAAATTGGGTGATTGGATGACAATGGTCATGACACCTGAATCATATCCAAAGAGAAAACTGCCCGTGCCGGCAAAGATGGCCAGGGCCAGATTGAAGAAAAGACCCATGGTTGCTGCCTGAAGGACGAGGAACAAAACTTTGTCGTCCAACAGCTTTTGAAAAGCCCTTGTTCAGGGTATATATTGACCCGAGACGCGAAGTGCGCACGCCATCGACGTACGGCCGTCATCCAATCCGCCTTGCATAACAAGCATGTAGCCGGAACTGCGCTCCTAGTTTCCCATTGCAAGTCGCTTAGAAGCTGCTTAGGATTCGCCCATGAAGTAACACTACTTGCTGATCATGCAGGAATCGAAATCTGGGGACGGCTTGAAGGATTTTGGGGTACCGTAGCGTGAGGGGCGGGGGACATGTTGAATTTCCGCCAATAAGCAGCGTGGTCGGCCCAATGCCTCGACTGCAACGTTACTGCGGCTCTACTTCAAACTTTCCCTATATTGCATGATGAGTGTTGGACACACGATGCATAACCCCCACATGATCATCGGGGTGATTTCCTCCTATCCCAGCTTTGAGACTGTCCACTCCCCGCTCAACGCTTCCTTGCCTTTGACTTCGCCATTGGCATCAATCTCTAGGGTGCCCTTGTGATCGCCCCTGGTGTCCACCAACACTGCTTTGTCACCTGGTTTGACACCATACAGCCTGATCTCGCCGCCAGAAGCGAGCCAGTCATAGCCGAAGCCACCCTCGCCCTCTGCTCGCCCGAGCACCAACACAGTACCCTCCCGCACGAACAGTGGTAATTGGAGGAAGCCGTACTTTTCCTTGACCCATCGACCACCCTGTGCCTCTTTGCCGTCCCAGAAGTTGAACCAGCGTCCGGGTGGGAGATAGTACTCGGCGGTGCCGTCTTCCTCAAACACGGGTGCAGCCAGAATCTGGCTACCTACCATAAACTGGCGGTCCAAATACCACGATGTTGGATCATCTGGGAATTCGAGGGCCACTGCGCGAACACTAGTGGGCCAGCCGTTGGCAACACTCTCTTCGGCCTGGGCATAAAGGTATGGCATGAGGGTGCGCTTGAGTTGTACCCAGTATCGCAGTACCTCGGTGCAGTTCTCAGGCTCAGTAGAGGAGTTGTCGACTAGCCATGGTACACGGTACGAGCTGGAGCCATGAAGTCGGCTGTGTGAGTTGAGCAGCCCGAATGCAACCCAGCGCTTGTAGATCCACGGTGGTGGACTGCCCTCGAAGCCGCCAATGTCACTGGTCCAAAAGGCAAATGATGCAAGTCCCAGGCTCAGGCCTCCGCGGACTGACTCGGACAATGCAGCAGGCGTGGACTCGCAGTCACCGCCCCAATGGAGAGGAAAGCGTTGGGAGCCTGCGCATGCTGTGCGCGCAAAGAGAATAGCTTCATGCTCTCCGTACCGTTTTTGAACTGATTCATACACTAGCTTGTTGTAGATGAAGGCATAGTAGTTGTGCATGCGGTTTGGATCGACCGTCTTGTCGTGCCACTGGACTTCTTTGGTAGGAATACGCTCACCAAAGTCTGTTTTGATGGAGTCAACGCCAACGTCGAAAAGCTTCTCCATGCATTCGCTGAACCACTTGCACGCTTCTGGGTTCGTAAAGTCGACAATGCCCATGCCGGTCTGCCAGAGGTCCCACTGCCACACATCGCCGTTTGTCTTCTTGAGCAGGTAGCCCTTGTCGGCTGCATACTTGAACACAGGGCTTGCTTGGCCAATGTATGGATTCGTCCAGACGCTGACTTTGGTGATGAGCCCATCTTCTTTCATGCGTTTGATTTGGCCTGCAGGATCTGGGAAGGACTCAGGGTCCCAAATAAAATCACACCAGTGAAAGGCACGGAGCCAAAAGCAGTCAAAGTGGAAGACTTCGACGGGAATTTTGGAATCGGACATCTTCTCAACAAAATGACGCACAGTCTTTTCGTCATAGGAAGTAGTGAACGAGGTGCTAAGCCATAGGCCATAGGACCATGCTGGTACACGGTTTGATTTTCCAGTGAGAATCGAGTATTTGGTGAGGACCTCCTTGGGGGTAGGGCCATAGATGAGGTACCTTTGCGAGTCATTCATTGCGTCTTCGAGATGTTGCACAATCTCACCATTTCAGCCGCTGTGCTTCTACAGTGGTCTGCAGCCGAGCACATCGCTCACTTCCAATCTCCAAGTCAATCTTATCAGGAGTGTCGATGAAGACACCATAGCCTCGTGAGCTCAGCCAGAAGGACACATTCTTGTAGGCCTGCTCGCTCGACGTGCCGCCATCTTCGTTCCAGATCTCCACGTTTTGACCTACCTTGTTCCAGGCGCCAAAACGCTCGCCGAGGCCATGGATGGTTTCGCCGACACCCAGATCGGTCTGGGTGAAGATGTAATGCTTGTGGGCACCCAAGTCGCCCACGGTTTTGGGAGTGCTCAAAGGCGGAGAGTATGCCAGGCCCACGCTGCGGTGGCCGAGCGAAGTTAGTGATTTTGATCCATCCGTGGCGTGGAACTTGATGTCGAAAGTGTGCTCGCTGGAGCTGACGGTTGCACTCAGTGCCCCTGAAGTCAGCGTGGTTCCATTGGCTGTCTTGGAGACGTCGGCCTTGCATTCAGGCCTCCCGTCAGCAAAGAGGTCAAAGTCGGGGCCTGGACGCCTGGCACCGGCAAAGTGAGTGGCCTCGAGGGAGATGACGCCATCGAACTGGGCCTCGATGTCGACGGAAATGGTGCTCAGGTTGAGCGTGTCGCCGCGGGAGAGGATCTTCTTGCTCGGACACAGCAGGGTGACGGCCCTCTTGTCTTCGCGGGGGGCGAGGGAGTAAACCTCCTCGGCGTGCTGGACGGTAAAGCGGTCATTGACCAACCACATGCCTGGACAAGGCGATGCCGTCAGCTAAACGTTCATCCTGGCAGTCTTACTCATACCATCGCGGAACTTCATGCTAGTGGTGCCGACGTCTGACACCCTTGTCGTTGAGGGCCGGGGGTTGGTAAGAATCAGCGTTGGCGCCGCGTCTCAGTCGCGGTTTTGATGTCGAGATGACTCCAGAGGTATAGATAGAGGCAGCACGCAGCCGTTCGGATAAGCGGTCCGGCCCGTGGGTGGTTCTGCGAGCATGTGGACGGATCGCTCGGCGCCAGATTGTCCGCGACCCCGCATGCCGAGGGGTAGAGGGGCAAGTCTCCAGACACCTCATGGATCGACGTCGCTCCAAGTCCATGTCAACCGCACGACGCCAATCTGAGTCATCTCATCTGCTCTCGAGAGTGGTGCGAAAACCTTTATACCCGATCCAGGCGATCCCCGCACCCCCACTTTGGGATGGATACACTGGCACACTGAAGCCGCCGACGGTCACATGCCACCCCCGTCCATGGCAGCTAAAAAGAGCCCGTCCGTCACCGTCACCGCCACCGCTCCCCCCTCTTATCTCTCGGGACGCTACCACTTCGGCTTCAATGGACCTCTAGCTGGATTCCCCCAGCGCTCCAGTCGCGCCCCAACCTCCATCCGGGCTGTGACAACACACTATGCAAGGGGGCGCGACGACTGTGCCCGACGCTGGCCTCCACTCGGTGTCGCGGCACAGCGTTGTTTTGCGTGTACACGACCAGACAGCGCACCCGCCGAGCTTCCTTGGGTCCCCTGTGGAGCGTACGGCACAGCGTGGCCACGGCCAAGTCGACCGCAGTCGCGTCTGGCAGCTGTGTGATGGCACGCAAGGGAGATAGCAATAGGCAGTTCAGAGTCAGTATCAATTACTCCAACCCTCCTCCGGCGAATCATTCCTCGTCGCCATGCCCCACCCACCGCGGTGCCCCACTCGGAATCAAGTGGACGGGGTTGCCAGCCGAGTATGAGGATTCGCGCAGAGTTTCGGCGTGGTCATTTTGCCTTGTATCTCTCCTGACTGTGCGCTTGGGCAGTGTCGGTGAGCCGATCTTGTCTCAATCCTGGAAAAACTTAAACTGCCGTGTGATTCCGTTCGGCGGCCTCGTTTTGATGCAGACCACGCTTGCCACTGTCCTCGACCTCCGAGACCGCTTGCACTTGTATTAAGCTTCCCACCCAACCCAACCTCGCCGGCCCTCGTTAGTCGACCTTGCCAATTGCTCCATCACCGCCAATATGACGATTTCCGTCCTGATTTACTACACGCGTCGCCCCGAAGTAACACCGGAGTATTTTCAGACCTACATGGAGGAGAGCCATGCGCCCCTGATCAAGGAGGTCTTCACCGAGCATTCGCCACTGTCATTCACGATGCGGTAAGTGACGTCCTGGACAGACGCCATCATGCATCAGCCATTGACATCATGCGCCCAACACACAGCTATGTTACCCGAGTCAGCACTGGCATGGGAGACCGACTGGGAGCAGTCACCTCGAGTACAACAAAAGCCGATCCCAACAGTGCCGTTGTTCTTGTCGGCGAACCCGCTGACATCACATGGGACGCGCTGTGCGAAATGCAGTTCCGCGATGAGCTGCACATCCAGCAGTGTCTTGCCGTCATGAACGAACCCGCAGGACAGCGAATCAAGGATGACGAGGAGACGTTTGCACTGACCGAGAAGACGACTGCCTTAATTGTGGGCGAAACAAAGGTTATGGTTTAAACTGCAGTCGGTCGACGACTGGTGTCGAGCAAGCCCTGGCACAATTCATTGTATATGTTGGATCGCTTTAGTGACATGTCAAGAGAACATGGGTTTGCATGCGGGTAGGGACTCGGAATCGGATTTTGGGACGGCATTGGGAAAAGGGAATAGCATGGCAAGGCTTGGGAGTTGTTGTAATAATACTACAATAATTATTCGGTTAGCGGAGAGTCTCACGGCACAGATCAAGTGCTCCTATTGCCTCCTCCCGCTCTTTTTGGAAGAAATCAGAGGACTCGGAGGTATTAATTCACTTTTTTTTCCACATATGACGACGACTGAATGTGTTTTGCGTGCATGAAGCTGCTGCATTAATCCCAATAAGGACATGGTTCAATGCAGAGTGATGCCAACGTCAAAAGCCAGCACCATAGTTTATTCTTGGCCAGAGCTTAAATCTACCAGATTCGTCCTTCTCCGACCCCCAATACTCCTGCATCACACATATATCCGAGGATGGTCGGATATCGTCTTGCCAAGCCTACGTCACGTGACAAGCACCTTCTTGGGAAAGCTCCCCAGCACTGCCAAGCCTGCTCCTGAAAGATCTACGAGCTCATGCAGTCCTTCAATCTCACAAGCAATCGGAATTTCTGCACGAATCCCATACCCTCGCGGCGACAGCTGCAGCGCCCTCGAAGTTAAGCTTTTTGCAACCCAACCCCCGTTTCTTTCAGCTGTCTTGTCTCCCGGTACTCTGCACACCTGCCTGAACCAGCCAAGATTCCTCCCCAGGCTAGCAACACACTGCCGCCACCTTGCAGCTACCGCTTTCTGGGCCCTCCGGGCCCCAGAAACCTGGAACACTTGGCCACGGAATCAGCAATGGCGGAAGACTGCAAGCGATTCGGATACACACGTTTATCGAATCGACACGGGCTATCGGCGACGACAGGGCATGCACGCTCTGGAGACTGCGAAACACCCTCTCCATTCGCCATGTTCATCCCCAAGTCCGACCCGTTGTCGTACGACCTCACCGCATCCGGGCCCCCAACGCGTCTTACAGCAGACGGCTGAACAAGCTACTAATATGGTGCATACGGAAAAGCTTCCTCGAAGCAGTAGAAACGAAGCGGGCAGCCTGCATTAAATCATGCCGCCATCTCCATCAGGCCTCTCGGCAACGCCATGATTGGTCGGCCTGGCTGGTCGGCCCTTCACACACGGTACAGAAGACAGCTGCGCGACTCAGCAGCCCCAGCCAGTTGGACGAGTCCCCCGGCCCCGTGCTCTGCTTAAAAAGACCAGACCAGGCCAGCATGTCGACACGGGTGCCCGGTTTTTTTCTTAGACGCAACAAAAAGAAAAAAGGCAGCACTTGCGAAAGTTTCCACATACATACAGAAATAACACCATTTGATAATACGAGGGTTGCCCGTTGGAAACGCGCCTGTGTCTGCCTGTGTGTGCGTGTGGATTGAGGGAGCAGAGGCAAAAAGCCATACCATAGCTTTCTTCGACCATGTCGAGTCTCCTCACTCGAGTAGCTAGTGTAGTCGCGCTAAGCCTTTGGTCTACCATCGCTGCGCCCACTAGCAGAGGGACACCAGGAGACGCTTCTTACGACTATGTTGGTATGACACAGAGAAAGAAAGAAAGAGAAAAAATAATTCCCATCCTATCCTTTCCCCCCCCCCCCCTATCTTTTCTATGGCCCTCGCAAGAAAAAAGAGAGAACCAATAAAAGACTGCCCCTCCCCCCCTTCCCCCTTTCCTCGTCGTGCTACATCTTACTCAGATACAAGAATCTAACTTGACGACGCAGTCATTGGCGGCGGCACCGCCGGCCTCGCCCTCGCCACACGCCTCTCGGCCTCTGCGTCCGTCGCCGTTGTCGAAGCCGGCGGCCTCTACGAGCAAGACAATGGCAACCAATCCGTAGTGCCCTACTACGGCCTCATCATGCCGGTGCTCGCAACCGCAGACACGTACCCGCGGCAGCCGCTCATCGACTGGGACTTGGTGTCCGCACCAGCACCGTCAGCTGCAAATCGCCGCATTCACTATGCCCAGGGCAAGACGCTCGGCGGCAGCTCCGCTATAAATACTATGACGTATCACCGCGCCACTGCCGGCGCCTATGCGCGCTGGGCCAGCGCCGTTGGCGACCAGAGTTATACTTTTGACCGCTTGTTGCCCTACTTCAAGCGCTCGAGTACTCTTACGCCACCAAACTTGGACAAGAGAAACGCGCCTAATGCCACGGTGCTGTATGATGCATCTGCATTTGACAATTCGCTTCGTGGGCCACTGCAGGTGTCGTGGGCAAACTGGGTCGATGTATGTCCCGTATTTTTCTTTTTTCTCCACTTTCTTTTTGCTTTTTCAAACCTTTCTTTTTGCTCTCTAAATATCTACATATGTGGAAAAAATACCCCCCCTACAGATGAATGAGCTGACTGACCTTCCCCTTTCAGCCCACACAGAGCTGGCTTGCCTGTGCCTTCCAAGATATCGGCGTCAAGCTGAGCGCCAGGGGGTTCAGCAGTGGCACGCTGGACGGCGGCGCGTGGGTCACGACGACGATTGACCCGAGGAATGCGACGAGGAGCACCTCCAAGAGCAGCTACTATGATACGGCAGCCAAGACGCCATCTGCACCCGTCGTCTACCTGCACTCGCAGGCCAGCAAGATCCTGTTTGATGGCCGCAAGAAGGCGACGGGCGTGGCGGTGACCACAAACGGCACAAACTATGTGCTTTCTGCGAAAAGGGAAATTGTGCTATCGACAGGCGTGTTTCATTCACCCCAGCTACTGATGCTGTCTGGTATGTTTTCTTCTTCTTCTTTTCTAAACAGACTCCATGATTACACGATAACGGAAGCACTAACTTTCAGACCAGGTATCGGGCCCGCAGACACACTTGCCACGCACGGGATCCCAGTGGTTTCCAATCTCTCCGGCGTGGGCCAAAACCTATGGGACCAAATCTTCTTCAACGTGCTGCGCGGCCTCGCTGTTCCAAACACAGGCACGTATCTCAGCACGCCTGCGCAGACAGCCCTCGCAGTCCAACAGTACCACGCCAATGCCTCGGGCCCCTACAGCTCAGCAGGCGGCTATCTCGCGTTTGAAAAGCTGCCTCCAAAGTACCGTACGGGCTTCTCGTCTCGCACGGCCAAGTTGCAAGATGCATTTCCAAAGGACTGGCCGGAAATCGAGTATATTGCATCTGGGTTTCCCAGCGGCAGCTCCGAGTACCCGACCATTGGCGCCATCAGCGCGACGCTGCTTACGCCGGCATCCAGGGGAAACGTGACGATTAGCAGCGCGTCGATTGCGGATCCACCCGTTATCAATCTCGGGTGGTTGACGGATCCGGCCGACGGCGAGGTCCTGGTCGCTGCATTCAAGCGCATCCGCGAAGTATGGGGCAGTCGCGCCATTGCCAACTACGTTGTTGGTCCGGAAATCGCGCCCGGCGCGGCTGTGGTGTCGGACGCGGATATCTTGACGTTTATCAGGGGCGCCGTACAGCCCATCTGGCATGCGAGTTCGACGTGTGCCATGGGCAAGTCGGCAAAGGATGGCGCCGTCGTGGATTCAAAGGGTCGTGTGTTTGGCGTGAGCGGTTTGCGTGTCGTGGATAACTCGGTCGTTCCGTTTAGTCTGCCGGGCCATCCTCAGAGCTCGCTGTACATGCTGGCCGAGAAGATTGCAGAGGATATGCGCAGGTAGATGATGAAGCCTTCTCTTCCTGGACTTTCTCTCTCTCTCTCTCTCGTACCTGCCATTCAAAACGTGCGCTTGTCGAGTCATGAATACTACCCCCACGCTCTTGATAGTGCACATTAGCATCCAAGCTCATGTTGGCATTCGGACGTTGTCTCCCCCCACCCACGCTTCCTTCGGCCCTGATGTCTCGAGTGCTATCACCAGATGGGTTAGTTTTACATCGAGAAAACGAAAACGAGAGAAAAAAAATCCACATCGTATATCAAACGTGCTCGCGCGAAATAGGAAGCAAAGAATCTTCGCGTGCGGCGGTACTTCGAGTCGACGAGTCAGTCGCGTTGCTCTTGGACTCCACAACAATCAGATGCTCGGCTTTTTTCGCGCTCGCAGACTGTCTGCCCGGCGCGTCGCCCAGCCCAATCCACTGGTGGTGGTGGTGGTGGTCCGGGACCTCGGTGTTGCCGCGTCGATTGGCGTTTATTTTGACGCAGCGGGCAGCCCATGTGCGCTTGACGAATGTGTGTAGTGTAGGGAGACATGCACAGATGATGCCAAGCCACATTTCGATTAGACTGTTTGCAGGTGTTAGTCCAATAAAGAAACACGCATTATTTTAGATATTGCAAAGGGGAGGGGCGAGACAAACATCCAGATGAAGTTGATGACCATGCCCCACGTTCCGTCCTTTGCGACGACATTACTGGCGGCAATGATGGCTTGCATTCGAATGACGCTCACGACGAATACACTGGAATATGGTTAGTTGGCTGCCTGGCTAAAACAGCTTGAAGTACCCGACTCACAAAGAACCAGTCATGAGCAGCATTGCCACACCGATCTTGCGTCGTGTAGGAAGTGTAAGGTCCTTGATGATGAAGAGCGGGAGGACCAAGAGGGCGAGATCTGTTGCCGCATTGATGCAAGCCGTGCTCAAGAAGAAGGCGTTCAGATTAAGACAAGAACCGGTTTTGATGCTGAAGTCCCAGTACTTTTCCTTGGGATTACACAGCCAGGCGAAGCCGAAAGCGGCTAGCAGACTGTAGATGATGCTAATGGCCATGAGGGCATACACGGCCACGTGAAAGGCTCTGGAGAAGGAGAAGCGCAGATAGAAGAAACAGAGCGACACCTTGATGAAGAGCGTTGAGATGTTGTAGAAAATCGGGCCTGCGATGTCGCCGATCTGGGACTGTGTTAAATCATTTCCTTGTTTTGTTTTTCTTAAACGCAAGTGACGAGGTGCGAGCAGTTGGATGCCTACCTTCATCAGTTGGTGAAACTGGTAGGGCGATACATCCCAGATGTGCTTTCCTAGGCCATTTGTCGTCTCTGTCTGGTGTGTTAGTTTGGGCGAAATCTTTCCGAGAAAAGTGCCGTTGGTCCTTACGGTAGCAGGTGGTTATTGAAAACCCCAGGCCTAAAATCTTCATGTCTCGTCAACTCCTTGTCGCTTTTGACAAAGTTGCTGGAGCGTTGATGCGTACCGTAGCGAGCAAGATGGCATCTGACTGTGTGGTGAGCGCTATGGTCCAAAGTTTCGGCGTGTGCGGATGGCTTACAGTCGTCATATCCCGTATTACGCAATATGCGGAGTTTGGTATACAGTCGGATAGCACACAAGGGTATCGCGACAACAGGACCCGCAACGGAAACGATGATGACGCGATACGCAATCGACTCGCCAGCCGTACTCGTTGCACTCATGCTGGTGGTTTTTTCCACGAGGATAATGGAGAGCAAAGCAAGAGCGCGAGAGTCCAGGCATATCAAACCCCAGTGGAAAGGAAACAGCCCACGGGAGCACTAGCTCAAACCGGGGCGTCCAAGGGTTTGTAAACGCCACGAGAAAGCAGGCTCCAAGATGTCCCAGTCTAGATGGCGTGTATAGAGTTCATCTCGCGACCAGTAACGGGCTTAGTCGCGGCTGAAGCAGCGGCTCGGCGAGATTTCGTACAATAATACTGCCGGGTGCTTCCGCTTCCGCGCTGCGAGGCGCAGGTACTGGTTGCGCTTCTGCTCGCTCATGTGGCCAGGCACGCAGGGCAAGCGGCCACTGGTGCCGGGCCAAGCGCCCCAGTGTTGAGCAGCCCAGGAAGCGCATGTCCTAATGCACATCATTTGTCGACTTTGCATCTAGGCGATCAGAAGACGGATGCCCCTTCATACTTAGCATCAGGGATCGTCTGAGGTTGAGGGCCCAGGGGGGGCGCGTTGGGGCCGGGAGACTCGAGTCAAGACTATCACACTGCAGCCATCGGGCTATATGATGGTGAGTGTGCATAATAATAGGGGATTTATCATCGCGCGGTGGCGTTTGGAGATGAAAAAGACGCAGAAGAAGGTGTAGTGACCAAGCACGGGGGCGAGAGGAGCTGAAGGCAACGAGAGACCGGCAACGCACGCGGGACATGCAGCCCACGTGACGCTTACATAACCGTGCATTTGCCTAGCCATCTGGACCTCCGGGTCGCGCTCTGGCTTTCTTAGCGCCATGGGACCTCTGGCATGACTACGCCTTGAACACGGCGCGTCCTTTCGATGAACATGGCGATCGATCCTCGGCAGGGACATTGCGCGCCATATGATCGTCTCCCGACGGATAGCACCACCTGAGCACAGAGGACATGCGCCCTCTCACGCCCCCCTTTCCACCCAGCAGCAGATAACACACAGCTGGCACGCCCCCAACACACCACTTTTTGCGCCGGCAAGCCACACAGGACGCGTTGCCCCCCGTACTCGCCATCCGCTTTTGACACGGGACGCTAGACTGCTTTGCAACGCCGTTTGACGGCTGGGGAGTACAGCACGGCAAAGCCATGGCCGGCGGCTTCACGCTTCCCCGTTGCCCACACGTGGCTTTGAATCGCTACGCGAAGGCGACCATGGCACGCTCACACGCACAGGCTCGGCAACTCCTCGATGGGCTAAACGCTGTCTTCAATCCTGCCGACATGATGCCGTCCCGTATGGAGTCGTGACTGATTGATGGATGGATGGATGGATAGATGCTGCTAAGAGTAGGTTACATTGCACATGTTCAGCAGCGCGCGCGCACGCGTCCTCAACCCCGGTCGAAAAGACCTTTTCAGGGCACGCGGGCAAGGGCGATAGCCGGAACTTCCGCGTCGTACCGTATGTACATGTACGACTTGACTTGGCATGTCTGGTTCCTGGATGGGTTGACCGGACCGGCGCGGTTGGGTAGCAAGGGAACTCGCCCGTATGCGACTTTATTGGCCCCAAGGGGGAGGCCTAACTCTGACTCGTTCTAGCCATGCAAATGGTTAAATGCGATCAGTCTGGCCTGCAGTTCATGTTGGTGGCAGTGTCGATTGGGCACTGGCGAGACGAGGCTTGCAGCGGATACGACCGCTTGGGAGGGAGGGAGGGGAGGGGGAGGGGCTCGCGCATTTTACCCGTCGAAGGGGCCCGTCTGACTAGTGTATGTGTGTGTGTGAGTGGGTCGCGCGCACTAGCGAATTCACTGCGTGAGCGGTGATCGGCTCCAGGATGGTTGGGGGCTGGTTTTTTTTATTTTATTTTCCGCCGTATTGCTGCCCAGGCAGACACAAGGGATCTAGGCTTTGAGAGCGGGTGTAGGTATGCACGCGCAGGAGATGAGGGGGGGAAGAGTTGTGGGGGAGGGGCGTGGGTTGTGCGTGGAGAAGTATATGTAAAACGATTTCCTAGGGCACGTTTTTTTTTCGGTAGTAAGTATACCTACACTAGCTGTAATGTTATTATTGAACTCTATGGGTAATAGATCTGTGCAGTCCTGGGGGCAGATGTAGTAGAATAAAGTCATGGTGTAATATCATAACATGGCCATCTATATCTGACGTGATATCTATATTCCTACACACTGGCCGACTGGTTCGCACGCATAGACTCTGGAGGGTGGGGGGGGGGAGGGGGGGAAGGCATCCCTACAAACTCTATTTTGTCTCACACAAGAATAGCAAACAAGACGGATGTGTTTGTTCATGCCCCCATTGTACACATTGTGACGGGCCACATAATGTAGCCGTCACGGACGATCTTGAGGAGCGAGTAGTTAGCTGGAAAGGCTGATTTGAGCAATCAATCAAAGATTTATAATGGAGAGGCTAACGGTATTCGCTGTATATTCTCCTTGCCCCCATTGCTAGCAGTGATATATACCGTGTGTGTGTGTGTGTGTGTTTCATTGATCGAATTCCGAATCGGCAATTGTGAAATCAAGGGGATGGGGCGAGGGAAGTTATACAAGTACGCGAGTTTGTTTTGTTGAATATTATATATTCGATGCGTGCTGAAGAGACTTTACGCGGTTCTGATGTTTGACAGATTGTCATGGCAAACAAACAAACAACGAAAAATAATAATAATCCATGTTGGGTGTAAAAAGCAAGAATTGCTGCATTTCCGTCTGGGACTATACTCGAACGACCAGCGGATGCAAAAGGTATATAAAAGTGGCATCATCTTTCATATTAATGCTTCTAGATCTTCACATACATGAATGCGCGCTCGCCTCATTGCCCTTTCGTCCTGAAACCGTTTTTCATGACCGACCTAAAAAGAAGAAGAAAAGAAAAAACAAACTGTTTACAACATTAGCCGGGGAGCCTAAGTGCCACCCTTTATTTCTATAATTACATATAATGTAGGATTGCTCTACCAATAAAAGTTTCTACCGCCCCATTAGCCCGTTAACCCATTAACACTATACATTACTCCTTCTTAGCGTGCTTGATCATGTTTCCCTGCTCGTCGACGAGGCCCTTGGCACGCATCACCTTGAGGGCGTCGTGGATGGGGTCCAGCGATGGCTCGGGCGCCCTGTGCGAGCCAAAGTAGTTGTCGGCCCACGTAAAGTACTGACCGTAATTGACGGTAAAGTACATGTGGTGCAACGTGTGGTGCGCAGGGCTGTTGATGAACTTTTCCGTCCAATGGCCCGAAATCATGTCGCCGTCGTGGATGAAGATGGTCCAGATTTGGACGGCGACGAAGAGGACCAGGTACAGATATCTTTGCATGGGGCAGATGAAGACGAAGATGCTTTTCGCATTTTAGAAAAGGTGTTTTGGCGAGTGGAAGCGGAAGGGTACTCACTGGTATGGCAGAGACTGCACGAAGCCATCAAGCGGGTGGAAAGCCAGCGCAGCCCATGGTGTGGGCACTGCTGTCATTAGCATTGCGATTTAAATACATGATAAGACGAGACGCCAAGCGCAAGCACTGTGCACGACTTACCGATCCATTTGTGGTGTGGCTTGTGGATGTACTTGTAGACACTAGGGTGATGTTCCAGGCGGTGAATCCAGTAGATGGAAAAGTCGTTGAAGGCTATGTACAGAATGGTGGAAACAACTAGCCAAGGCCAGCCATAGTCGCTGGTGTTGGCATACAGCAGGCTCTTGCCGCGGACCTCGGCCAGGAACACGGGGAGAGTCAACAGGTTGATAAAGGGGACGGCCGATAGCGACGAGATGATCTCCTGGCGGACCTGGTTCTTCAAGAAGCGCGGATGGTACTCGAGGCGGCGGTCAAAGACAGAGTAGTAGGACAGGGCGCTGAAAATCAGGTACAGCGAGGTTGCGCCAAGCTGGGTCAGGACGAGGATGGAGACAATCTGGCGATAGACGTTGTCGCGCGCCCATTGAGAGGCACCCGGTGTTGTTATTGTGGTGGTGGTGGCGGCGCCGGCAACGGATGAGGAGAGATCCGAGTAGGAAGAGTTTTTTGTGCCCAAGTCGGCCAGAGGCAATGCCCATGCATAGGCCTTGTCCAGCACAAGCGGATCGAGGAACTCGAGGGCGACGTCCATGGTCGCGAGGAGGGTTATGCAGAGGGCGGAGACGACAGCAGCGGCGGCAACGGCAGCAATGGAGGTGAACAGTGAGGGCGGCAGGAAAGCATGGCTGCAAAAGTCGCTTGCTGGCTGACTGGCCGGGGGCGCGGCGTGGATGGTCCGTACGTGTATCCGTGTCCGAGCTTGGCAGGGGTTGGCAGGTGCAGGTGGGGCGTCGCTCGCTTTGCTTTGTAAGGCGCGCGCACAGGGGAAATCACCAGCAATCGTCCGCAATCTCGCGCTCCACCAGCAATCTCTCTCACACTCGTCCCATCGCATCCCATCGCATCCCGACATCCGTCTTGACTTCATCTGCGTCCGCAGCGACAAGGCCTGCCGCCGGACCGCCGCCCGCCCCGATGACGCCATGTCCGTCCCCGTGGCCGCTGGCGACTCCACCCACGCAATCTATTAGGTGATGCGTGGCCCGGCCTGCTGAGCACCGCGAGCACGAGCACGAGCACGAGCAGTCCACCGCCGCCTCGCCGCCTCGCCGCACGTGACCCACCAGCCGCTGCAGCCGTTTCGTCGTCGCTGAGTTGACGTTGTTCCCGGCACCTGGATCCGCACATCAAAACAACCGCTCCCTCAACAGTGGGTATGTGGGTACACGGCCGTCTCAGCTTCACCCATGGAAACAATGCCATTGGATCTTCTGCTCCAAGGAACGTGACAGCGGCGCCCACGGCCTGTCAAACATCAGACCAGGCTCAGCCCAATATACTGTGGGATCGCAACCAATTTGCCAACCTTCTTGGGGCTTTAAAACATGTCTGCTGCTCAATTCTCTGCAACGTGGTGCATGCTGGACTGCTGGAACCCCGTCACTTCTCTTCATACTTGATTCTCTCTTTTTCCTCTGCAGCTGCGCTGCGTCCTCTCACTACACCATGCTTTTCAACTCGACTGACAACCCGCTGGCCGCCCGTCACATCCAGACGGGCGAAAATGTCCTCTACACAATCGACTACTGGGGTTATGCGATCCGAGACATGCCATGTACAAACGACAAGGGAACCTGCGAATACCTCGATGCCGTCTATGCCGCTCACGAGACGTCCATGATCTTCACTTTCATCATGTGGGCTGTTCTCGGCGCCATCCTGCTTGTGATTATCCTATCTCGACTTGCGCGCCCAAAGAAGCTGGACGGCGCGAGACAGGGCTTTGTATATCGCCTAACAAGACTGGCATCGTCGGCCGTCCGGCGTTATCTCGTGCCCGAGTGTTCAAAGGTATTCAGGTATACTACAAGACTGCAGGTTCTGATTCTCGCGCTATTCTGTGTCTACCTCACAGCCTTCTCCTTCGCCGGTATTACATACAAGACGTGGATTACGCCGATCAAAGGTAGCGATCTGCACAACACGCGGAGTGGTGTCGGTGGCTTCGCCGACCGCGTCGGTGCCTTTGCCTTTGCGCTGACCCCTCTGACTATTGCGCTGTGCACCCGCGATTCGATCCTCAGCATGCTCACGGGCATCCCCTACCAGAGCTTCAACTTCTTGCACCGCTGGACAGGCCGCATCATTCTTGTTCAGTCATTTGTTCACGCCATCATCTGGTCAGTTATCGAAGGAAAGCTTTACCAGCCGCAACCTACTACCTACGTCAAGTGGATCAGTCAAAAGTACATGATTTGGGGTTGCATTGCACAAGGATTCATTACCTTTTTGTTCGTCTTCAGTCTCCGGCCCGTAATCCGCTGGACAGGCTACGAGTTCTTCCGCAAGTCGCACCTTGTTGTTGCCGGCCTTTACATTGGAGCTTGCTGGGGCCATTGGGAAAAGCTGTCGTGCTGGATGATTGCCTCGCTTGCCATTATGGGCATCGACCTTGTTGCCCGAACTGTTCGCACCATTCTGATCCATACGGGCTACAATCAAGGAGGTTTCGGCTTCCGATCTGTGCCAACCACCATGGAGATTTTCAAGGACCCTACAGGAACGATTGTCCGCATGACCTTTTCTCACAAGCACGGCGCATGGGCAATTGGCCAGCACTTCTACCTCACGTTCCCTGCGCTCAACATCTGGCAGTCGCACCCGTTCACGTCAGCGTCAAACCCGAACAGCTCCTCTGCGGTGCAGAACCACACCTACATTATCCGCGCCTGCAAGGGCGAAACGGCCAAACTTGCTGCTCTCGCCGAGGCTGCTGCAAACTGCTACCCGCGCCTCCAAGCTTCTACGCCCGTCATCATGATGGGGCCATACGGCAGCTCCATTGTGAACAACGAGGTGTCCAACATACTCGCAATCGCTGGTGGCACAGGCATCACCTACACACTCCCCGTCATCATCAACGCACTCTCGGACCTATCGCCCGCGCGCAACATTGAACTGGTTTGGACCGTGCGCCACTTGGAGAATCTCGCGTGGATTGCACCCGAACTCGCTTATCTCAAATCTCAGCTCAGCGCAAACCGCGGTGGATCTCGCTTGTGTCGCGATGCAGCGAAAGAGGATGACGCACAAGTTGCCCGTGTACACACACATAAGCGCTTCCGCATCAGCATCTTCGTTACGCGACCTGAGACCAGGAAGCAGCCGTCCCGATTGGATGGCGACAGCGGCAAGGACAAGGACTACGGCGATGGCGGATCCCTGGCAAACGTTTCCTCGATTGACTCGGTGGACACGGATAGCCAGCTTGAAGAACTGTGCAGCGTGTGCCCAAACTTCAGCATCACATGGCTGAACAATGCACGGCCCAACGTGGCGTCTCTAGTCGACACGTTTATGCACGGGACAGTGGACAGCGGCAGGACGCAGGTTGTTGGCTCTGGACCGCCGGACTTGGGCACGCAGATTCGCGGAGCTGTTGCCGCACAGAATGCTCCTGGAAGCGTATGGCGAGGCGACGAGCGCGGTGACGTCGAGTGTGTGTGGGATGACCGCATGGGATAGGCGGTGGTGGACAGAACATGGTTGATTTCGGCTGTAAATATTATCTCGAACGTCGCCCTGTACATGAACAATCGCAGACTCATTTCTTCTGCTTTGCTGCATCTTGATGGCCGTCTTCTTTCAAAATGCGTTGGACCGTGCGCCGGCAAATGGTGGGTTTGTTGTTCTGGCTGTCCCAGAAGCCTGCCTCGCGCGCAAGAGCGTCGATTTTCATCTTGGGGCTTCTTTTCCAGATGCGCAGCAGCAGACGGCGGTCTCTGATGGACAATTTAGGCGGGCGACCTGACCGATGACGCCTGGCTGGGGTGCCTTCGGTTTTCCAGCGCCGAATCACTTTCCGGACGGTGCTTTGCGAGCAGCCAAGCTTGCTTGCGATTTCTGCAGAGCCGCAGCCGCCTGCTGTGTGGGTTGCGATGAAGACGCGCTGGGCTTCGGATAACTGGCGGTGGTGCGCTGGACTGCGCGCGACAGCTTCGCCCGGAGGCGTCATGTTGAGATGCACTTGGTGTTGGGGGAGTGGAGCGACGCGGTAGGGCTAGGCTGGCAACGGCATCTAGACTCGGGATTATATTATTTCCGCGCCATACCTACTTAGCTCGCACCCACAGACCCGCCCGCAACCTTGACCTTGTTCTTGCTCTTGCAAACCCAACGTCGACAACTCGCTCGGCGGCTGTTCCTGGCGTGGACCCTAACTTTTTTCCCTGTACCTGTCTCCAGCACCCAACATTCTGTCCATTAGCGAGAGAGAATGGCTGGCATTTTTTTTCGTGCATCTTCTGTGCGCTCAACGGCTTGCGACCACAACTCGGGAGTCTTGATATGACCTCATCGCCCGCTGCGACGTGCGACTAATCAAAGGTGATAGGCGTTGGTCGCCTCACCCGCACAGTGCGGGGGCAATGCATCTTTTCTGGCCAAACCTCACAGGCCGCGTAGGATTGGATGCGCTTGCATACAGACGAGTTTAATTGCCTCACAGCGACAGTGATAGTCGCAAAGCTGGGGTAGCCGATCCTCACTGGTTTCGCTCTCGTCGAAGATGGCCTACTGCAGCATCCCTGGAAAGGGGCGATAACCGCCTTCGTTGCTATACACGCTGCCTCTCGCAAGGGAAGCTGGCGCCGTGGTTTTGCCAACGGCTCAATGCTTTTGCTTGGGTCCAACGTCGTCATGCCCAGCCGAGACGATAGGGGACCCATTGTTCCATATCCACCACGTCGCATTACCAGCGCTTCGATTGCGGCTGATATCATCGCTCGGGTCACACGGGAGGTTGGTGATGCTCTTCAACTGCGCAGCATCATTGCTGCTGCGTCTACGTAGCTCTAGCCCGCCATGGTATGCATGCTCTCGTAGCCGCAGCAGTTGGGCCTATCCAGCGGCCCCCCGTCCACACCAAACGAACCAGCCACTTCCAACCACCCCTGCCGCTCGCTGCAATCGAAACATTGTCTATTGAGCAGCGCCCTCAGTTGCCCTGTGCAGCTAGACGGACCCGCAAGTTTGGACCCTGGAAAGACGTCACCCGCCAAGATATGATGGCATAGCATCAGCCGCCTTGGTTCAAATACACCAAAGTCGCTTACCACGGCCTCTCACGGAAATATCGCGCCTTGCTCTGCACGCCGAGCTCCATATCCTCGTCGAAGGTAAGCTGCGTTGCGGGTCCCTGATGCCCTGCCTGTACCACACTGCTATACCATGCAAGGAAACGATGGACCTGCCGCTTGTAACACTTGCAAGATGCAGTGTCCCCAGAAGCTCAAACTGACCACAGAAGCTCAAGGGCTTTTCACTCTCGTGCCCGCACTCGCAACTGACACTGTCTCTTTCTAGACTTCAAGGCCAGACTCAAGAAAACGCTCTTAGCAACACACTACCACTATCTCAATCACCACCATGACTGAAAGGCCGTCTCTCATGCCCCCCAACGAGGGCTCGTTTCTCTCCTCTGGCAGCTTCACCCCCGCTGGCCTGACCCCCAACACACGCTCTCAAGCCGAGGCCGCCCTCCTGTCCAACAGCACTGCCCAAACCGACTCTGCAGCCCCAGACCCGCATCTCGTCCCCCTGATGGGCGCCGGCGGCGGCAACGAGCCCTCAGCAGACCACGGCCCCCCCGAGGCCCTGCGAGCCTACACTGGCTACCGGCGTCCGGGCGTCGTGCGCGCCAGCTCAACAAACTACGAGAACGCGCTCAAGCGCGCCCAACAAGCATCCGTGTCGTCGGACTTCTCTGCTGACTCGGAGCTGCCCGACGGCCACACAGTCGCTGCAGGCCATACAGTCGCCTCGCCGCCCTCGCTGTCCGGCCCCTTCCCGGCCCCAGGCCAGGGCGTCGTGCCCCTCAACTACAACTCCCCCGTCGGCATTTCCCACGCCGATTCGGCCTTGCACAAGAAGAGTCGTTCCCGCGGCCTCAGCCTCAGCGGTCTCGCGCAGCAGCAGGGCTGGAGCGAGCAGGACTACAAGCGCATCTATAGTGCTGATCTCATGGACGTCGATCCTAAGAATGCTGCTGGATACAGTTCGGGTCCCAAGGCTTAATTGAGATGCTGATTTTTCCTTGTTGTGTGTCGTTTTGGTCGATGCCGACTCTAAACAGTCATCGTGTACGCTGAGGGGCTCGTCGTGTGTGAGACGAGAGAAGGGCTGTGCAACGGGGAAGTGGTGAGAGACACGAGAGAGCGGGGTTTCAAGGCAGGTGGAAATGCTCCTATGGAAATGCTAATTTCATGTTTACCCTTGTCCACATCGATAAAACTCTCCATATTTATATATATATCCGTGTGTAAAACGGCGTCCGGGGACTCAAAGGAAATAATTTTCCAATTTACAAGCGTCGCGGGCCGACATGTGTCTGTCTACTTGTCTGTCTGTCTGTCTGTGTCTTGCTTCATACGTGACTTTTGTTTTTCTCGGCTATGAGCCGATAAACCTCCTCTCTCTCTCTCCCTTTCCATGCCACGTATGCCAAGAACATGAACATGAACATGAACATGATCATGAATGCCATACATACATAGTAATAGTCTTCAGCACAAACTCCATGCCCAACGCCTCACCAACGCCCTCTAATCATGTGGAAAAGTATTAATTTAAAATCAATCTAGCCTACTTACATACATGCCCATTCGCAAGTGTCCCCTTCCCACAGCACAGAAAGGGGAGAAAGGGGAGAAAGGGAGAAAGGGAGAAAGGGAGAAAGGGAGAGGGGGGAATCTACCAGTGTACAAAGTCTCTCTTTTTTTATGTACAGCACACACACACATACACACACACACACATACATGATGAAAGAAAAGAGAAAGTACCATGATCTATTCGACTTTGTTTTGTTGGAGGGGTGGGTGGAGAATAAACCACTCGATGGATGATGGTGATGGTGGTGATGATGATGATGATGGTAGTGGTAGTGGTGGTGGTGGTGGTGGTGGTGCTAACCGCGACCTTGAAAAACAGCAACAAAGAGAAAAAAAAGAAATAACAGGACACAAGAATGCATGCAATGCATGCCACGACTGATGAGTAAACTAAAGCTATAAGCTGTTGGCGGCTGATAATGCTCGAATTCACCTTTGTCTTATCCCCCTGGTCTTATTGTATACGGGGCATGGCACTATTGCCTAGGAACCCAGATACTTTGTCATCAAGTGGCTCAAGGGACCGAGGAGCAAATAGCGCGAACTCACGTCTCCGCTGCGGCCGAGCCAGACGGCGTAGACGCCGACGAGGAGGGCGAGACTGACGGCGCCGTAGCGGCGGTAGAACCAGAGGCGCAGCTTGATGTGTTCGAGGTGCTTGGCTGCGCGCTGCAAGGCTTGTTGGCGGCGGAGTTCGCTTTCGTGGTGTGCGAGGAGGCGTTCTCCGTCGGCGAGGGTGAGGCGGCGGAGGCTGTCGCTTGTAGGCGAGGATTTGAGCACGCTGTGCGAAGAAATGTGCCACCACTCCCAGCTGTGGAGCGAGGCGGGCGGCAGTTTCTCGTACAGTTCTACGGTGCGGGCAATGTGGAATTCGAGGTCGAATGGCTGGGGGAGTTTACTCAGCACCACGTAGAGAATGTCTTCGTCTTCCTTGTCGATTTCCAGGAGCTCGTCCCGCTTGGAGAGTACGACTGCGGCGAACAGATAGATGGGCATTATGGCGTGTCGGGCGAGGAAAAAGTCAAACAGCCGTGTGATGTTCTTGTAGTCCTGGATGTGGTGGGCGAACATGGTAATGGTGTCGGCCAGCGCAAACGAGGGCTGGCTCTTGGGGAGATGGTCGTATAGAAGCGGGTCGGCAGCGCGCAGTATGGGGCGGAGAAGTTCTAGCTGGGCAATGGCAGGCTCGAGCGACGACAGCATGAAATCGCGGATGCGGAGGAGGCTCAGCCGGGCGACGGCAGCGGGGGCATCGTCGGGGCCGAGGACGAGGAGAAAGACCTGGACAATGTCGTGGTAGCCCTGGAAGTAGCATAGCGAGGGGTGGCGGCGCAGGACGTCGAGGATGACGTGCGAGAGGTCGCGTTTCCGCTGATTGAGCAGCTTCTCTGGTTCTAGGCGCAATCAGCATGTTGGAATGTGGTCGCTGTGGGCATGGCCTTGGCCTACCGTCCCTGGGGTAGAAGACAAAGGCCCGATTGACGTCGAGGGCGACTTGGTGTTCATCCTTGTGCTCGGGAAGGCCTGCCTGGGGTTCCTGTGGCGCGTCTTTCTGCGAGCATCCCAGCAAGAGGGGCCCTTGTACATGTCAGCGAGCAGTATTCCACAGCACGCAGGATGGCCTACAAGCAGCGCGTCGCAGGCTATCGCTGACGAGGCCATACTTGGTCGTTGCTAGTTGGGCGAGGGCGGTGACATCGCCCTTCTCAATGGCGGCGCAAACCAGCGCCTCTTTCTCCTGCTCGGCGGGCGAGAGGACCGCCGCGGGCGGCGTGGCGTGGCGCGAGGGCAGGCTGCTGGAGCTCGAGCTCAGTGAGCGCGGAGGCGAGGCTGAGCGAGAGGGTGAAGCCATGGGCGCGGCGGCATCGCGAGGCGTCGTCGTTTGGTGTTGGATGGTTTCTCCCCCCCCACAGCGCCGCAGCAGCAGACGAGACGAGGGCCTAGCGATGACGTGGAGATGAGCGCCTCGTGTGGCGCAGGAGAGCGCGCGGGCGAGGGTGCAGGGCGAGGCCTAACGTGTCTTTGTCTGTCCGTCGACAAGAATATGGCTTACATGGTGTCTTGTGACGCGTGAGAGCCCCAAGTGCCAGGTGTGCCGTGAGCAGTCGCTCTCTCTGCCGCCCATCGTGCCGAGGCGCTTGGCAGAAGACCCCCACCATGACCCCCACTCCAACATCACCACCACAACCACAACCCCAACCCAACCCCAACGGCACGTGAGACGCCTGCTCTGCTACACTACCACTACCGCCCGTCCCCCATCCATTCACCTCGTCTTCCGCCCATCCCCGCTTCCGTCCGCCGCCGGCCTTGCTAGCTCGTCAGTCGGCGCTGCAGACTAGTACACGGCAGTACTCTCTGCGCGTCGGCTTGCCTACGTCGCATACACAACACCCTGGCCCCGGCCATTCTGTGCGCGAGCTTGCAACCTCCCCCTTGCTTCCGTCCTTCCATTGGGATACAGCCAAGACCGTCTGCCCAGCCAGGTCTCTCTCTATTTCGACAACCCACACGAGGCGCCTACATCCCTGCTGCTCACGTGCCGCCAAAGGCTCGACTCTACACCTGCGCTTCCTGACATACTACGCCGAGGCTGGATCCGCAGGCCGTCCCAGCTGCACTGGACTTGCAGTATTGTGCGATCCAACCCGCATTCTCAGTCACCAAACCTAGTCAATGCGAGACTGCTACGCTATCAATTGCGTCGATTGATCATGCTGTAGTCCTACATCATCTACAAACTAGCCTGCCCCGACAGGCTCCAACATGTCAGAATTATCCACCGACAGTGTGTCTTTGCAGTTCCTCCCTACACCAGCTTGAGGACTTCTTGTCTACGGCTGCGCGACCTCAACGTCACACTTGCCTCGGGGCTACACATACGAACGTCACCACCCAGTCCTCCATTGCATTTGACTACCCATTATGGAGCAAGCCCGCGGTCTGAGGCTTGTCGACGGTGAATGGGTGTCTATGCCTCTCGACGCGTATCACATCATGGCCAACACCCACCAAGATGACACTGAGATGCGAGATGCAGCTCCCAAGCCAATCCTACAGATACCAGAGTACGGTATACTTTCGCAAACCGTCATTGCTACTCCTTTGACTAAGCTCATCCTGCCGGCCAACATACGCCACAAGGATGTGACTGATGTTGTGCTGGTCGGCGAGGACGCTGTACATTTGAAAGAAATCCGTGACTACGGCCATATCCGCCATGTCGCTACCAAGACTGACTTCAACGGCGGCCGCATCATCACCGCCAGAGTGTTTGGAGATCCACGTGAGGTTTCAAACACAAACAGAATTGGCCTTCCTTTGCCCCACCTAAGACACAGGTCACGACAGTCAATGAGCCAAGATGACAACCACTTGCCCCCAGAAGTCGTCCTGCTTACTCTCTCCAACAGAACACTCATGTTCTTGTGTGCCCGCGACACCCAGACGGGCGCCTCTAGCTTTGTCCACAAGTCTGTCAGACTGCCTGCAGGGAGTTCACGGTTTGATCGACTTGGCGCCTTTCTCGCCGTCGACTTCAAGTGCCGCGCAATAGCTGTAGCAGCGCATGAAGGCCGCTTTATCCTATACAAGACCAAATCCATGGAAAGGTGGAGAAAGGAGGTCAAGGAGCGCGGTAGCATGATAACGCCTATAGAAGATGAGCGCATCATATCAGTCCAGGGGCAGATTATGCACATGGATTTTCTTTCGTCTGGAGGCGGACATGATGACTACCACGTCGTCCTCCTTCTTGTAATCGTCCTGGATGGAAAGACAAGGCTTTCTTGCTTCGATTGGGACTGTAGACAGGATTTAAGCAAGGCAACTGCGCGCACAGAGCGATACTTTGTTCAATACGGTGAGCTTTTGTTTATGCATTCTTTTGCTGCTACAACTAACTCACTCAGAGGACACTATGCCTTCACTCCTGATCCCTCTGCGGCGTAGTCCCGATTTCTTCTTAGTTTTCGACGAGCACATCTCCGTGTATAAAAACATCCTTTCTGGAGATCCAGCACGAACATTAGTGCCCATTGATCCGGGAATACTCCTTCCCCTCCTACCGGGTGACAGCAAGTCTAGACCGAAATGGACAGCGTGGGACAAGACACTGCGCAACCCCGACTATCCAAAAGAGGCCTTCTACCTTGCGAGAGAGGATGGGCGCATCGTTTATCTTGTCCGAGGCCCAGCTGGGACAGTAGAAATAAATGAGGTCGGCGAATGGTCACATCGTCTTGGCGCTGCTTTTGCATGCTTGAGCGTCGACAACTCTGAAGCCTCGCAACAGTACCCGGATTTCCTGATTGCGGGTGGCGCGAGCAACGACGGACTGCTGTGCAAGGTTGGACCATGGCCCATTGAATACTCCTATACTGAAAATGGAATGAACTCATTTTCCTTTATCGATTCATTGCCCGATTGGACGCCTCTTACCGACCTCGCAGTCACCAAACTGTCCAGTCCACGGGCTCCAGAGGAACGCCAGCGCGCTTCCATTTTTGTCGCCAACGGCAATACTCCACATGGCGAAATATCAGAGCTCAGACATGGAGTGCAAGCCCTGGTGGATGACAGCTTCAGTGGTGTCAATGGCTGTGCTGGCATATGGGTTGTTGATCACGGTAGCCATGTTGTTGAAATCGAAGGCACAATAACAAGACAGCACTATGCAATACTTGCAATAACCCTGCCACCAGAGACTCTCGTGATCCGCGTGGTTCGAACACAACCAGAGAGCGATACAGACTTTTCGGGCGCGTGGGAGCTAGGTTCGTGGGACAAGTTCCAAACACCCAGTAATGACGACCCGCTGGAGGATAGCCTCGTGAGGGATGAAGAAACCATATGTGCCTGTCCTTGGACTGACGAGATGTCGATCCAAATTACAAGGCAAGAAGCTCGCACCCTTCTCCGACCGACACTGCGCCAAGTAGACGCGTTGTCATTCAATACGTCGCTTTTACTGGCTGCTTCTCGCTCTGCGTGTCCATTCATCGCAGTTGTTTTCCGCGAAGGAGGGAGCACATACTTGGAGATTGTACGGATATCGAGTGGCGGCACCTTTGAGAAGACGGGCAATTTCCGCCAGCAGCTGCTCTACGACCCTACTTGTGTGGAAATTTTGGAGATTGGTGGCACCCCACACGTGTTTGTCAGTACATTTGACTCTAAGATCATAATCTTGAAACACCAGGATGGCCAGACGTCTTTGGTCATGGAAGACTCTTGGCATCACGATTTGCCCAATGGTTCCCAGAAGCTATGTGAGAGTGCCGCAGTCTTGCGTTCGAACGGCCAACAGATGCTAGTCTGTGGAATGCGGGACGGTACCCTTCTAAGCTCTTCGTTTGAGGTAGGAGGGCAAGGTAAGCTTGAACAAAGAGAAGTCGAATTGTCACTGACGTCGAGTAGGCATTTCTTCATTCTCTTGGAGGTCTACCCATATGGGCACCACTCCAGCCAAAGTCACTCGTAGTGAGACTGATCCTTCGTCTGCGTTTGTCTCGTGCGGCTCAGATTTCTGTCGGGTGCGATGTCCAAAAGACCAGTCATCGTCTCTGAAGATTGACTCCATATGGTTCACCGACCGTACTCACCCTGAGTATAACCAATCCCCAGTATCAGCTGTGTATCAGTTACCTCTGCTCCCGGAATTGGATAGCATTGGAAGGAACATCGGGGGCTTCCTATTCGTCGTCGCTGGTGACCGTCTCCTTTTCTCCCAACTTGACTCGGACGTGAGATGGCCAGGCAGTGATACAGCTATTCCGTCCGTATGCGATTCGAGAATGGTCCCACGAAAGCTCATTACAGGCGCTAAACCTACAAATATACTGTATATGCAAAGGCTACGACGCGTTCTCGTTTCCACCATGGAAGCAAAGGAAAGCCGTGCGCCACCACATGGTGAACGGGTCTTGCACTCGTCAATCAAGTTACTCGAAGTCCGGGATGACAGGTCCACAATAGACACGGATATCAAGCAGGAAGAAGAAGAAATGCTTCCCCAACGGCTGGTTGTTGCACAATTCTCTCTTCAAAACGCGGAAAGAGTGTACTCCATTGTTGAATGGCAGTTTGTCAACCAGCAAGATAGAAAATACTCTCTCATCATCGTTGGTACAGGGGTCCAAGTGGGGCCAACTCAGCAAACCGGGAGGAGACTGATATTCAATACCGGAAAGTCCGGCTCCAAACTAGAGCTGCAGAAGCAATCCACATATGACCAGCCCGTCTATAGCATTGCATTGTGGGACAACAAAACAACGATCAGTATCATTGGAAAAACGTTGTCCATGGATCAGTTTGATGAGCAGGACGGAAGGTGTGTACATACTTTGTTGCTCTGTGGCAGTGACTGACTAGATTACTGTAGGTGGTCTCAACGTGGAAAAGCAGACCTTCATTCACCGGGTATACACATATCAGTGTGTCGTCCTTTCGTCTACGTATCAACGCTACAGCACTCTCACATTTGCTTCAAGGTAGTGAGTGGACTACGCCCGGGTACTGTTGAATTTGTTCCATTTTTTTCGGATAGTGGTGTGCGCAACTGCTCACGGCATCTCGTCATGCATGTGCAGAGTGCGAACGACGAAGACCACAGCGATCATTTTGTCCTAGTCACAGACAAGAAGAGTAGCTCGGTAATAGGCCTCTTTCAGCCACTCGAACATACGTACAACAACGCGTCAACCACGCTGTTCGAGGCATGTCTCTCCCATACCGTGGTGCGCATCGATCGCGGCAATATTCGCACGCCCTGGCGTCGAGCAAATCCCAATGGTACGATCACAGGTGTGCTTGCTGACGATATCATTGGTGCCTGTACCGATGGAACCATTTTCGCCTTTTCCATTCTCTCCCAGCCGGCGCGCCATCTTTTGCGCCTGATTCAAAATCTCATCGAAGTAAAAAATGCACGCTCAAGTGTACATAAGCACGAAACTGTCAAGCTGCACAGCGGCGGTATCTTCCAAATTCTCATTTCTACCGCTCCAGAAACTCAAAACAGCGACGTAATGATTAGAGATGTTGATCCACGGCACCTGGAACGCTCATCGCAACGCGGACCCAAGCATAAGCATATCGATGGTGATTTGCTGAAGAGGTGGTTAAGCGACAGTGGTGACGTTGAGAGTCTGGTTTGCGATGGCGCTGATGCCGAGATTGGTGCTTTGTTCAGGAAATTGGCACTGCATGTTGATGGAAGCTGGGTTGACAGAGATGCGGATATCCAGGGAGCTCGTTTATACGAGCACGTGAGGACATGGATGCAGCATGTGCTGATGCCTGTGCTCTGAAAAATTCAATGTACAAGACGAGGCGGGAGGTGGAGTAGAGCCATGTGTATATGGACCGAATTGAATACTGTGCTGTAGTATAGTGCACGTGACTAAGCTTCAGACAGTATCTATACAAGATAACTGCGATAGGTAGAAAGAATCCAACCACCCCTCTCTCTCACTCCGACAACCTTATCCCAGCTATTATTCTATCTACTTCTTCTTGCCTACCTGCCGATTGTGCATCAAAAGCCTTGTTCTCTGACTTCTTTCATGCTGCGGTAACCCCATTGCTGCCGCAATACCTTTCGCCAAAATTTGACTTGTGTAGTACATTCTGCATTCTTTAAAGTACATAACTGAACACTTTGCACGAGACAGCGGGCTACAGGTGTGTCCATATATCTGCATCCGCAAAAAGATGAAAGTGAAAGAAAACCCGAAACAGTGACGACTCATGGCATGTACAGCACTTCCTTCTAAACGTGATTTTGCAGTAGTAGCGTTTTCTGCAAATTCCTAAATCTCTTCGCACAAATACATGGATGCTGTTTCCTTGGACTGAGCAGGTGCCATCCGCTTTGTGTATAATTTTCTCGAATATTTGCTTTGAGGGTTGGTCGTTGTAACCTCACGGTCCCTCTACATCTGGGGGTATTATTATTATACGAATAGATCTGGAGGTATAGAAGTAGGGCATTTCGGCAATCTTTATGGAGAATAGAGGTTTACCGGTATTGCCGCTGTCACCGCCGTTATCACCGCCACCTCCATTACCACCACCGCCTCCACCTCCTCCGCCTCCCCGACCTGTTCTACCTCCTCCGCCTCCTCCTCCACCACCTGTTCTACCTACTCTTCCGCCTCGTCGCCCCCCTACTCTTCCGCCGGAACTGCTGCGTCTCTTCAATCCACAGGCGCCGCACCAGGAAATTATACTCCCACCTGGTACCTACAAGTACCGTCCAGAAGTACAAGCCAAATTCGACCGCACAGAGCTATGGCTTTCCAAAATCCACCCATACACCTTTGAGTAAACACATCCACACTACTCCCACTTCCCCAAATTCACCCCACCACTAACGCCACTAAAAAACACAGCGAGGCACAAGCCCGTTCCCAACGCTCAAGCGTCTACAAAGGCACCGAGTCCTCCATCGGCACCCTAAACGACGACTACAACTACACGTACGAGTACAACTGGCAGGACGAAGATGAGGAGGGCAACTTTGACCTTCTCGACCACTTCTTCCTGCACGAGGCAAAGTGGTATCCGTACAGCACCGAGTGCAGTCCTGATATCGAGGCGCTGGCACAGGATATCTGGGCTGGACGGGTGGCTTTGGATATGAAATTGCAGGGTTTTGCGGCGGAATTATTGCGGTTTCCGTCGTTTATGCTCGCGGCGGAGAATGCGAAGAGGGAGAGGGTGGCGAGAGAGGCGAGAGAGGCGAGGAGGGAAGAGGAAGAAGATGAAGAGCGCGAGGAAGAGGAAGAAGAGGGAATAGTGACTGGATTTAAAGGAGAAGGAGAAGGAGAAGGAGAAGAAGAAGACAACGAAGAAGAGGAAAAAAGCCCCAACATGCCATCCCAAGCCACACTGGAATCCCCCAAACCCTTGGCCAAATACAATTCCGAATCGGATTCTGAACGCGAACCTTGCTACTGCGAGTGCTGCGAAGCCGAGGACGCATGGACGGGCGAATGGCGCGGCTCCAGAAAGTGTCTGTACGGATGGGAAAATGTGTGCTTCGAGCATGCTGGTGCGAGTCCTGTGCAGAGGTACCGGGGAAGCACGAAGAGGAGTTGGGAATGAGGGTTCCGATACGCTGCACGGATGGAGTAGTCCGTCTGATTTTGAGTTTGTGCTCGGTTTGTGGGATCATGTGGAGAGGTGTCATGGTGTGTGTGATGAGAGAGTAGAGGGGGAGAGGTGTGCTAGCGATACCGAGGCGCGACTTTACTAGATGATGATGGTGTGAAAAAAAGAAAAGCGAGAGTTTTCTGTATGATTCGTTACACTGAATATCCATGAACAGAAAAAAAAATTGTATTAATCCGCTTTACCAAGACAACACTCCCCCTCCCCCTTAATAACGCCTCCTTCGAACTCTTCCTCCTTCATTCCTACCAAGAATCCTCTCCTCCAAATCCAAATCCACATCGTATGGTCTGACTTGTAATCGTCTTGCCCCTCACCGCTTAACACATTGATAAAGTATCGCATTCTACGCGTCCTCAGCGCTTCGAGTGCGCGTGGGTACTGACTGGTACACAAGTTCTGCGCGTCTTGAAGTGTCTTTGCTGCATCGTACGTATACCTTTCTTCCCTCCCTTCTCTTGCACCCTTTTTTTTTCTCTTCTTCTCACAGCCTGGAAGTAAAGAAGCAGACAGAGGATTTAGACATGGGGAGTGAGCTAATAGAAACGACACGACTTCTGCATCCATATACAAAACAATCTGATCTATTCTATGTATGTCGTAATGTAGTCATTATTTCTTTGCTTCCTCCTGCACAGGGGGGATTCTTGCTGCGAGAGATGGAAAAAAAAGGAAAATACTCTACGTTTCACATATCCTCAATCTTCTTGTCAACGGCTACACAGTCGACAGCTTTACCTGGAATGAGTTTATCCAGCAACTTGCTCTTCGCAACAAACTTACCGACGCCTTTGCCATATGCGAAGAATACCTGATGCCACGCTTCCCTAGCTGGCGCGACCTTCACCCGGGATACCGGCGCAAAAACCTCGTGGGCTACCAATGGATGGAACTCCGCCACTACGATGTCAAGAAGAACGTTGTAATGCCTCGTTACAAGACCCTAGTCGTGCTAGCCAGGGCTTACGGCCAAACGAAGCGCGACGAGAACGACGGCATTGGTTACGACGCCGATCAGCAGGCCTGGATGCGGGAAATTCTCGAACGTACTGCGCCCTTGACTGTCAGGGCTATCGAGACAATGCCGCGCACCTACGATCGCTTGCAGGAGACTTTCTTCAATACCATGTTGTAAGTCTTGCTTACCGCCTTGCGTCATGATACTTGTATCTAGTGTAGTATATTGAAACAAAATAAACACTTCTCTCATCTACAAACTTTTCCTTCACTATCTTGTCTTGTATCGTTGCGTTGTGTTTCCCCCCCCCCCCCCAGTCTCTCTTCTATCGGAGCAAGAGCTACGGGAATGTGCAATCCATGTGTTTTTTACATCACACCAATCCTTTGACGCCATTTGAATTCCACGTTCAAAAGGTCCGCTGTGCTTCTTGCACGGCTTCGGGGCCGGGTTGTGCCAGCAAACTACGAATGAAAATGCGAGCCGGATTGGCCAGTATGTGGCGGCGATTGCTGGAAATTTGAGACTCTTGGAAGTACCTATGAACTGCAGGATCGAGTAGGGAGTCCAATTCGGAATCTGGTGCAGTTTGATGCACGGCTTGATGGAAGGTCTTTGTTAGTCTGCCAGCTGAAGAGCGCGCCAGCTCCCAGAGTTTGGCTACTTCTGTGTAATTGCCTGCTTTGTAACGGGCTTCCATCATTGTCGTGATGAGCGTCAGAGGAGAAATATAGTTGTCGGAGTCTGGTGCTGACGCTTCGGCCTTTTCAAAGTACTTCTCACAAATCTTGAGTGCAGACCGAGCAGTGTACAACGAGATGACGAGGCCGAGATAAGACTGCGGAACAGCGCCATAGTTATGGGTATCCATGATCCTTTCGTGCCGAGGCTGCTGATGAGCAATATCTTCGCCCATGCTCGAGGTAAGTATTTCCTCAAGAGCTTCTTCTACTCTTCGCAATCGGTGGTTCGCGCTTCTCTTCGCCACCGTTCGAAGATCGTCTGCACCCAGTGCACGTATTGAAGCTTCACGAGAGCTCTTGGTTTGAGGAACGTTGCGTTCCATCATTCTCTCATAAGCACTAAGCGCTTGGTCGATCTGGCCCTCCCTTAGGAAACCAGTAATGACAACGGCGTAGTGTAATGCGTGGACCCGCATGCCATGTTCCGGCATAGTGACCCTCAGAATCTTATACGCAGCGTTTGTCTGCTTCACTTCGATTAGTGCTCGCATCAAACTGCCGTATGTCCAGCTATCCAGAGGAATGTTGTTTTCGATCATCTGCCTGTAGCGCTGTCTGCTCCCTGCCAGATCACTGTTGAGGGCATATTGCTGGATCAACAGATTCCAGGTGTGAGTCAGAGGATGCCCATAGAGAGTTCCTTCATTCCAACTCTTAAGCATGCCGCCGGCGATGGCATCGGCTCCTTCCGGATCACCCGCATTCAAAAATGCATGTACGTAACCCGACCTTGCTCGCACATCAGTGTCCAAGTGCAGCCCAAACTGCTTGGCTCGTGAAAATAGTGTTTCGAAAGCTTCGACATCGCCTCGTTGAGCGCAGAAGTCGAGTAGAGGCCCAAAGGTCTTCTCATCCGGCACAAGGCCATATTCCATGCAGTTGTTGAAGCACTCCAGAGCTCCATCAAGATCGTCTGCACGTACATATGCAAGCAGCAAGATGTTCCAGCATGCGATATCTGGAACCATGTTGTACTCTGTGTGTATGCGATTGAACTGTCTGATTGTCCCCTCGACGTCTGCACGCCGTGCATTGACATATGGAAGTGCAGAGAGGACTTGGAGGCTGACCTCATCTTTGTAGTTTTCCTCAAGTTCCTTGATGTATTGGTTGACCTTTTCTTCGTCACCAGCAATGGCATGTGCTTGAATGAGCTGTTTGAGCAGCCCAGGTCGTAGCGGCCGCACAGGATAAAAGGTACGTAGATCCTGGATGAACTCTTCAACACGCCGCCAGCCACCCATTCGACTGTATTGATGAATCAAGTTTCTGACCAAGTTCTCCGATGGCCTTGTTTCCGAAGTAGCCTTTGGATCATCCACATACCGGCTTCGATATCGTAGGTATAGCTCCAACCAGATTTTTCTTTGATTGGTGTATTCTTGATAACGCGGGAGCTCCAGCATTCGCTTGATGGCATACTCGTAGCAGGCCGGGGTGGGAAGGTTCAAGGAGTGAAGATCGTCAAACAATTTGACAAAAAAGTCCCAAATAAAGTCTTCGTCGGGAGTTTGCGTGTCGAGAACTTTATCCATTACATGCGGAACGAAAGTCATGATGAAGCAGGCCAAATCTCGCTCCATTTGAGGAGAAGACGTAAGTTCATGCTGGAATTCTCGGACATGTCTAAAAAAAGACTGAAGATGCTCTAGCAGTTCGGGCAACTGGGCTACACCATGCCACAACTCGGGTAGCGTGTTTCCTTGACGTATCGCTGGATATGTAGATTGTCCATGCACGCCTCGACTTCGCCGTAGGAATAATCTGAAAACACGAAAGGTAAGATCCCATTGCTCGTCCGCTACTGTCCGTTGAAGAATGGCATCGATGCCGATATGTAGCGTCTTGAATTTAACGGAAGGGTCCATGTCCTCCAACAACTTAATGGCTGGGCCAATCATCCTAAGCGCAACGTATGCTCTCACGGCCGCTCGGTACGAGGACGAATAACGAGCTTTTAGTGGCATTTCATTAAAAACCTGAAGCACGCGACCCGGGACTATTGTATCCATGTCTCGGGCAAGGATATCCAAGAGATGACACCGTATATCGGGTTGCGCCATCAATTGATCCTCGGGAATAGACGTGTACAGCTGCCATGCTACTTCTTGCTTTCCGGGTATCGTGTGGCGTGCAATTTTCTTCAGTTCCTTGGCAGCATCAGATCGTGCAGCCAATCTCGCAGCCTCTTTTCTAGCCTGTTCCACCGCATCTGCGTCCGTGTTGTCCCCGTTATGCAGGATTTGTGGTCGAAGCGTAGAGAAGTGGCGTGCACCGGTCGTCGTATGGAGAAGTCGTCGCTTGGGTTCTGAGGCTCCGCATTTATCTACGGATAGGCTTCTGAGGAGGGCAAGCGTCTTGTCTGGATACAGGAAGTCGAGGAGTATGTTCTCGTTGGTTCTCGTACTTGAGGAAGGTGAGCGTTCGGCCACTCCATGATCAGTGTTGTCGCTTGTGTTTCCGGGAATCGAAGATGCGGCCTCTGACCCTTGCAGGCTCAAATCGCAGGCTGCATGGTACCACACAGCAGAATGGAGCATGCGCCGACTGCGTAGACATTGCTTTTGTGCGCGGAACAGCTGGCGCCCGCCGGATTCGAGGCATGTCGAAGCACGCTCGAGCATTACCTGGGCCTGTGGAAGCGCAGATGATGCCAGTGCAAATTACCGAGAAGCTTGAAGTATCCTACAAACTGGTTCTGTCAGGTTTTGCCGAGGGGGGAGAATTGGCATGGGCAGTCGGAGTTTGGCTCACATTTGTGCATGCCTTCAAATGCTTGGGAATGGCATTTACAAAGAGAAAATTTTGGACCGAGAGACAAACAAGCGGAGAAGTAGCAGGGAGAAAGAAAGAGGCTACGCTACAGAAGCCAAGGGACACGGCGAGTGGCGCGCGTGGCGATGGCGGGCCCAATGTCTATGATATGTAGAAAAGTTTATGGGCGCGCCGTGACCTGAGATTCCGATTGGCTTGGCAAGACTGGCGGACAGCTCGCCAATTGATGCCCCTCCACATGAGCCGCATCCCCACCGTTGCAACCTCTCACCAACGACGACAACGACGGCGCGGCAGCCATGGACATCACCAAGTTCATCACCGAATACCGCGAGTCGGCATTCTTGATCGGCGACCACAACACGTACCGCGACCAATTGTCGCGACGTCTTCGCATTGTGAACAAGAAGCTCGGACGGGCCACTCCCAAGAATGCCAAATACGCAGCAAAGGCGCCTGTGACGGCCGAGGATGTCAGCAAGAACAGCGAGTATGACATGACCAGCCGGCTGCTCCATCACATGCTCACCAATGCAGGGCTCTCCATCTTCTCCTACTCAACGCGGAGCGGGCATGGGCGCAGGCCATGGCCATGAAGGCCTCGCACTCCGAAGACAATGCCGACAAGAGCATCACCGGTTCCACCCGAAAGCACATTATCTCGCGTCTGCATAAGGCTGTCGTGTACGCGAACCAGATTGTCCAGCTTGTCTCAGACACGGGCGCAAGCGGGGCGTCGGACACGGACGTGCTGGAAGCGCGGGCATATGCATATGCCATGGCTGGAGCACAAGAATTCGAAAAGCAAGCCGAGGGCACAAAAAGCAAGAATGCATCGGCGGAGCGCTGGGCCTCGTGTCTGAAAAAGTACTCTGCGGCACGCGTCATATACAGCTCCCTGCTGAGGGCTACCAAGAAGGATCTGTTCAAGGAAGTGCTGGCTGGATCGGTCGACCCAAGCATACGCTACGCCGCGTACCAGAGCCGCATCCCCCGCACTGTCGGCGTGCCTGCTGTTGCCATCAAGTACTTTCCCAAGGATGACGCAAAGCTAGTCGAGGCTGTGCAGCAGTTGGACTCTGCTGCCTTGGAGGAGGAGAAGGCAGCTTCAACTCGTACGTCTGGCCAAGGGGCATCATGGAAGCTCGCTAACGGTGGATCAGATTCCCAGATAACATGGCGCGGCCGGACGGCAAACGTGGTGGATGCCGCAATTGGACAGGCATTGGCGTCTATCGATATAGCCTCTGCCGCACTGGACGAGACGATGGCGTCTTCGACGTCTCCCAAAGATCGAGCCAACGCATACGATGACATTCTTATCGCCAGCCAAGACGCGGTCGATGCAACACGACGAGCGATTGAAGAGCTGGAGAAGGAGGGCATGGACGAGGGGGATGCACGCATGCAGGATCTCCGTGTGACCAATCTCGCCGTCAACTACGATCTCATCTCGTGGCGGGTCGGGCGCAACAGGGTGCTTGTAGGCAAAGACGATGGGCTCACGTTTCCCGCAAATCCTCCACAAAAGCCGAGGCGGCAACGCAAAGATGGCAAGGAGTGGACAGAGCGCGAGGAGCCCACTGGCCGCAAGCTGGCACGGCTACGGGAACGGACGGCTTTGTACGATGCCATCTTGCAGAGCATCGATTCGATCAAGGAGCTTCGCGGTGCTGCTCGCGACACTGAGTTTGTTGCGGAGCTCGAGGGACAACGGGCGTACTTTCAGGCACTCAAATGCCTGAACCTTTCGCATGCCTATGCCTTCTTGTCGACGCCTAAGCAAGCACTGGCGCTGTGCAGCCGGGCACTGGGGTTGGCGACACAGGCAGCATCAGCGCGGCGCTCCGAGTCGGCTGTGGCCACGAAAGCACCGAAATTAGCAGTGGCAGGGGAGCAAGCGCAAACTCTGGAGAAGACGTTGGGGCATCTCAATTCGCACTACCGGGGCGTGGTGGCATTGTCGCAGTTGTGTGCTAACTCGGAGACGGCGTCGAAGGCTGGGCTAGCGAATGCGGCGCCGGTGGTGGAGAGGCTCAATGAGTATCCGTCGTCGGGCGCGGTGGAGGTGAAGAACCTTGTGACATGGCCGCCAAAGCTAAAGCCGGTGCCCGTCAAGCCGCTATTTCTGGACGTGGCATGGAACTACATCGAGTATCCAGGACGTGCGCGCGCAGTGCAGCAGGCAGAGCCGCAAGAGGCACCGGCCGAGGAGCAGAGGGAGCAGAAGCCGGCAGCCAAGAAGGGCTGGTTCTCGTTTGGTAGATAGTGAGCAGTGTCAGCATGCAGCGGGCAGGGGGGCATCCATGGGGATCGCCATTGGGTCGAAGTCAGTTGGCAGTCGAGGCCCCGTGGTTACACGAGGGCGGGCTCAAAAGGAAGAATAGTAGACGAACCGGTGCCGCCACGGCCATGGCAGCACGACCATGGACCCTTTTGGGACAGGCTGTTGCAGGCTCGCGAATGCGCTATGGATGCTGGAAGCCCGTGAGATTGCAGTGTGTGGTCTGGCGTGAGCCACAGAGGGAACATGGAGCGGGCGTGATTGGCCGAGACTGAGGCTGGAGTCGCGATGCATGGCCGTTGTGGGGCTAGCGCCATTTGAGCCTCAGGGGCAATTGGCGTAAGCGCCACGCCGTGCATTCACATTTGTGGGTGTGGGCGAACCATCACGCGCCTTGTTTCGTTTCAGCGACACACACAGCTGCTGGTCCTCGTGCGCCCTGCAGGCCATGGACAGCCGTTGCTGAGGCTGTCGACGTGGACGTGGGCGGTTTTGCTGGTGACAACGGTGCAAACCATGGCGATGCATGCATGCATGCATGCATCCATTCATTCACTCATTCACGCCTTCGCTCGCCCGTGCATGCATCCCACCCGTCCGTCCATCCATTCCACCACAGCATACATGCAACGCGACCCGGCCCAAAGGAGCATCGAGGCGCGCTTTGGGACAGCCGTTCTGAGGTCATGCAGGTGGTTAGATTAGTTAAATTAACATGGGTGGATATCGATAGCACCCCTAGCATCGATACGGGCCATGGCCCCTTATCCACAGACGCGCGCAGAGAAACTATCGTGTACCTGGCAGCTCAATTTCTGGTCGTGCTCGTTCTTCTTAACACACAACCCCCCTCCCTCTCTCTTTTCCCACCGCCCTACCGCAGCTCTTGCCTTGCATCCGTCACTCCTTACCGTCACTCCCTTGGACTAATTAATACACACCCACACTACACTCCTTTGGCTTTGCTTCCCTGCTCGCGTCTTGCCTGTCCGCTATACCAGCCCGCTTCTTCCACAGCACAACCACGCAACCACTCGTCGAGAAGCGCCCGCGCGTTTCTCGCTCCTAATACTTCACCACGGCTTCCGCACTGGCTACCGCTATTCTGCCTCGGCCCCAGGTCGACGACTCGTTCCGCAGACCATCCATCCTGCAGGTCTTCGACCTGCCCGCCTTCAAGACGCCGTCTCCAGCCAACCTCGACGACAAACTGCCGTCCATCGCCCACGACAGATCGCGGCCCTCGTCCAGCTCGACCGTGGCGTCCCACACGCAGCAGCAGAATGGCAGCAATGCCGCGATTCAGTTGCCCTCGCTGGCGACGCTAGCCTCGGCCGCTTCGAATTGCCCGACTCCGAACCATAACAACAACCACAACAACACCACCACCACCACCAACAGTAATGAAAGTAATGATAATACAAGGACAGGGACGCCCGAGAAGAAGATGGCGTCTCCACCCAGGTACGTTGCTGCAGAAGCGGCGGCGGGTAAATGGCGCCAGCGAGCCTCTGCGCTGGCGGTCGCTGCGGCCCGCCGTACCTTGACGAAAGGACCTGCTTATCGCAAAGCTTGGCGAGGTGCCGCACCTCGACTTTTTCATGCTGCCCGCTAACATGGACTCCAGTAAACCCTCTAATGGCCTCAGCATGACTTATGCAACCTCTGCGCCCGCCACTGCTGGCGGACAGGCTGGCTCTCCGGTACGTCTGCACTTCTCATTGCTGGTGTTTTTGTCGCAAAGAGCATGCCGCTCTATCGCGCTCCAATTTTGTCTCTTATCTAATCGATAGCCATGACCTGACCTTCTGCCTCTATGCCTCTACCACGGGGCTTCTTCTTCCACTGTACGCTGTGCTAACACCCTGCAGCCCGTCTGCCAGAACTGCTCCACAAGCACCACGCCGCTATGGCGCCGCGACGAGACGGGCGCCGTTCTCTGCAACGCCTGCGGTCTCTTCCTGAAGCTGCATGGCCGCCCGCGTCCCATCTCGCTCAAGACTGATGTCATCAAGAGCCGCAACCGCGTCAAGACTGGCGGGCCAGGCGGACGCAAGAGGGTATGGCTGTCACCTCGCGTGTTTGACATGGGCGTGCTAACATGTCACAGACAAGCGACCAAGGCGGTCTTCCCGCAGCGCACCCCGATGCAGACGGCCAGCTAGCCCTCGCCCAGCACCGCCGTGCTTCTGGAAAGATGTCTTCAGGCCTGTCGGACCGCTCCCAGTCGCCCATTTCGCGTACCGGCACCCCCAACTTCAACCATCCCTCCAACATTGCGCCCCAGCACATGTTTGAGCAGGCGCTGCACGGCGACTTTCACTCGCCCTCGCTGCCTGGTTTCGGTCTTCGGGCCCCCTCACCTGCCACGTCGTCGGTCAACGGCTCCCACCTTGAGGCCCCTCTGCCGTACGAGACGCTTGCCGCGCAAAACACTGCGCTCAAGACGCGTGTTTCGGAAATGGAGCTCATCAACGACCTCTTCCGCAACCGTGTCAGCGAGCTCGAGCAGAGCGAGCAGTCGGCGCGGCAGACGGAGACGACGCTGAGAAAAGAGCTCGACGAGGTCAAGCAACGCGAGGCCGACCTGAAGAGGCGGCTTGAAGAGATTGAGAACGAAAGCCCGAGACACAAGAGGATGAAGATGAGCGAATTCGTAGACGAGAGCCGCGCAGGCACACCCATCAACGCCATGGTGGACTAGCTGCTTTTGCCGAGGCATTTCCTTTGATTATCTAACGACTGTTCTATGCATGCGCAAAGATGTTTGGTGCTGCTGGATCGAGGTAGTACTCGTCCTATGCCAGCTTACTCCCCACGGGAGCCGAGCGTCGACGCTTGCTCTGCTTGGTCTGCAAGACCGCCTAATGTCTAAATACCACTTCTTGCCGCCGCCTTTGATGGCGCCGGCTATATTGTAAATTTATTTCTGCTCCGATACCAATGTTGATGCGGGTGCGTTGTATGAGGGTACGGCCAGGGCACGGGTTAGATGGGCGGGGAAGGCGAGAACTAGGAACATGTTTATCAAAAGTCTTGCAATTGCGGTTAGTTAGTTACCATCAATGGGATACGAAGCACGGAAACAAACCCTCGCCTGTGTGTATGCTGTGTAATCGGGAGTGATAGGTGGTACTACTAAGATGGCCAAGACCGGGTCGGACTACAAGTGGTCCTATGACGATGGATGGGAACTTGACTATGAATACCAAAATGTAGGCAACCTGCTTTGCACATGTGCATCTTGAGTGTTTCTCTTATTCCTGTCTTATTCCTGTATGCAATTGGTGTTCGCATTGAGTATAATACGGCAGTTATACATACTCATGACAGGTCTAGCCATAGTCTCGGTAGCCCCTCAGATATGTGGTGATGTGATTGATGTGCTTAGACTGACGTTCCAAAATGCAATTGATTTGTACAATATGACTTTGGAGGGCCTCAATGGCTTATTCAAATTGAGAAATACCTCTTTATAAAAGCGACAAGCCTCAAAGCACAGTGGTGTTGGTTAAGCTCGGTTGCATCGGTTCATGTCCTCGAGATGACCACAATTGCCTCCTCACACTGGCAATATGTAGTCAATTCTTAGACCCTACGCTCTCTTCGACTAAATGCTCTTCTCTCTCAATTTTTTCGCCCACAAACCCACGCCACAACACCCAAGACGTCCAGACAATGTCGAGTTTTCGGGAGTAAACGGGCAGCGCTAACCCGATGTGAGCTCCCGCACGGACTCTTGGCAGCTAATCAACCCTTCAGCGAGTTTTTGCATCCACCTCCTCCATCCTCCTCCCACCACTCCCCATCCATTGGAAGACCAATTCATCTCCAACTCATCTCCACTCCGACCGTCAACACCATCACCATGGTTGCCATCGCTCGCTCCTTCGGCGCCGCCCGCGTGGCCGCCCGCGGCTTCTCCAACGCTGGTATGTGTCGCGCCTACGGCAGGTGCTCAAGCCATTGGGTTTGAGCTCTGCAAGCTCATCCATCAGCCATTGACCATCATCCCGCAGCCCGCCAGCCCCAGCAGAGCACCCTCGTCGCTGCCCGCAGCGCCTTCCGCAACAACGCCGCCCGCAACGTGATCCAGAAGCGTGGCATCGTCGCCGAGTCCACCGCTGCCGCCATGGTCGCTGCCGCCAAGATCCAGGGTGCCGGTCTCGCTACCATTGGTCTTGCCGGTGCCGGTGTTGGTATCGGAACGGTTTTCGGTGGCCTCATCCAGGGTGTTGCCCGCAACCCTTCGCTCAGGGGTCAGCTCTTCCAGTACGCCGTCTTGGGTTTCGCCTTCGCTGAGGCCACTGGTCTCTTCGCGCTCATGATGTCTTTCCTGCTCCTCTACGTTGCATAGATGTGTGCATTGATTGCATCGAACTGCCGGACATCTTGGGTCAACGGTATGGGGGTGCCGCAAGGTGGAAAACTTTTCTTGCGGATGGGTGTGTGCATAGGGACGACTACTACCTCTCTTCCTACTCTAGTGGCCGGTCAGATTGTGTAAAACATGTACTTTAGAGAGCAATCTGAAGAGCAAGCTACCACCAGGCTCGCTTTCCTTTTTCACGCATGCGTGCGGAAGCTCTAGCGACGGTAATGAGACGTGCGGATGAATCATGTTAAGCTCAATGAACCCAATTGGATCCTCTGAACAAATGCCAACGCAATCCGACGCTTGTGCCATGTTCCGTGATGAGCGGCAGTTAGTTGACGTCTCGCACGCCGAAACCTGATAGCGCCAAGCCTTTTGCTCTGCCTGCGCTGGAGTCGGCGACGGCCTTGTTGTGCCCGCGCTTCTCTGTCACTTGGCTAGCGACCGCCGGGGACTGTCTTTGCCATGGCTTTTCGATATTCTTTTTCTGTCTGTCTTCGGGGGAATTGACTGCCCTGCAGCCCCGCGACAGCTTCCGTGCGCCCCCACTAAAACCACTCGGGAGCTTGAGCACGGTCGGACGTCTGCTGAAGGCTCCGGTGCCATGCTCTTATCCCCATTGTGCCGCCTTGCAGTAGGTACGTTTGTCGGAATAGGTAGGTCAATCCGAAAGTTATCTTGGGCCTTGTTGACTTTTGTAGAATGAACTGCGCATCGCAATCAATCTCCGACATCTTCTACCGACCTTTACCTACGTCCTTTTAACGACACCAAAGTCATGCACGACCCAACTGCTTATGCTGCACCTGCAAACGCTCAATCGCTACATTAAATACAAGTAGAGAAGAAGAGAGACTTGATAAGGCGCTACTGTAGTTGTAGTCTCAGAAAACACCAGCCTCGGGGCTATCCGCAGGCAAATCGTCATACAGCATGGCGCAGCACGTTGAAGCAGGTCGTGTCTGAAAATATTCACACCTGGGACGGCAACACACGGTACGACTGCTGAGAGAGTAGCGGTTGAAGCGTATGCGCGGGCTGAAGCTACAGCTGCGATGTTTCAGACGCGCGTTTGAGCAATATGGTGAAGCTATTCCCGAAACAAGGCCACGACTGCTCAACTGGCGAAACTGGGCAATCAGAAACCAAACAAGTCTAGTCTTCCTTGCACCATGCGCCACAATTACTGCGTGCGCTGCTGTGCATCGATAATGCACTTTTGTTCGGATCGTCGCAGCGCCGTGAAACTAAGGTAGGTTTCGAGACAGGCTTCGACATTGTACGCCTCAAAGCTTGGTATGTACCGCGTCGACTGGCCATGGTCACTTTGAGCTGTAGTATTTAGCCAGTCGCTATTCCAGCTCAAGAAAAATCAAGCTTGCCAATTCCATACTGTCGTCTCTTTTGTATATTTGTGCCGGTCACTTGGTTTCCTTTGTCCATATTTAGTCTTTAATCTCGCCTCTTTGGAATATATTTGAATCTATTCACCAGCAACAACAACAACAACAATATCAATATCAACAAGATGCGTTACACAGCTTTCCTCACCGTCGCTGCTCTCTCCAGCACCGTCTTTGGTTTCGCTTCGCCTGGTAAGCTTTATCTTTTTTCAGCTATACGTTGAAAGAGTGGGAAAATAGCTAACACGCAACGCAGTCAAGCGTACCCCCCAGGAAGACGTGACCAGCATTCTCGAGGCCCTCCGTGAGAACAACCCTGAGGACGCCGAGGCGGCGGCAGCGGCCATGAAGGTCAAGCTTCGCCGCCAGGACGACATGGCGAGCATCTTGGCGGCTCTCGAGGCCAACAGCCCGGAGGATGCGGCCGCTGCCAGGCAGGGTCTCGCTGGTGCCAACACTAAGCGCCAGGATGACATGGCCAGCATTCTCGCTGCCCTCGAGGCTAACAGCCCCGAGGATGCGGCTGCCGCCCGCCAGGGTCTATCGGCCGGAAACACCAAGCGCCAGGATGACATGGCGAGCATTCTTGCGGCTCTCGAGGCAAACAGCCCTGAAGACGCCGCGGCGGCTCGACAAGGTCTCTCTGGTGCCAACACCAAGCGCCAGGATGACATGGCCAGCATTCTCGCTGCCCTCGAGGCCAACAGCCCTGAAGACGCTGCCGCCGCTAGGCAAGGTCTTTCCGCTGCTAACACCAAGCGTCAAGACGACATGGCTAGCATCCTCGCTGCCCTCGAGGCTAATAGCCCTGAAGACGCTGCTGCCGCCCGTCAGGGTCTTTCTGCTGGTGTTACTAAGCGATGGGTTGCTTAGCTTCTCTCTTCTCCTCTTCTCTTCTAGTACTCTCAACGATTAAAGCGTAAAAATGGAACAATGGAATTCTGGTGGTGGAATTCGGGGGAAAGGGAACGGTGGATAGGGATGCGGATCTCATGTATATATAAAATGGTCGTGGTGGGATGTGGGAATGTGGTTGTGTAATAGAAAGGAGAGAAATCATTAAAATGAAAACAGAAAAGAGAAAAAAAATGAGATAAAACAAGATATCTAGTCATGCCGATAGGAGAATTATGCACTATTATTATTTTTTGGTTTTCTCCTTCTTGTTAACTATATGCGTCTGTATTCTTGACTGCGTGTGTGTGTATTTTTTTTTAAAAAAAACAGAACTTGAGAGGGTGAGTGTTGGCTAGGTGGATTATAAGTACTCTGCATCTATTGTTACGCCATGAGTCGGAGCCTGAGTCGGAGCATGTTTGTAAAATAGCAATTTTTCTCTACACTTTCATCACGCTTCTCGTACCTGCTAGAACTCAGATCACACTATCAACGCATAAGTAGCCTCATTCTTCTCCTTCTCCTTCTCCTTGGTGTACATTCTAGTATTCAAAATCTCGCAGCCAAAACCGTTCGCGCCATAAATAACTAACGATGACTTTTGAAAGCGACCACTGAGAGTGCAGAGTGTGTGAGGGAAGCACGATGCTGAAGTATTTACAGAGATATGCTGGATTATGTGGGTATACTTTTTTTCAATTTTTTTTCTAGGATTCTTATTATCTAGTCCTGAAGAGATTTAAGAAGTGCTACGCTCGATTACACTTCACTCTATCCCCCCTGTGTGTCCATCTAGTTCCAAAACCTCGCGACTCACAGTCTGCAGTCACTTTGCAACCCCGCGCTTACCTTACCCCGCATTGACGCGCCTGTCTCTTACTCGCGTCAACCGTGCTCCTCATGCTTCCCTCTTTGCCCTATTCTGCTCAGTGCATTTTTTACTGAGAATATAAAGCTACCGCAGCGAAAATCTTCCAGTTTCTCCGTCGACACGATGGCCGAGTGGTCTAAGGCGGTAGATTTAAGCCTTGCTTAGGTCTCTACTACAGAAATGTGCGTGGGTTCAAGTCCCACTCGTGTCATTATCACGTTTTTTTTATCTTTTTTTTCTAGCCATTATCTTTTGGCGAGGAGTGTGTTATGGGTGGCTGTGTGGAAGGACGATGGATTTTTTGCGGTCGGAAGCGTAGTCGTGGTGCGTCGAGGTGCGAAGGCAACACCAAAAGGGTGTGTGTACAGCGCTGAATGCATGCGCGAGGCAGGTGCCATGTTTTGTGGGGTGTGATTGGAAAATTCTGGAATACGAGTTGCAAAGTTTGCGCTGATGTATGTGCGTGGGCTGGAAAGACTCGCTATGCGGTGGTTGGCGGGCGCGTGGTGGTGGATTACTTGGACGTTTGAGACAACCGACACTCGCTTCATGACACGCTGCGGCCACTGCCCTTCGCCATGCATGCCACACATATGTCAGGCCATCGGTAAGTCTTGTCCCGATTATTTACACGAATACGAGGTTGATGTATCGCGGACAGGTAGAGGCGACGCCATGGACGTTGAGAACGCAGTACGCTGAATCATGTGTACTGTTAATACATGGGAAAATATCTTTACACAACATTACTATGCGAAACAATTGGGCAGCTAATTCATACATGGAGCCATCAATCATTATTCAAGTTTCATATCCTGATCCGCGCTGATACCCGCTTCTACTCCTCAAAGTCTGGCCATACCTAACAAGTACAAACGGCACGCATGCACCCAGAATACTCAAACACCCCAGCAGCGTACAAGTCCACTGTGGGCCCAGACGCTTAAACATCTGGACTGCAAAAAGCGGAAACACGGCTCCGAGAATATATCGCAAGATGGTGTTGCCGGCCATGGCACTGGCGCCATACATTGGCCCGTAAGTGTCGGTGATGTACATTACGCACGACATGAATATAAGCATGTTGCCGGCGCCAAAGAAGGCTTCGGCAATGGTCGGTACGATCCAATGCAGGCGGTAAGCAACCGACCATCCAAAAAGAAAAAGACCAATGGTGATGCACGGGGCACCGGCCACTGCAAGCGGAAGACGCCTTTCGGGTTTCACTATCGAAGTGGCGTATGGCGGAGGCGGTCTCTTCTCGGCAAGCGCCGTCATGACCTCGGGAATGTAGCGGTACTTGTTATACAGGATGATGCCGATTGTGGCGATGATGATGCCGACTCCAAGACCGAGGAAAGTGAGGCCAGTCGAGATGCTGTCGAAGCCATATTCTACTGCAAAGACGTACGGGAAGGCGGCGAAAAAGGAATACAGCAGCGCAAAGTTGAAGGAACTGTACAGGTGGAACGTAGCCACAATAGGCTCGGTAAACAACATGTGCATCGGCCGGGTGAGCGTCTTTGTCGCGTATGTATGGATGATCCGTGGCACCGACATGCCGTCAGTTGGCATCGGTGGCAGCGGGATATTGCGTTGCTTTGCGCGCCGACGGAGCAACGTGGGCTTGTATGTCTCTTTGAAAAAGGGCAGCGCGGGAAAGAAAAGCGCAACGACAAAGAAGAGAACCAGCCAGCACGTCCAGCGCCACCCGCGAGTCTGCGTCACGACAGCCCCCAGGAGAGGACCCAGTCCTGGGCCGCAGAATGGCATCGCGACATACAGTGACATGGGACCAGAGCGCTTCTCAGGCGGCCATATGTCGGCCAACGAAGCGGCGCCCAGATCCAGAACAGGCGATGCAAAGACGCCGGCAAAGAATCGCAGGACTATCAGTGTAGTCATGTTCTGCGAGAAGCCGGCGCCTAGGATGAAGAGCGAGAATATCGGCAGGCTGGTGCAGATGATAAGTCGCCTTCCCAGCGTTTCGCCAAGCGGTGCTCCGAGCGGAGCGCCGACTGCAAGTCCTAGGGTGTATATCGAATATGCGAGGGTTGAAAGGAGGCGTGTAGAATGGAATTCCTCAGCAGCTACCACAATGCCTGGTGTGTAGACTGAAGAGGAGAGTGTCGCCATCATGCTGAATACCGCTATCGCGAGTGTCTGGAACCACTTCCGAGCTGTGCACCAATTGTGCGGGTTGAGCGGGTCGTCAGGACCGTCCCAGTCCAGGGCTGTGAGATGCTCCTGTGATGATGAAGGGCTGGCTGTGTTCGTTGCTGCAACATCTCGTTCAGGGCTCCTTTCCGATTCCTTGTCCAGAGGTGAGCCTTCGTAAAGGGTTGTCGCTTCCGACTGCTGGCGTGTGCGGCCCGCGGCTTTCTCGACGTCTTCGTTGCTGGCTGATGCCGGTGTTGCGGACCATGAGGCCATTGGCGAACTGACTGGGGCAGCCATGGTGGTGTGAATTCTTCCTTTGCTTCCAACAGGATCAATGCTAGAATGCCGTTTATAAAAGCTTCAAGGCAACAAGCAAGAAGAACAAGCTTGGACACCAAATCCTTAGCCTGACCATTGCGACAGCACATTGAGACCAGTGTATCATACGTAGCGAAGATGATCACTACATCGGCTTTTGCCGTGATATCGGGGCTGCCAATGGGATTTGACATATCGTGGGTGCTAAGGATGCGATGTGCATCTCTGACGATCCGAAATCGGACTACGGCACGGGAGTAGCATTGCTGAGCTTGGCTGAGCTTGATTATGCGGTTTTGTGGGTGGATCGTTGGATCGCTGATGCTATTTGAGGCTTGTTCCGAATGCCATGCTGGCACAGCGGATCAGTGACGAAGGCCATGTTTCTTTTTCCACGATTCAATTACCTCGGTACGATCACAAATCTCCGGCATGGAATTTGGATACAGAATATTGAATTTGCTGTAGTGCTACGCAAGTAAAGGTGATTGGATGCACTTGTCATTTCTTGCATATCATCTTGGATATAGGCCGGTCGCAACGACGACTCACTTCATTGCTCTGACGGTTTGAATATGCACGGTTATGCTTCGGCCCTGTGTGTACCACTGGTTCCGGTGATGAGCTGTGGCCAACACAGAGTATAACGCACAGCTTCTCCAGTGGATTCCTCGCACGCACAGCCGTCAAGTTTTAATGAGTACGCAGTTCAGAAATCACCAGAAGTCTTCATAGTAGTAAGCTCTTGTGGAATCAGAGCCAAATATATATACGAGAGGTGTGAAGCTTCTCAACTAAAAAGCGTGTTTACAAGTTTTTAACCAAGGGTCTCCATTTCCTGCAGCTGCACATCACGGGCGTACCAAAGCTACGTCAAGTGCCTGAAAATAAACTTTGCACCAACAGCACAATGACGTCCCGTAGCAAAGTTTCAGAGGAAAAAGTATACATCACCAGTCCCCTAATTTGGAAAATGTGCGAAATACCGAGGTAAGAAGAGACCTGACGAAAAAAAAAGAAAGTCAGGCAAGACCAGAACAAGTTATGTGATTGACGCCACAAACAGAACCTCGAAAAAATAAGGGGTAAAGCAAGTACCAAGGACCAATTACTACGAGAGAGGACATTTGAGATATTTTAAGGCCTCGATAGGTAGTCAGAACAAACTTCACAAGTACACGCAATACTTTTATCGCAAAGGATGATATAATATCCCTACTAGCCTCCACTGCATTGTTGTTCCAAGACCAGCCGGCCCACGAAACAGCCTACAGCTCTAGCAAAAGTAGCTTTTTTCGACTCTCTCTCTCACAAAATATCATTCAGATGCAAAATTACCAATAAACGCAGTTTCCGTTATTCCGCAAACTTGTCTTCCTTCAACAACACACACTCCCCCACTGCGCTTCCACACACACACACACACACACACACACAGAACACTACCATGACCACTACTATCCCCAACAACCCGAATACCCAGTTTCCGGCCCGTACATACGTAAACACGTAAGACTAAACAGAAGTTGCGAAAGAACGAGAGTAAAAAAAAAGAAGTACAATAAAAATCCACGTGGTTGCCACCACGACGGCAAAATCCGCTTCCCGCTTCCTAATCTGTATTCGCACTAAGACGAAGGGAGCAAAAGAAAAGAAAGAAAGAAAGAAAAAAAACCCCCGAGGAGCAGGAGAGCTGAAAGGGAAAGAGAAAGAAAAGAAAAACAAGCACGATGAACAGATGCATGCATGGTTGTGTGGAGAGAGGAAAGTTATACCCAATGATCCACGTACTTAGCTAATATTTCTTCCATTTCTGTCTCTCTTCATACCTTCATGCAGCAGCAATACACGCAGTTATCGCCGCACTCAAAATAAAAAAAAAGTCCCCCTCCAAAAAAAAACAATAAAAGAGAAAAAAAAAACAATAGTTGGATACCTAGCTTACTTCCCTCACTAGATAACAAAGGTAATACAAAGTACATACGAGGCGGAAACCAGTGATGCAAAGAACGTATGTATGAGAAAGCAGTCCCCCCCCCCCAAAAAACCCCCCCCCCAGAAACAACCAGAAACAATGTACAATTCATCTCCACAACAAAACCA